TATGATGTGGGTGCACCTGAATTATTGAAACAACAAATCCATTCTCAGTTCGAAAATGAACTTCAATGTTCAATTTGCAGTAAATTATTGTGCAAGGTAAACAATTTTTAATTTTTATTCTTTACTTGATATGATAACTTATTTTATTTTTTCAGGCTACGGTTCTAAATTGCGACCATACCTTTTGTGAAATGTGTATTATGAAAAGGATGCAGAAATTTAAATCATGTCCTGTTTGTAAAGCTAAATTTAAATTCACTTCCAAATGTATAACTTTGGACAATTATATTATCATGAATCAGAATATTACTGGTGGTGCTAAAAGATCTGCTAAAGATGGTATGCACTTTATGATAATATTTCATTTTCCTTGTGTCTGATATCTTATTTTATCTATAGACCATCTAATAAGCATTTCTGACTAATTTACTTATCATTTATTATTTTGTTATATATTTCTTTTACACTCTGTACAATGCTTATGTTTTTTAAATAATTTAAGTGCTTCCTTCAATACCACCTGCCGTGGAAGTTAAGAAGAGACGACGACGACGATGAACATGGTAAAATATATGGTCAAATAGGCCACTTATATTTAACACATGCTTACCTTATAAGAAAAGAACCAACTCCAGTATGTGAAACTTGCAATGATGTTAAATTGCACCACATATACGGAAGCCCACAAGATCCTCAAAAACCCCATCACACTTCATCAAGCGTTCAATAAAGACAATACGGATATAAACAATTCATTTTTCAATTGTATAAACATAAGTCATAAATTGCGAACTATTCTATACATGTGAATATTTATAAAAGATATAATATATATATATATATATTATACTTGTCTATTTTAATTTAATGCAAGCTAAAAAACTTTGTTGTTGAAGCCTTAATAAATATATATATATATAAAATAGCTTGAAGTTTATAGTGTATGGAGATATTTGCATTTTTACTGTCATTTATTTTTCATTATTGAAAAACTAATTACATTTATATAATATAAATTGATAAAGAATGTTCATTGGTTATGATTACAAATAAATGATTTATTTGTTAACTTAATTATTTAACTTTATTTTTATTATTATACTCGGTCAACAAAATACAATTATTTATACCATATTTTAATATATTACATTAAAAGTTATAAGTCAATTATATGTAAATATTTGCTCACTTTTTGTTGAGTATTGTTTTGACATTTTCTATACAATATAACCTATATTAACCGTGATAATTTTTCTGAAAATTTGTATGTACCAAAAGTAATCATAGCCATATATTGTACGTAAAATTTGATAAATGGAAAATGTTAATTTCAATGATGTTATGAACTCATGAAAAATTAAAAGTAAAATAAGAAAAATTATTTTAAACAGCTAAAAAAAAAGACTGATTACTTCAAATATCAAGCCTTGATACTTTTATAAAATGACAATTATAGTAGGTATGAATTTATATAATATAAGTTTAATAAAATGTTATATTATATAAAAAAACTATTAAAATTTGTTAAATAAAAAGTCTTGATTAATCAACATTTTCAATTATTCATCGCATGTTTATATTTGTATAAAGTGATTAGGCACCACGTCACCTCTAATCTACTCTACCATATGGCTAATGCCAGAATATCCAGTTTATGTATAAGAAACAGCAGTTAATCCTTGATGACCAACTGAAGTAGTCAAATTCTGTATTGTCTTATATAGACGTCCATAGCCAGTAAGTTATATTTATGTGTTAACCTTTAAAATAATTATTTGAACCGATCTATATTTATTTATATTAAGATCCTTTTTCTTTTTATACTCCCAAGCTATGGTAGAATATATATTCAATGATAGTAGAAAAAACTTCCCTAAAAATTCAATATTTTTAACTGGTCATCCCCGACCATGCAACATTTTTATTTGATGACAGCCCATCTTGTATAGGATACAACACATTTCTATATAATATATATTCTATATAACGCTACGCGAGTAAAACCCTGAATCGTCATTAATATATTATAATATTTCCATCATAATCAAACATTATATATCATTATTTTATTATTTGAAATGTATTTTTGTTTTGATCGAAAAGTGAATCGACCTATTTTAAATTTTGTTGAAAAGTGAATCGGCCGAAAAGGGAAGGGTACGGTTTTGGTCAAAAACGGACTCGTCCAAGATACCGATTTCCGTTGGCAGACATATACAAAGGTGGACTGACCAGATTATATGGACAGTAAGAATAGTCCTACTGGGCCACAGATTTTCTAAGGCCGACCCATGTAAATGCCCTACAATAATATGAGGGCTGGTTTGTTCACCAGGTAGCATAAATTACTCAAATAAATGAATACAATGATATTAATCTAATCAATATAAATGTATAAAAAATAATATTATAAATGCTGAACTGATATATAATAGTATAATAAAATGCCTACTATGGCTACTTTATGAATTATAATAATAATAATTAGGGTCGGTAAATTTGTAGGAAAGTCCTTTTTTTTTTTTTTTTTTGGTGATTGGTTAGGTAAGTATATAGTTTGAATTATGTAAATACGAATCCATTTATGCAAATTTTATTTTGTATTTTTTGACTTTTTAGATCACTTTTGTGAATTTTTTTGTCATATTTTACTTTTTTATTTCATTTTCTGGTATTTTTAATCAAATTCTAAAGACTAAAGATGAATAAGGCACCCGAAAATAAATATATTTAAGTTTATTTCATTATTTTAACAAAACAAATACTTACAAAAATTATAAAAATATTTCAAGTGAATAGCATTTAGTACATGTAGAAAATTCAAATTTTATTAACACTTTTATTATTTTTTATTAAATAAACATTTATGCATAGGTAATGTATAATATCCTGTACCTAATATTAATATAAATATAAAAACTAAATTAAAAACCATTTTAAATGAATTTTATACTATAATTTTTGGCATTTAATATTGCATATTTTAGGTTCTTTAGTGCATTAAATCCAAAGCCCTAATAATAATATGCCTACGGCGGTTGCTCTATGAATAATAATAATAATTATGTGCCTACGGCGGTTAGGCCCGTCGGCCTCTGCACGACAACGAAACAAATATGGTCGACCAATCCTCAAGCGGGACTGTGTACGATGGCGGATTTTAAACGACTGCACAGGGGATGTGATTAGTACAACAACTAATACGAAAATTATCGCATCCCCCGAGTGCATGCGACCCCGCTGAACAACAGTGTCGAAAGAAGAGAGACGGGTCTACGACGGATGACGATGACACACGAATGAAAACCACGTCGTTCACAACGGCCGTTGCCAAGTGACTGCCCTGGTGGCTTAGGAGTGAAAGCAACGGGATCGCTGGGAACGACACTTAGCGGACGGCCGACGAGAAGGACACGAAAACCGAAAACTTGGTTTCAACGAGATGGCCGCCGATCCACGAAAACGGACGTGTTGACGCGAAAGCGGACAAGACGATAAGAACGACGGGGCCGAGGGAATTCATCACGAGAGCTACGACCGTGTCGACGGTAAAACGTCTCAGCGCCATCACGCCGAAAGCGTAACGCGAGAACTTCGCGACAATTTGTGGCACCGGGTGCACGACTTGCGAATCCGGCGAAACGTAAAAAACTGGAAAACACGGAACAACGGGACACGTCTACGCGCGATAACGACAACGCGGTTACGTACCCGCATTGAACTATATGATAACTATATTATCATATAGTTCAATGTATGCAACCCGGCAAGAACGAATTATCTTTTTACTATAATTTACAGATATCTATATTATACTAACTATATTATATTATATTATTATAATATAATATAGATACCTGTGCTATAATTTTATCAAGCCGTATCAGTCCTTTCATGTTTATCAGCACTCTCAGTTCTTTACTATCAGTAACATTGATAGACTGATAATAATTGAAATCTAATCACAGGCTGTGAAATGGTTTTTAAATGAATTATTTTTATTTGAGAAAATTAAGTTCCAAATTATTATACCTGTTCATCTAACATGTTGTACCATAACATACATTGCGTGAATAAATTTGAATCGTACGACGATTAATGTATCAGTTTGTTTCAAATCAGTACGTATTTTTGAATCTATAAACTACAGACATGTTATGCACTACTGGAAAAATGAATTTGTAAGTTCTTATTGGAATAGTTTCATAATGTTTATTATTCAACTCTGTTATTGTAATTTTTTTAAGATTAAGTAACTTGATGCGCCATTGTCCGTTGCGAGTATGTTGCCACGAAATATTAAAGTCCAATTTATGTTCATCAACTGTGCTGAGAAAAAAAAGAAAATCTAGAGAAGAAAAAGTAAATTGTTATTTTTTTTTTTAAGAACTTTCAGTAGAAAATTGTTATTATTACAATAAAAAATCATTCACATAAAAGATATGTATATATATATTTTTTTAAATAATATTAGGTATTTTAATAATAATAATTTTTATTGAAAAATATATTACTTATTTCATACTTCAAAGTATGAAAGACATGAAATATATTAGTTTGAATAATTTTATACATTTATGCAGGGTGTTACTGAAATGATTGTGGTAACTAGTATACATTTGATTGCTTGAATGAACCAATGAAGATTTTTTATTTTTAAATTTTTCAAATTTTAACAGGTCTTATCTAACTATTTTTAGAATATAATCTTAAATGTAATATTAATACTCATTTAATATTTCTTGCAAGTTTCTCATATAAGTTGATGTACAATATTTTGGAGTTTGTCATGTATTCTTCACTCCCAAATCATCAGAATCAAAAATAAGGTACAACTAATCGATTCAAATGAGAACATTGCATGATAAACATCAGTAAAATGTATTTGATATTATTTAACTTACCTGATTACTTACACAGTTTCTACACTGTTAAATAATCATACACATGATTTGAAAATCAATTTACTAAAAGTAAAAATTTAGTATAAATATTGGTGTAGATTAATAAAAATGTTTCCTACTTTATTAGGTCCACAAAAACTATTAGCTAAATTAAACTATGAGGAATTTTTTAATTTTTACAATTTATTTTGTTTAATCCTCTTGTATTATTAGAAAATATACCATTGAAATAACTAAGAACAAAATTGTTTTGGTATCTATGTTAATGGCACACCTCCTCATAAGAATGTTGTTGACTTGATGAACATTATCTTTTCCTTGATCAACTTACTGGTTGTGGAATTGAAAACAACACTCAAAATTGTTCAGTTATAATATGGCCAGTGGCGTACATACGGGTTCAACCCCCCCCCCCAGGGCCAAAAAAATTGTTTTATTATTGATAATGTGTAATATATTCGTAGTTCCATTATTAAGCTTTGAACTTAAAATATACAGCTATACAAATATGATAGTTAAATAATTATATTGATAGGTGTTTGAAAAGTTTTGTTTACTATGCTGTTTTTATACTCCAGTAGCAATTAATTTACTGTAATGTAAAAGTAAACTGTAAATTGGTTAAAAATTTGTATAAAATAATATTTATTTATAGCAGTTATTTATCTTATTTATCTGTGCAACGAAAAAAAAAAAAGATAACGATTATTTTTGTTAACTCCCCCCCCCCCAGAGCAATATTGAATGTACGCCACTGAATATGGCTATCCTGAAGTCTGGATTTTAACCCATGCAGATTTTTCTTATGGAGATTTATGAAAAAACAAATTTTTGATAAAGAAATGAATCTTAGAGATGAGCTTTTGATGGAGATTAATAATGTAACTATAACCTATGGTTGGAAACTAAATATGGTAGAAAGAACTGTTGGAGTTCTTTGAATTTTCATATGAAAAGTACATTGAAATGATCGGGAATCAAGTATGTTTTGATTATTTTACAATGTAAATAAGTTATGTTAAATTATATAAAATAAATCACATTACTATCTATCATATAAAGTTCTCATTCAAGTGAATATGTAATATTAAATTTTATGATTGTGTCTAATTGGGGGCGAAAAGCATTTGACAATGCCCAAAAACAATATTATATTTTGATTCTTTTAAGAAATTTGCAAGAAATATCATACAAGTGTTAATTGTTACATTTAATATATTATAAAAATAATTAAACAAAACTGTTTTTGTAGATAAAAAATGTAAAAAGAAATCTATTGGTTCATCTTAGTGATTATACTTATACTAGTTTATATTAGTCACCCCTACCATTTTAGAAAATAATCATGTTTATAAATTTTTCAGAAAATGGTTGTAGCTCCTGCTGTGAACATACAATTTAAGCAAAATAAAACTATTGATATTTGGAAAAACATGACCATCTCAGAATTAGCTGATGCTACTAAAATACCAGTAGGTAAATTATTTGTATTGATGAATAATAATTATAGTAACTGATATATTATGTAATTGTATAATTATACAATACAAATTATAATTGTTAATGTAATTAAATTTACTACTATATTTCTACAGTTAAATATTTGGGAATTTTTATTACAGATAATGTTCTTGAAATAATTGGATTTATTGACGGTGCAGACAATTATTCTAAACCTACCAGTATTATAGAAAATATTTCAATGCTCCGTGAAATTACTAAAAAGTGTGGATTTAAGTCAAATATGATACCAAACCCTAATATAAGTAAACAACCATCTGACAAATATATAAAAGATGCCTTTAAAAGGTAAAAATATCATTTTAAAATCAACATACTATTAATAAAAATTTGTTGACTATTCAACTATTATAAGCATTTACAATTTAGTATTACTATTGATTTGATAAAACACAGATTATCTAAGGGTTTGAAAACATTTGGCCACTACATAATTTACATATAATAAGAAAAGGTTTGCTCCATAAAATAATTAGTTATTCTAAATAAGTATCTTACTAAAATATGTCAATAAATCAGTGTCTATATGTAAATGGAGCTTTAAATATAGTAGACTTATGTATTAGTTATAAAATTATTAGTATTGGTAATCATAATTTAATTAATACCATTTTAATATTGTTATTTTTTAGACCACCTGCACCATACAATTCTACTATTCCAAGACATCCAGTTGTAACAATTATGGGTCATGTAGATCATGGAAAAACAACATTATTAGATACTTTAAGAAATGCATCAGTTGCCAAATCAGAATTTGGTGCTATTACTCAACATATTGGTGCTTTTATTGGTAATGATAAATTCGTATAAATGTTATGCATCTTATTATATAATTGTATTTATATGCTCATAGTTGTTCTGGATAATGGGAAAAAAATAACATTTTTGGATACACCTGGACATGCAGCCTTTACTACCATAAGAAGTCGAGGTGCTCAAGTTACAGATATTGTTGTATTAGTAGTGGCAGCTGACGATGGAGTAAAAGAACAGACTATTGAGTCCATACGAATGGCTAAAAATGCAAAAGGTTTTCAATATATTCAAATTTAATGAATAATAGTATAAATTAGTTATTAATTTATTAATATTTAATATAATTATAATTTTTTAGTTCCCATCATTGTTGCAATTAACAAAATAGACAAACCTATGGCAGACATTGTATGAGTTTTTAAATAACAAAACAAATACTAGTAGAATAGTAATAGTTATTTTATTTTTAGGAACGTTGTAAAAAAATGTTGCAAACTCAAGGTGGATTGGATCTCGAAGAATTTGGTGGTAGTGTACAAGTAGTTCAAATATCTGCCCTGCATGGTACAAATTTTAACTACTTGATTGAATCAATATTAACTCTAGCTGAAATATTGGATCTGCGATCTGACCCTAATCCTCCTGCAGAAGGTGTAATAATAGAATCAAAAGTTGATAGTCATAAAGGGTAAATTTATATAGATAATGAATGAATACAGTTTTTCAAGCAAAAATGCACTTAACCAAATAACTAAATGTATTAACTAACCATCCTTATTTGTAATTATAATGTTTTAACTTCATTAGTTAGCTTATAAGAATTCTTTTGTAAAAATGTCAGTATCAATTAATAATTGTTTTTTATTACTTATGAAGTACTATAAAATATTTCTAACTATTTTACTGTGTTTAATTTAATTGATGTGTTAATTTTTCTAGAAAATTAGCAACAGTTCTTGTTCAACGTGGAAAGTTATTGAATGGTAGTATACTTGTAGCGGGTACTGCCTGGGGTAAAGTACGAAAAATGATGGATCATCAAAGTAATATTCTTCAGGAAGCTAATCCATCTGATGCAATTCAAATAATTGGATGGAAAGAATTACCGCAAGCTGGACAAGAATTTTTACAAGTGTCTTCAGATGTAATTATTTTATTTATAAAATTAATTTTAATGAGTAATTTTTTATACATATTGAAATTACTGTTATTTTTATTATTTTTATGTAGAAACGTGCCAGGGAAGTAATTGATTATCGATTATCTAAATCTATTGAAGAAAAACAAATCGAGGATAGTGTTCATATATTATCAAAGCTTGAAGAACATAATAAAGTAATTAAAACAATTTGAATACTAGTTATATGATATATGTGTTAAAGGTAAAGTGTAAGACGATAATAAACGCATCTGAGTAATGTGAACACAAGCCGTACCTATTGAATTATACAAAAATATTATATATAAAACTTTATTTCATTAAATAATTAGGTAATTTATATATTATATATATTTAAGTAAGTTGGTTAAGTAGTTTGATAAAAAGAAGATTCAAAATAATTATTTTTGTTGGAATGTATATAATAGTAAATTATTATAATATCTGTCTTAATATTAAACAATCATTTTTGCATAGCCTTTCTTAAATCATGCATCATACATTTATTTTTTAATAACTCTTGAACAATTTTATAAATGTTACTATGTAATAGAAATTTAATATCTCGGATGTAATATATTAGACATTAATAATAGTTCAGTGTATTTATCAACAGGAAAATAAAACAAAAATGGTTTCAGAAATTTTAAATGTGTATGACCTATTAATTGAAAAAGACAACTTAAAAAGTAAAAAGTAAAAAAATACACTTTTATACTAATTTCATTACATTAAGTTACTATTCATCTGGATCATCAATAAATGTTTTAGAAATTATAACCGCAATAACCTTTGAATGAAGTAGCTAATTATCAATTTTGATGCGGTGGTATAAATTTTAAATGCTTTGTGAACCCAAGAGAATTCTTGGTAATTCTCAAAATCACCCTAACTGTAACCTCTAATAATAATTGTATTATTTTTAAATTTTAACTAAATGATTAATTATTTAAATAATAATTTATCCACAGAACAACACCTAATGTATAAATTTTACTGTTTATATGATTAAGGTTCATACTAACCATTTACGACCTTACCTACAGTATATACATTTGAACTTGTATGTTTTAAATAGGAGTATAAAAATCATTTGTTGGAAAAGAGAAATCATAGAATTTATAGAAGATCTAAATTTAGTTCTGTATATCAAGAGAAATTGTTAAAAAATAGAAAAAATGAAGAAAAAGAAGAGATACGTTTAAACATTGTGATTAAAGGTAATTTATAATTGACATTATTTTGATTTATTTGGAGACACATTTATAATTTTAGGAGATGTTATTGGATCAGTTGAGGCAATCTTAGATGTATTGGAAACATATGAAAGTGACCAATGCAAGTTAGATATTATTCATTTTGGTATTGGTAATGTTAGTGTAACTGATATTGAATATGCTGATGCTTTCCAAGGTAAATTAAATTCATTCATTAATCTATAAAAGTATATTTTTAATCATTATTTGATATTGTTATATACTTATATAAAAATGATTGTCACGAAATTCAATAAATTTTCAAATAAAATATTAATATTTGGTTTTTATTTCAGCAATTGTTTATGCTTTTAATGTGGATGTGTTAAAAGATGCCGAGGAAAGTGCTCATCAGAGTAAAATTGTTATTAAACAACATAATATTATCTACAAGTTGATTGATGATATAAAAGATGAAATGAATAATAGTTTACCTCCAATAGAAATTGAAGATGTACAAGGTATTATTTTGCTTGACTAATTAATTTATATATGCATACTTGTGAATATTGATTAATTGTTTATGATATTATTACATATTAATATATTGATTTTCATATAAAAGGAGAAGCCAGTGTGTTACAAGAATTTTTGATTAATGAAAATAAAAAAAAAATTCCAGTTGCTGGATGTAGGTGTATTAGTGGTACACTAAAAAAAGCTGCACTTTTTAAAGTCATTCGTGAACCTGATGAAGTTATTTACAGAGGTAAAATAATTAGTTTTTATAATTTTGATTTTAATTGCAGTTGAACAAAATTAAAATATAATTTTTGATAAACAGGAAAGTTATCTTCTATGAGACATCTTAAAGATGAAGTGGTCACTATCAAGACAAATATGGAATGTGGTCTACGGTTAGAAGATACAAATATCCGACTGAATCCTGGTGATAAAATAGTGTGTTATACTTTGCGAGAACAACCACAAACAATCAATTGGGAAACTGGATTCTAAGTGCTTATTATTTGTTTTTTTTATGGGATGAATAATTCTAATGTGAATTAATTTATATAGACTTCTGTTACTAGATATTGAGTATGATATACAGTTTGTATTAAAGAATAATCTAAAATATTCATAAAAATACACAATTATTTGTTTAAATTGAATTGTTTTCTTACCAGCTACTTACACTATTGTAAACATAACACTTAAGAATAGATAACCATTTTACATAATCTTTGGAAATTTATATTTTTTTATTATTTTTTTTTTTATTGTGATCTATAAGCTTCAATTACAATGGTTATTAGCTAATAACTATGATAATACATAATTTTTAGATATTTTTTTTTCAATTGATGTTCTTATTTCTAAAATTTAATTAATTTATACAATCTTGTTTATTTAAAAAAAAAGTGTCATATTATTTGTTGCTTCAAGTTGTGGTTTTATGCTTTCATGTAGTTGTTCTGGTATGTTGTTTTCACTTGGTATTCCATATTGGAGGTATTCGGTTAAAATATGTTTCATTATAAGTTGAGTATCACAGATTGGATATGATGGAGGTTGCTCTTTGGCTGTCAAGAATTTATGGGTCAACTTTGTGTGACCAATTCTGTGTATTTATTATAGTTTCATATTTTCTATTTTTGTAGTTTATTGGCCATCTGTAAATAGTTTTTTTAATTTCACTAAGTTCTTGGTTTTGATTTTTCCAAAGTTTGTCCCATTCTGAGACGCAGATATTTTTTAGTTAGTTTTTTATGTCAGATTATATAAGTGTTATGATTTTTTTCTGTATTTGAATCTGCATTTCTTTTGCAATTTATAATGGAAATATTGGAATGTAACTGATGCATAAATATATACTGTTCAAACATATGACTTTGGCAGTTTGTTAATTAAATGTCTATTTTATATATGATATTAGTTCCCAACCGGAAAGGAATTCCTGAAAATGTTTGTGTAAAAATAATTATTAACAAATAAATGTACAAGTAGATGTAAATCTGGGGAAATATTTTGCAATTCAAAATGCCACCAGAATCTGAACTGATCCAATAAATAACTATAGTTAATTTTTTTCAAATGCGAAATAATAATAAATAATTTACTTAATCATATTTTTTCGAATTAATATGGTTTAGTGTTTTTTTCTGCTTCATACTTTATCGATAGCAGACTGTATAATGTACACATTATATTATTCATATGCATAAGGTGTACTTTACCCAAGTCAGTGGCGTGTCCAGGAGAGTGGGAGGTTAGAGGTTATATCCCCCCCTCATTGACTTTTTTCCCTGTATGATTTACTAATTTGATTTACTATAATAATAACTACAACAAATAATTTCATATATATATATTTATATGTATGTAATATTATTAATTTATTCTATTTTATGTATTATTATTAATTCATACTATTACGTAGGTACATATATTTACTATTTAGTATAAAACACGTCTAGTACACGTTTATGCCCGTGGTTTCATGAAAATTAAGATAAGCAATCAAACATAAATTACGATTGTACGGTTATACTGCGATTATACGAATGATAAATTAATTGAAGCAATATTGTTATCGTTACTTTATTGACTAACCGCCAAAAACGTATTATTCAAATGTTCATCAGTTTATCAACGTGTTAAAAAATATTATCAACGAGGGAATTGTTACTTGTTATAAATTAATTTACATATTAGTTTCATTAATTTAATAAGTTAATTCTATAAATTGTACTCTGCTGAAATTATTAGCTATCTATTACCTACCACATATTTGAGTGTTTTACATTTGCTTATTCAGTTCAAGTTTTTTATGATGTCAAAACGTGACGGAACAAATTAGTCATATTTTTCCAAAAAAACTAAAATTGATCATACAGTAAGTGAATGGATTATCCCTGATGAATATCTATCGAAGTATACAATTGTAGACTAATGATGTTATAAACGAACTGAGTGCAAAACTAGGCGTTTAAATTTCCGTCTAGAATAATTTAATGTTAAAGATATATTTTTCTATAAATTGTTTTGCATTTTAATTAAAAATGTATAAAATAATTTAATAGATAAAATGTTTAATTGTGTAACTATAAATAAGTAGCTATATTCTTGCTACTCTAGCTACTATTGTCAACTACAACGCTGCTTAATAGCTCTACTAGCGATCTCGTCAATCAACCTCATCCCGTTCAAAACGATGACTGTTCGGCTCCAAGAATATGAATCAAAAGTATTTCAAATTACGCAACATTTAACAATCACTAAACAAAACTCATTAGCCCAAAAACAAACGCCCCCTCACTTTATTTTTTGTGGAGGTTTCTCTGGACGCAAATAATGCGGAAATACTAAAGATCACGTCTTTAGTAAACACTAAAATACAGTTAAAATCGAAAAACCACTAATTACGGTCCTCTGTAATCTCACAAATGCCATTATTATGGCTACACACAAAATTATTGCAATCACGCTTAGCGTTGTGTTAAATGTGAGAAAAACCATCATACCTACAAGTATATCGAAATATCCTAATATTCCTACTAAATTCACCCTTTGTTCAATGGACTAAACAGCCAATTTCAAAGGATACAAGTTTTTCAAAAAAACTAAGGTTCCACCAGCTACTGACTACCATACTCAATCCAAGACCAAACTTGAAACTACAAATTCAGAACTACAATGAACTTAAACACATTTACGAAAAGTATCTCCGGTATTTTTTCCTAATTCATTTCTTATCTAAAAACCTTAATTAGCCCCCTAATTACACTAATTTCCTCTGTTCTTAATGCATTCATCACCAAAAATACTAATTAAAATTGTTCTTATTGTTCAAATTTCCTTCACTATTATTTTACCTGTTTATATTACACTTCTACAAAACGTATATCATACATGTGTTATTACGTATTATAATCGAGTTTTAATTATTGTCACGGCATTATAATATAATATTTTGTTGTTATGACCTTCAATAGATATATCTTATATATATCTAGTGTTTGGAAAGAACGTCGTTCGTGAACGCACGTTCATATTTTGTGAATAACAAGTGAACGTTTTTGTGATCGTCACTCGCTTTTTTAAATAGAACGCAAACGGCATATATATTTTTAATGAATTTGAACAATTTTTGGGGCAATCAAACGTATTTAAAATTTTAAAAATATATGATAAATAATAAATATTGATTATAATAGGTTTGAACATAAATTAAAATATACATAGTACATTTTTTATGTCGCATTTTTACAGAATGTTGGTTAGGTTGGAAATCCATAAATATAAAATAAAAAGATTTGAATGAATGCGTTCCTTATTTTATTTATAGAACTTCAACGTGAACGAGTTCCTTTTTTATTTACTGAATGGGAATGTGAACGAATTCAATTTTTAAGTAAACGTTCCAAATATACTGTATCTATCAATATATTTTATTTCAAGAATTGTAAAACTATTTTGTACATTATACTGTTGAGCAACCATAGTTTATACTGGAAGCTATAAAAAAAAAAAAAAAATCAATATCAATTGTTAGGAAAAGAGCTAACGAACGGAAGCCGTGGAGGTAATTTACCTATTAGTTGATGTCGATACCGAATAAATCAAAATACGTTTTGATAGAAACGGGTATTGGTGGAAAAAGGAAATGTGCACTTTTGGTAGAAACGTGTCTCGCCTATAAGTAACTTTTCCAGACAATTCTTATTTTTCGATTATGATGAACTGATCTTTTTTAATTGAAAATGTTCTTATTCTTAATGACATAATGTTGTTTGGGATTATTGTAAAAATTAAAATAACTAATATTAGAGTCTCAATAAAGGGTTATATCATACCTAGAGTCGTCTAAGATTAACACTGTTGTAATATATGATATTTTATGAACGAAGCTGGATGCTCAACTATACGAAAAAATTGAATGAAAATGAATACGTAAATATTGGATGAATATAATCTATACAATATCTATTATGATATTTTAGTTAGTGTTTTCTAAAGATTGAAGGAAATAATATTTTAATAACATTATAAATACACGCGTATTTCATGTAATACGTATATTCTTCAAATATGTAGGTATAATGAATAAAGCAATAAATACTTTTGCATAAACAGGGTAGGTATAAAGCTTGTTATTATCGGTAAAATAAAATCAATAATACAGAAAAAACATCACCACTTTGTTTTGGAATGTTCAACTTCTTAAACTGGTATTTAAGTGCCAAAATCCTATACTTTATTTTGAAGGTCGTATGGGATCTAGTTGTCCGTTGACCAAAAAACTATCGCGATAGTGCAAACAAAACGATATGTATACAGGAAAAGCATTTCATATGATGCTTTGTATAAGTCAAGGTAGTTCACGCATATATCTTCTTTGTCTTACAAATGTATTACTTGTATATAACTTGCATTTTATAATAGTAGAGTTAATTTCATATTGCGTATCAATGATCGAAATCAATAAGCACCTATTACAGAATTTTTTCAACATTTTATTTCACATTTAGGTATTGAAAAAGATAAAATATTGCTGAATCCATTTTAAATAAAAAAAAATATTTTGACAATATAAGCACTGTTTGTCACCGCAGATGATAAAAGCGAGCATGACAAATTCCCAAGTGTAAACAGAGATTATCCATTATGATTGAGATTATCTTATAATCTTATTTAAATAAACACAATAATTCAATGTAATATATTGTTATGAGTAGGTGATGTTATATATTTATTGTTGTGCCAAGTGTTATGCATGTAATATATAAACAACAAACGTTGTCTAGTATTGTAATTCACTAACTATATTTTAATTAATATTAATCATTTTATATCACAGAGTTATAATGTTGTTACCTACATCGTAATCGTTGTCGGACAAAGTATCGCTGAAGTCATCAGCTTATCACAAAACAACGTTCACTACATTTAATATTCATCATTAACACCGTTGGCTGCTGTAACACAGTATTGTTATCAATATTTCGCCAACATTTTCGCGTCGTGTATTTTGCCTGTACATTTTGGGAAACATGGATAATTTCTTTGGTAAATATACATTAGGGTTATCCTTATGAAATTTGAAAATTTTTATTGAATTCTGTTTGTTTGTGTTTTAACTTCTATAATCATTTGTTAAACTACGTTCGGTTGAAATAATATTCATAAGTAGATATTTTCTTCTTTTTTTTTCGATATTTAAGGAGAATACACAAGCAAAAAATATCGACAAATATATTTATAATATAACATATTATAATTTCAGATAAATTGGTTATTAGTTGTACAGTGAATTGAAGGTTAGACATAAAAGAGCATTATGGACGTAGAGAATTATAATGTTGTAATATTTTTTTCGAATTTCTTATTAACTTTTAAACTGCTCGGTTTTACTACTTTCACTTAAAATTATATACCGATTATATGTTTTGATTTATCAAATTTTTATTCTAAAGCCCCAAGATTTTATTGTTCAATTTTATTTTTTTATACATCAGATAAATTGTATATTGTAGTTTTGGGGCCCATTAACTTTTAAACGATTTCTTTACAGATTTATAATTCCATCTTTGAATCAATATATTTTGAGTGATACACTTGTAATAAATTACCTCGAATCGAAAAATGTGACAATAATATTGTTAAACTTTGCATATCAAAAACATATATTTAATTTTTATTCAAATCCGGGATCTAAATCAAAACCCTCATTCCCTTAAGCCTTGGTTTCCTACAAACACGCGTCTTTATATAGATAATTTAATTATTATGTATCTTCATCTAGATAATTATTCTACAAATTATCTCTTATATTTATTTAAATATTTAAAAAAATATTTTTATACAACATTATCCATTGTTGTCTGATTCATTTTTTAAAAACTACTAATAACCGGTTTTTATGTTCGACTTCTTATATTCTTCCATAATTATTTCTATATCCTTTCATTGTATTATATTGTTATACATTTACTTTGTTTTTCAATAAATTATAATTGTAAATAAAAAAATAATCATTTTCGTGTTATTTTAAAACCAAATACAATTCAGTTATAAGTAATGTAAAATACGTATAATTTATGTACTTTTAATTATAATTTTTTTTATATTTGATTATACAGTGTTTTGTGTCATTATATTGACCTCAGTGACAACACTAATAGCATCGGAAAATATTATTTTATTTACTGAAGATAGTGAAAAATTGCAAGTGAAGTATGGAAGTAATTATTTTTTAAAATATTATATTTTGAAACTATTTAAATTTATATATATTTTTATGTTTGTCAATCAACATGTACATTGGATATTATTTTATTTTATAATTAATGAAAGCAATATATTTTGACTTTAGCAATTTTTACATCACCTGCGCTTAAATTTAATTTTTATGAAGATTGTATTGACCAAAATCCGAAAGTTTGTACAGTAAAAAACAAAGGAAATGAAAATTATTTACGTTACTTTTCGGAAGCGGAGAAACAGGAATGCGTACATTACGAACAAATAGCTAATTCAATGAACAACGTTTTGAAATTCTGTGTCGAAATGGGTTCTGACTCTTGGTACGGAGGTGCTGAGACAACTTTTCAGCATTGGCCATTAAATAAACTCAATTGGACGGATAAACCATTTGTAACCAGCGAGGCAGATAGCCAAGCGGTGAGTATATTATAATACGTACGAATAGTAAGTATTTAATATGTCTGCTGTTGAATGGTTAAAGATATTTGTTCACGGTCCACTTAAGTAGATTTTTAAGTTTTATCTTCCCCCGAATCGATATTAAATATATATCTAGTAGAATATTCCAAAGATGTAACTATGTCTATTTAACTTCCATTTTCATATCAATCCGATGCCGAGTCTATTTAATATAAGAATACGTACTGAATAATTGTATAAACTATAGGCCAATTATCATTAGTAAATCTAGAATTAGAAAGAAGTGTTGAACTGCATTGTTATGAAAATCACATCATAAAAAAGAAAAATTTATAAAAAAAATTCTTGGGGTTTGAGGAAACATGTTATAGATATCTATACCAGCAGGGGTTAAGCACTTCTAATTAGTGATGGGTATATCCGGATTTCATGGATTATCCCAACTATCCAGATTATTCAATTCAATTTTTCTGTTAAATTACAAATACTATTCCTACAAAATACCTCCACACAATGCTTTTTAATACCTACTGAAAGATAATTTTTATTTGATAATTTTAAGAAAACTTGTCCGTGTAAATAATTATATGGATAATAATTATTATTGTATCATTGTTATATTGTATTGTAGTATAAATTTAACTTATCTTCAGAAAATTGTATTCAATAACCATTCAAAGTTTATGCAGTTAAGATAAAGTAATTGGATGTTCAGTCATGATATTACTGTAAGTCATAGAGGTAGAAAGTAAACCCAACAATTTAATAAATTGTAATTTTGATAACTAATAATACATTATAAAAACTGTTGAAATCATAAAATTTCAAGTAAATTGAAATTCATAAAATATAATATTAACTTTTTGTTACAATAAAATAAAATAATTTATTTTACTAGAAATTAAAAATAAATATAAGTTATATAAAAAACAAATTCATAAATCAGGATAAGGATTTGATTTAAATCTAGATTTGATGCCCATCCCTACTTCTAATAGATGCATTAATGAAAACGACCAGCATTTTCTGTGTACGTCACCCACGCTTATTCAATTGCACTTTTCAATTTAAACTTGAAAAATACAGAAAAGTGTATCACGATTATTCGAAATTAAGCTTAAAAACTACTAAAATATTTTGCGACATGCATATCTACTCACATAATTAGTATAACCAATGATCGTTTTGTAATGTACATTTTTATTTTCGTTGTAGGTTCTCGAGTCATATTTTTTTAACTCTCAAGGCTTTTATATTCATATCAATGATTCGGTGGCTTTGTTCGTAGACATCAATGGCCCGAGGCCGGGTTATATGTGCTTTACAGCTAAGGTTATTAGTCCGTACAGAAAACTTAGAAATGTCATGCAATTCCGCGTATGCAAATTTAGTAATCCACGGAAAGCGCACGAAAACGCTATTAAAGACTTTCTTGGTATGCCAAAATCTATACCGGATACTTTTGTAGTGAAACACCCTATTTGGTCTACTTGGGCCAGATATAAGGTAAACGTGAACTCAAAAAATGTAAACGATTTTGCTCAAGAAATAGTCCAATACAGTTTTCCTAGAGGAACGATCGAGATCGATGATAATTGGGAAACCTGCTACGGTAGTGCAGAGTTCAATTTATCGAGATTTGAAAATATTAAAGAGCTTACATCTAATTTAAGTAAGTAAATATTTTACAAAATTATGTTTTGTGTATTGAAAATATATAAAAATTTAAAACCATGCGCATGGCTGCATTTATTTATGATAAAAGAAAATTGTACTATAAATAATGATTATTTTAGAAACAACGTCTAAGTAATAAAGTCATGGATCTATGTGATACTAGAAGAATATCAATGAGGAAGAAATTTCTAAAATCTCTAAAAAACTATTTCATTGAGAGAAAAACTGCTAAGCTACGAAGTCTTTCCATATTTAGCATCTTATCGAATAAGAATTTTAAACTTGAAACAATTGTTACATTATTAGAGGATAGGCTAAAAAGAATAATCATTGTTATTAATTTATTATGTTATAGAATCAAAGGGTTTTAAAACATCTTTGTGGACACATCCATTCATCAATTTGAACTGTGAGAGACATACAATAGGCAAAAGAATGGGTTATTTTGTGAACAGTACATTGAACACAGTTGATTCATTTTGGTGGAATGGCAATGCTTCTTATATTGACTTTACGAACCCTAAAGCAGCAACTTGGTGGGCTAATGCACTTCGAGAATTACTTGAAAAATCTGGAATTGATTCATTAAAATTTGATGCGGGTGAATCCAGTTGGTAAGTGTATTGTATATATTAAGAATTTGTTTATTTTTAAAAAAAATTCAAAATATAAATCGATCAAAAAAACATATGTTATTTTATAATAATATAAATTACTATAAGCCGAGATGTTTAGGTAAAAAATGTCTTGAGTATATGTTATTTTATAAAAATAAAATCTTAAAACAATTTTTTTCACCTCGCTCAAAAACAATAAGTATGTCTTACTACTCTTAATTTTTGTGCATACTCAACCATTCTTATAACATATAAAGTTTATATTATAAACTATTATTTACAAAATATTACATAAACCGTTGTAAAAAATGTTTAACATGTAAAAAATTATACAAATCAACTATGGAATTTAAATCAGACCTTTTAAAAAAATTCAAAATAACATTTTACAACAAATTATTTGTTAATATATGATTATTCTTTAATACGCATAATTATATATTTTAAACCTTATTAGCCTTATTGAATTTTAATATTATTAAAGTAGGTCTTGTTACTAGTTTTTATTTTTTATTATCAAAATACCATTACATAATATAAACGCTTTAGTAAGATGAAATTTTTAAAAATTCTAACAAGTCAATACTTTGTTTAGTTAAATTATTTACTATGTTATGGTTTAGAATATTAATTTTTTAGTTCTCAATATTTAAATATGATAATTTTCCTAAAATTAATATTTTTTTTTTTGGGTACCTCATCTTAACTATAAAAATATATGATTCATACGGATTTCATTTTCAAAAACTATAATTTGTGTTGTATACTAAACATTTCATTTCATTTCACCTTAAGGTCCCCCCACACACTGCCGCGGTGGCGGAGACGTTAAATTTGTACACACGTATTATAATAGGAGTTCGCATACTGCAGCGGTAATTTGGCTACAGTAAAATATCATCGCGCGATATTTATAAAAACCGCAGCATGCTTCATTTCACCGCCACCGCGTAGCGGTATTTTCAATTGACTTATCAAATAGACACTAATAGTACCTATGCTCAGTGCCGGATTAAACATTTGTAGGCCCCTAGGCAATTAAAATTTTGAGCCCTACAATAATCAATAATATTTGTTGTGCCCTTTTTTTTAGCCGTGAATTAAATAATTCTTAATTAATACAATATTTCTAGATACCTATTTCTAACTCATTTGATGTATATATTATGTATAGAAGAACAATGAGTGACAGGTAATTCAGGATTTCTTGAATTTCCATTCTTCTTCTTTCGCATTCCAGCACTTCCGTCGATTAGCATAACCATGACTTCACTTGACTTTTTCTAAACCAGTTTTTTTCTTCTGTAAGGGCTTATTTGAAGAGTTGTGTTAGCCGTTTGTTTAACGTCTTGTCAGTAAATTTTCGTGTTGATATTGTTCGTTATCATCTCCGATAGCATCCGTCGTGGACATCAACATATTAGTGGATACCATATGGACAGTATATTGAATTATAGATGTTATAAAAGTAAACAGATACTAACCATAAGATTAGTAATAATAATAGTATGAATATAACTTATTATGTTGTAAATATTGTATTTGGATACGCTTAATTGTATCAAATATATATTTTTTTAAATTTAAATTTGCAAAGGAGTTACTCAGACAATCGCATCCAATGTAAAAATTTCAAGTTGGACCTGGTCACGGATAACTCCGTGAACTTTGGTATGCGACTCGTGGTTTCCCGAGATCGAGCGACCGGTTCTACGGTCGGTTCGTTTATCCTATTTCGACTCGGTGGATCACATTGTTTAATTTCACTACTAATCGACTCTTTTTGAGCAATTTCATTCTTTCGCTATTTTATTTGTTATTAATTGTTATTAAGAATGGTAATATTTTAGGAATACTGTATAAAAATTTTTTTATTTAACATTTTCACGTGTTGAAAAAACATACATTACAGACCAAACCAAACAAATCTTGAACCTCAGTCATATGATTCCATAACTTATCACTCGTATTGGAAGTTGTGCAGACTTTTTTTGAGTAATTTCATTCTTCCCTATTTTATTCGTTATTACAGAACGGTTATATTTTAAGAATACAGTTTAACATTTTTTTTTAACATTTTCACGTATGGAAAATACATACATTGCAGACCGAACCAATCACACATTGAGCGTCGATCATATGATTCCATGTATCATCGTTCGTGTTGGAAGTTAAGTGATCCGATTCCACTGTAGAAACTATCGAGTGATCTGAAACTTCCTGAGGTTCGATTGTTGACACCGACTTGTTGAACACGTTTCCGTGTGGTTTTTCGTAATCGATCAGCTTCTGCAGATTATCTTCTTGGGAGTCGTCGTTCTATATAGTATATAGATATATATTTATAACATTTGAGTTAAACATTCAATAATAAAAATAAAATTCATTCGACTAACCCTATTGGCGATTACGGTTCGGGTAGGGTTGTCCGAGTTCACGGCTTCTTCGTCGACTAGGTTTTCGTCAGTGACGAACACGCTTAATTCGTGCAACAGTAATATTTTGCACTCTTGCATGCACATCTATAACAAATGAATACGATTAAACTATTAAAAAACTTAAAACCACTGCACGTTTACGATCTAGATATATGATCGAGACACTTACCGATTTTACGGGACCGTCCATCGAAGCGCTGTACGGTCCGCAATCCCAGGTCATTTTCCATTCCGTTGGCAAATAACTGACTGTGAGCACCAACGGCGACTTATTGCTGTCCACAAACTCGCACAGTTCCCTTGAAACGTCCATTTCTGGGTCGGCCAGTACGATGTTCTCGTTGAAAGCTTTCCTAGCCTCTTTCCCAGTCAGTCGTTCCTTGGACAATTCGATCTGTGCAGGTACAGGCACGCGTTAGAAACGACCAATAGTCAACGGTTAATAATGAGTGCATTGCGAAGTATTTTGCAACTAAGGTGACCATATAGTTATAGTTTTCCAGTCGAAACGGGACGAAAAAGAAAATCTTCATTATGAATAAATTACACTCAATAATAATAAGTAACTGACTACGTAAAAAAAAAAAAAAATGGCTGACAATTTTTGCAAAGAATTCTGGAATAATGAAAAAATTATTTAGCAATTTTGTGTTAGCGATGATATTGCGGTGTTTATACATATTAATAATATATTAGGTTAATATACGTCCTAATAGCAATACATCGTTGGCCGCAATGATTATTCTCGTATTTCATTAGTGTCGGAAACGAGTTCATCAGCAAATCGAAGTCGATCGTCTTTTTTTTATATTAATTTCTGAAAACGGGACATTTTAGTGTCCCGAAGATGCCTCAGGGGACAATGGGACAAAAAGCGGGACTGTCCCGTTCAAAACGAGACGTACAGTCACCTTAATCATAACGCACTGTAAATCATTTCACTGACCTCAGAGTAAACGTCTTGCATTTTACTACTGGATTCGGATGGACTCTTGTTGCTCCTGGCCTGCCAGTCCGACGACGATGTCCGTGTACCATCATTGATGTAGTCGCAAAAAACTTTCATCTTGTGCAAAACGTCACGTTTGCACTGGCGAACGCACATCTAGTAAAAACAACGGTTAATTAGATAGACGAAAAAAACGAACTCCATAAGTAAATCAGCCGATATAAAAAGCAGTTTCAGTGTTCGCTGTACAATGACGTTACGCGTACGTACCGATTCGTCTAAACCGGTGACCGAAGCGCTCAGTGAGCCAACGTGGTAACTGACGTCTAATCCGGTCCTGCTGTACACGATTCTTAGGTCCAACGGACATCCCATGATCATCGAAAAATCACCGAGCTGCTCGTCGATCGTGCGCTTTCTCATCGTGTTCATACAATACTTGGCCATATTTTTCTTCAAAGATTTTGCGTTGACGGATTCTTCGCAAGGCATGTTGCTGGAATTCATCGCGTTAAATAAGATAATGGTACGGAGATGGTAAATAATTATTGAAAGATTGCGAATATTGTGAAAATGTCTTTAGAACTTTTTATAATATCCGTGCAATTCGTAAAATGATACTGTTCAAACGTTTTCAAATCAGCAACAATCAAACATTCCATTTGTCTCAGAGTTTCCAATCAACAAACTTTGTAATTATTTAATTTTATTTATTGTGGCCATCTACTTAAATAAACGTGAGTTTTAATTATAATGATAATAATAATTATAAAATTTGAATTTATTCAACATTAGCCGAGTCAACATAAGTCATGAATTTTGACTAATGTGTATTTTTTTGGTTTATAAAAATGAAATATTAATATCACTTGGATCATTTTAACATAAGTCAACAGTGCATAATGTTAGACATTGTACACTGAAATGCATGTCAAAGTTTTGTAAAAAAACTCTATAGGTATGCAGTCTTGTAAAATACTTGAGTAAAAGTATTTGAATAAAAGTATTCAAATAATTTTAAACTACTCAATACGTATTTTAAATAGTTAAAAAAAAAAAAAAAAATATTAGGACGTAAAATCCAGATTATTTGAATTTAAAATCAAATAATTTCAAATACTTTTTTAAAAATTGTATTTGCATTCTATCACATTAAAAAAAAAAAAATATATATATATAAATTATATATTTATTTTATATTAATAAGATTTTATCAAACATTTATCTGTTCTATACAAGTAAAATCAATATTTGTAAGTGCCATAATAAACAAATTTGCCGGATGGACAAATTCTTGACAATTTCATTCCAAATACCAGAACTTAAGAACCTTATTTATAGACTACAATATACACTATTATTACTATAATATATTGACAGTCAAAAGATACAAAAGTGAAGCATTAAATTAATTTAAAGAAACTGCTATTGATTTTAACTAAAAGAGAACAATTTTTTTTTAATTGGATCACATCTCAAAATTCTCTAGAAATAGCTATGGTGGAAAATGGAATAGATATATTTTTAAATAAAAGTTCACAAAAAGATTTATTATGTTTTATAAATGATAATTTACCAATTTAAAAAAAAAAAATTCTTTAAGTTTAATACACCGTTGTCTAGTAGTACACCTATCGAGAGGGTTTTTAGTAGAGGAGGATCAGTCTTAATGCAAAAATAGGTCGAATGGCAGATGACAATTTTATAAGAATAATGTTATTAAAGTGTAATAAATTATTTATGAGGTTACATACGTACATTTTTAAACTTATATGTTAATGAAATATATAAATAATGTTTTATTTAATTGTTATATTATTAATCAACAATATATAATTGAAATTATTAATTTTGTATTAAGAATATTTTTTGTTTGTGATTTACTCTTAATATTTATTAACTATAAATTAACTATGTGGTGAAAATAATTAAGATAATCTCCTTATTTTTATTCTTCGGAACACAGTGACTGATCAGGTGGAAGTTACCAACAGTCAACATAGTGCATGTAATAATAAAGAAAGGAACTAATATAATTTTTTACTTTTTTATTGATGATAATAATTATAAAATATAAACAATAGTATATTGTTTAAATGTATATATCTATGCATATTTCTATTTTATCGGGCATATTATACAACATTCTATTAAAATCTATCAAAAATCTAAATGGAAGATAGAAATTGTATCTTTTCTTTTCTTATCTTCTTGATACTCGTATATTTAATGAATAAATTTGTTTCAAAAGTTTCAGATTTAAAATGAATTACTGATAAAGACGTACATTATACGCAGTCATAAAGGCTCAAGAATAGTATTAATTAGTATTTAAAATATATTTATTTTTTTAATTGTGATAAAAAAAAATATAGCTATTAAAAAAATTAATGGATAATTCAATAATGATAAAAAATTATTTGTGATTTTTTAAATAAGCATTTTTTAAGTGCATGATTTTAGATATTTAGTGCACATAAATGCATATTTTTTTACTTTTTAAGGCATATTCCAAAGTATGTGTTGCCAATTTGATGTGTATAAATGCATGCATATTTAGACATTTTTTAGGGCATGAATTTACGAACATTGGTTATTACTTATTTATAATTATTGATTCAAACATTTGAATTTACCTAGATAATTGAAGATAAAAGAAAAAAACTAAATACTTTTAAACAAATAAATATAATATGATAATATAAAATTTATAAAAAAATATTTAATTATTTAATCTTCAAACCCGATAGCTGTATTCTAGTATATAAATTTGACCTGTTTTTAGGGTTCCGAATAGTCCTGTGTTTTACGACAGTGATTTGACTTACTATCCTGATAACATTGTCAACGCATATCTCGAAACCATAGTCAATTTTGGTAACAGTATCGAATACAGATCGTCCAGAAGAAGTCAAGGGTTTGGTCGTTTGTTAAGAATGATAGATCGCGAGTCTCGATGGGATTTTCAATTAGGATTACCGACATTAATAACGTCTTTAATACATCTGAACATGATCGGATATCCATTTGTGTTGCCAGACATGGTTGGCGGAAATGGGTACAACAATAAACCGCCTTCGAAAGAAATGTATATTCGATGGATGCAAGCCAATGTCTTCATGCCAGCCATACAATTTTCATATACGCCATGGGATTTCGACCAACAGGTAAACTGTGGTCTGATAATTTAATGTAAAATTAAAAGACTTTTACTCTATTTTAACATTGCTTAGAGTATGTACTTTACATATAAATATATAAATATATAAATTTAAATTATTTTTATTTAGACAATAGATTTATGTAGACGCCTTTTGGATATTCGTAGCAATTACACAGAAACCATAGTTAATTTGATGAGACAAAGTGTAGTAGATGGAAGTCCGATTAATCCTCCTATTTGGTGGATAGACCCTACTGATTCAGTGGCGCATTGCATTTATGACGGTAAACAAATAAATTTAAAAGTTAAATATTTATAGTTGGCCTTGCACGAATAGGTTTCATCGTCGGTTTAATATTAATTATGTATTGTTTATCGGAATTTTTAATTTTTTACGTGTTGTATAGAATATCTGTTGGGCGAAAACATCCTCGTAGCTCCGGTAATCGTCGAGAAAGCGATATCCAGGGACATTTACTTGCCTGCGGGTGTGTGGAGGGACGAGAACAATCCAGAATCGCCGTACATCGTGGGCAGAACGTGGCTTCACGAGTACCCTGCTCCCATCGAGATCCTTCCGTGGTTCACCAGGATGAGCTCCGAGCAGCAACAGTCAAACTCGATCGTTCACGTGTCGTCAACGTGTTACATGTTGGCAATGGGTTTTGTTGTATACTTGTTTCGGTGAACTCTACATAATGTTTTCCCTGGACAACATTATACCAGCTGTTTAATATTATTATTTATTACTCCTATGTACCCAATATTTACCCTGACATATTAATCCACTAGGTTTAATATGTTATCAATAAAACTGTTATTTTGTAAATATTATGCATTGTTTATTATCGTGGTTTACCAGTGTGAGCGTTTTGTTTTTGACATGGTCTGTGACTTAAAGTACGGATTATTATTATTATTATTATCCAACGACATAATAAAAACATTTTTAAATCACTTTATTAATTTTCGTATTTTCGAAATGTACACACTGACATAACACAGTAGTTGGTGTTAACACTTACATTATATACCCGTATCGTAAGGAAGAATAGGAAGGACGATAAAATATATAAAGCGATGCGCTTTTAATATCATTTATGCTTGTAAAACGACGGCCTTTTAAGGTTCTCTATACGTCTTTGGTAGTACTCCTTATTGACCATTTGACCTTGTGGCAAGTACTCATACACTCAAGTACTTATCAGTTAATAATTAAATTATTATTGGTTATATTATTATATTGGTATATACAGTGGCATATATTTGGGGGGGTTTGGGGGTCAGAACCCCCCATAAACCTGAGATGGTAAATTAACTTTTATATGAAACACGGTTTTTTCTTAAAAAAATGTATAGTTTAGAATTTTGACTTTGAAATCATATTAATAGTTTGTATAAACACTATAAACGTATTATACACACGTGGTACACACACACACACACACACACACACACACACACACACACACACACAAGTCATAATATTATGATCATATTTAGATACTTTACTACTCTTTGATAATTTTTGCTTGGAAACATATTATTTAGGTTTTCTGCAACGGCTGATTCTAAACTCGTCGTTTGGTCCCCATAACTGAGATAAAAGCGATATCATTGTTTGTATTCAAAATTTATTTTGGGTATACCTATTGCATGCGGCTTGCCGATCATTTAACACAAGCATCTTATTGTGTAGAACTAATAGTTATTAGTTAATAGTTGGTCGTTGCCCGTTGATGTCTCACTGTTTTACTTACAACTTGTTTATTCGTTAATATTTGACATTTATATTCCATTTATTTGTTTTATTTTAATTTAACATCATTCTAAGATGTTTAAACATTCCAATTGCAGGATATATTCCGATGCAGAGCGTTAATGAACTGTGATGCTCCTGGAGGAAGTTGACTGTTGAGTGAACTTTAGGTGTGTCGGAGTCTTTTGTTTTTACTCTTGGGTTGGTGTTCAGTTGGTGTTTTTTGCGAAAAATTTGGAGGTCTTTATGAACAGTACATCCTCTGTAGTTTGCCGGGTGAGCTTTGCTGCAAAGTGCACATTTTGCAGGTAAGTCCTTGGATTTGGAACATGAATCTGAAGTATGGTTTTCACCACATTGGACGCATTTAGGCTGGTGATTACAATAGGACTTAGTATGGCCGTATTGTTGACAGCGATGGCATTGAACTAAATCACGTCTGATGTGTGGGGCTTCAACTTTGACTTTGGTGAAACAGATATTGTTTACCTTAAAGATGTCTTGGTTGTTTGGAGACGGGTTAAGGTTAGGCATAGAACGATAGTGCACGTATGCGACAGTCAACGGACGTGTGCAACGGACGTCGCTGCGGAACTGGAATATAATTTGAAATTATGTTTTCTATAAAAATAATTATTTATGTTCAACTATATGTTATATCTTTTGCTTTGTCTATAGAATATGTCTGAAACAATTTAAAACGTACATACGGTACTACTGAATATTTTTTATTCCTCGTTTCACTTGCCACAAAAAAAAGTTATCTTATTCAAAATCATGTTGTTCGCCCGTGATAAAAATTTACGACCAAGCTAATTTTGTCACTACTCGTTTGCTTTTTTACACTCCGGCGAGTAAAATCGCTTTGTTTAATCGAAACGGTCAGTAATTGATATTAGCAATACCGCTATTGTTCTTGCGACTAGCTGTGGTTGCAAGAAGTCGACGGCTGTAGTTCGCGCAGGTGTTGTTATTATTTCTTATTTATTGCGTCAGGAGTTAAAAAAACGAAAAATTATTTACAACAGTTTTTATATTTAGTATTCCAAACTAATGGATATTGTTCGTACATTTTTAAAAAGTCATTTATATTTTTACTATTCCACTTTATCGTTTAAAAATCAAAATAAAATACCAGCGATTTTAACTTATAATTAATAAAATAATAATTTATAATTTTTATAAATAATACTTACTATCCTTGAATATAGATATAGGTGTTTTATTTTTAAATAAAATAAAATAATTTTGTATTTATGTTTTATTTTTTTTATACGAATCACATTTTCGAATCGGTTCTGCAGAACATATATAACATCTAAATAATACCTTTTTGACATTTACGGTTACCTTTGTAGTTTCTACGGTGCGATGGTAGAAATAATTGGGTATCATATTATTTTTTTTCCATGAAGCATAGGTACATTTTAAGTTAAATAAGTAATTTCATATTTTCCGGTTAAAACTTTAATGCATGTTAAATCCTAGAATTCGAAAGTCTTTACTTTTTTGTTGTCGACTTTGTTTAAAACCCGATAAAATTTCATGATCGATTACAATGGCGATTTACTTATGAAATATTATTCTGCGGTAACTACATTTTAGGAGACGAATTTATAATAAACATCTCGTTGATTTGGTCAAATTATCTAAGGCTTTAAACGGTCCAATCAACCATTCGGTGAGCCAATTAAATGTGACATATTTCGGACGTGAATGGTGTACGTTTTTGAATTTGAAAAAAAATGTAATAACGGTGTTCGATGCACGATATACTGTGGTAAACGGTCAACAAAAAATTAGCTTTTAATTATCTACACTTGTTGTATTGTGGTAATTTAATTTTTTATTCAGTTGATTATGAGACTATTTCAGAAAATCTAGAGAAAAAATTAGTAAAATCTTCAGACAATTTAAACCAACATCAGTGTGTACGAATTTTTCATCGCCAAGACTACGTTTCCAGACCAGGGTTTTCTGCTCTGCAAAAAATGTAACTAACCTGCATTCGTAACGAATTCAAAACGGGCTCGTGTGTTTATGAAATCTTCGTAAATGTTCCGAAGATAATAATATGATGTCGTCAAAGTGTAATCGATTGTCTAAACCTGAAATTAAAAACATGACAGCAATTTCAAATACAAGCCACGATGGGCCGAAAACGGTTTTCTATTTAGAATTTATATGAAAATGAAATAGTAAATAGTTGAAATTATTTTTCTTAAAATTTCAATGTACATTCACATAGGTATACTTTGTATTATAAACGTTACTTAGGGTATACCTAAGAAAACAAAAAAACTCGTTTACATTGTTTACTATTCATCGAAGATATTCAAGGAAAACAAGTCGATCGGTTTTGATATCCTGGATAGCATTATAATGTTTTCGTCGGAACTAAGAACATCTACTGACCGCAGTCAACTTAAATGTAGTGCCTATTATAGCTGTCGGACAGTCAGAATATAATAGAAACGTAGCCGGTGTTTCTAAGTTTTTTGATTTTAGTTTTATTTAACAGGTCAGTATATTTTTTTCTAAGTACCGATGGATACATTTTCATTCGATTTTGAACGGATCTATAAGTATCAGAAATTTTTAGAAATCTTAATAATTAAAAATTGTTTGACAATATTTTTTGTTTGTAATTTATAATCAAAATTAGCCGAATAAATTTATTGAAAATTATGTGCACTTCATTAAATATTCAATACGTTTTTCTTTTTATAAACTTAAATATATTTTTGAATCTAATTTGAACATAAAAAATTATTTCAATAAGATTTTTTTTATATTATACTCATATCTAAGAATATTTAAAAATAATTAAGATTTGAAATATTGGATATAATTCACGTTTAAAATTTTCAACTTGAGTACAAGAGCTTAGCTTAGGTTTTTTTATTAGTATAATTTTAGAGACGTACATTACCTAAAATGAGTCGGCAATTTGCATAATGCCTAGGCATTTTACAAAATACCTGAATTATCCATATTATCGGTAACATACCAAATATATATATATATATATACAATTCCGCATGATTTCAAATGTAGCATTGCACGATCGTTAAAACTTGACTTACGTTGTTCATAATTTTGAACTGTGCAATCATACGTTTTTAATTTACACATGTAATTATTTTGCGCGAACGTGGTTTAACGGATCTTTATATGAGATATTTTCATTGTGTATAACACTACTATTATTATTTATTTTAATATTAATATTCATTAATCAATTATTCAATTATTATTTGTATTGTGATTTTGATCAGTTTTTGTGTTTTTATTTCTATGGTAAAAGTATGGTTTCAATAAACAAAATTTCATATATTTCAATATTATATTTCAATATATTAATAATAAAATAAAAAATAAAAAATAAACATTTTTATTTTTTTTAAATTACTATTACCACCAAATATAAATTACTAGTACCAATATGAATCAAAACGTCTATACGTATCGTCTGTATGTATTAATAGGCATTTATATATGGATGTTACAGCAATGCTGCATTTGAAATTTTGTGGAATCGTTTATGTTAATGAATGGTTTTAAAAATCTACACGATTCCGTAAATTTTGCCGTAAAAGTGAGTGAGTGTTTATTTTTTTTTTAATTCAGTTTTAAATCAAGAGTTGCGCGCGAAAATGTTGTTTAGATTTACGATGTTATTTGATTACTTTTCTTTTCTAATTCATGATTTGTATGAAATACATTTGAAATATTCATTAAAACGACAATTTTGAAATTTAGATTTTTTTTTTTTCGTATCATTGACTATTATAAACAATTGTGTATGATCGTGGTAATTCAAATCGTAATATTATGTAATTTGTATACGTGAACGAATATCTAACCTGTATTAGATTTAAAATTACGTGTATCCGATTAGAAAAAATGATTAACGCCTACAAACATATAAGACATATTAAATGTATCAGACTACATTATATTTAAATATCATATGATTATTTATTATTCAACGCGCAAAACGATTAATAAAATGCAGTAAAGACGACAGAAAAATGAATAGGTATTTCGTATACTCGAGTGTATTTTGTGTATGGACTTATAGTTTGTTTCAGGAGAAAATGTTTTTTTTTTTCAAAAAAAAAAACTGGTTTTTAGCATGCACTACGATGTACTTATTTATGAATGTAAGTACGATGCAGGTGTGAACATACATGTTTTCTGACCGGTTATTTTACATTAGTGTTGTAAATCTTATCATTCTTACCTTGAATTAGAATTAATGAGCGATCTAGGAAGTCAATTTTATGTCATATAAAAACATACTAAATTGTATCGGATTTAAGTGATAACTTTATTCGAAATTACGATCCAATTATAAATAATAAAATAATATTTTCCAGCAAAACCTTTAGTTTTCATATTCTTAGTAGTATAGTGCAGTGGTTTTTAACTTTTTAGACTCGTGATCCACTTTTCTTACTATATATTTTTCATGGTGTACCGTCATTTCGTCACGCGGAGTTCGACGCGGTCATTTCGACGCATGACAATTAGTCTTGCGTAATATAGACCATGCTACATTTGATCACATAAATATATATTTTGAGGGTTCTGTCACTGGATAGCCTCTCTTTTCATACTATTAACATGTAAATATTCTCCATATAATTTATTTTATTTGCTTATTGTACATATTCGTATGTTACACATAAGCGGAAATTTGATGAAATTAGTGGAGGACTGAGTATTATTTGCTTATTTCACCTATAGATACCCCTGTATGCAATTATTTATTTCAACAAGGCAATTTACAAATTTTGTCAATTTGACATACTCAACAATTTAACCAAAATAACAATTAGGTGCCTTATCTTAAACATTTTTGGAGTAGATATTCTAAACAGAAATTATTAATTAAACAACCATTACGGGTATTATTGAATATTATCAATATTACATTAATTACGATCGTTCCAAGTCATGACAATAAGTTTGTAAAATCTTACGAATTTCATTTAATTTTTATCACAGAATATTTTTTTTTCAGTTATTAAAAATGCATTTTACAATTATAATAGTTATTGTATTTTTAGTCACTTAATAATTTTTAGGGCTAAGGGGGCTAAGACTTGTACTTTATATTTCTGGTGGGGCTTAGTCCTCTCAAGCCCCCCCCCCTCCCCTCGATTTCTGTCTATGATGTAACAAAATATTACGCGATGAAATGACTTGTATACTTGTATAATCCATGAAAAATTTCCCAGTTTCATTGTCATAAAAAACAAAAAAAATCTATAAGATATCTATTTAGTTTAAAATTTTAAACATGTTTGATCTGCATTACATTAGAACTGAACCAGCGATTAATAACATTTTGTTAATTGTTTGTAATAGTTTATCATCAGCGATTACATTTTACAATCTTATAGGGATGTTTTTCCACGGGGTATCGATGCGATAATTTGCTATTTCCTTGCTGGTTAAATCGTTATAATTTTTTGCACGACTCGGATTGTGTGTGAACTTATTTGTTATTTTATCTCATCATTGGACGCGGACAATGTATTATTATAATAATTTAATTCTCACGCACACGATTAAAAACCATTGATTTTACATGGCGTGGTAACGGAATAATTCGCAGTTACAAATAGGAGGGGAGATAACATTTTTTCATTTTATGGAATGTGTATAATATATGTAATATATGTGGATATTTTCTCTTAGTTGTTAATACATAGACGGTAGGCACATATATAACAATGAAAACACTTCTCAACCTTGTCACACTCGAGTAGACTTATAAGCCAAAGATTACGAAATTATTGCACGTTATATTTGACAATTGACCAATCTATATCGAACCCATCAGTTACGAGTTGTCCTATCAGTGTCTTTGACATTCTTCACTATACTATAATTAATTTAAAGGATACATATAAAGGTTTAAAAGTAGTAAGTCTGGTGGTTGAGTGTAGTTAACAATAACGTATTTCTACGAAGGTTTGATTTAATTGAAAACGAATACAATAATGTGATTGTCAACAAAATTTTCAAAACATTTATAATTATTATTGCCGGGAGTGACAAAAAAAAAAAAAATTAAAATGTTCAAGCCTTGTATTAAAAGCTATACATTTGATTGTAAGATACTAATTTTATAGATAAGGGAATTATTATAAGTGAACATTTGAAAATTGAATCAACTTATAAATAAAAAATTTTTATTTTAGATTTTAAAACATTGAATAAAAATGCCGGAATTCCTTGTTATACCTAACAAGTACGAAGAGACCAGGTTGTTCAAAGATTATAATATGAATAAGGAACAGATAAAAGTTGATGTTTCCAATATCAGAAAATGGATTATATCACAACCTCATTTACCTGAGTTTCCTGAGTCTAAAAATGGTAAGTTTCAGTAAAACTATTATTTTTAAGAAGTAATTATACTTAAAGTACACACAAAATAAAGTTGTAATTATATAATGAAACATTATCGTACAACCTAAAAAACTGATGATTTTTTGTCGGTATTATCTATCTGTAATAGTTTTCGAGCACAACTGATATTATACAGTGTTTATATATTATTTAGAATAGTGGTTCTTAACCTAGGGGGTGCACCTCTTTAGGAAGGCATGATGAAATTTTAGGGATAGCGTGAAACATTTTTAAAAAGCATCGAAACATATTATTAACATACAAACACGTTATTTATGATTATTTTTATATTTAATCGAGACAATATTAAGTCACAATGAATTGTTTGAATTATTCATTGAAAAAATGTAGTGTTAACCCTCTCAATTTGTACCTACTTAATAATAAAAAAATTGAAATTTAATTTTTAAGAAATTGAATATAATATAATTCATTTTAATAGTTATGAAAAAAGATAATATTATTATAAAGATAATATTTTTTTTTTATTGTAAATAAACTCGTTTAATATTTAAAAAAATTTCATTTATATTCATATTATGATATTTATTTAATAACTAACATTAAAGGCATAATGTATATTAAAATATATAAATTTATATATTTTAAAAATAATTCGATCATATTATGTGAGGAGGGGGGACCTGAAATCATAAAATACAGGTAGTATGAAAGGGGGCATTTGGGTCAATAGGTTGAGAACCCTTGATTTAGAGTAATTCAATTTTGCAACATCAGTTATAATAATCATACATAAAACATTTTTAATAATTGAAATAACATGAATGAATATTTTTCAGATGAGATAAATTTTTGGATTGAAGGATTTCTACGGTTGACGAAAAATAACGCGGAAAAGACAAAATTAGCAGTAGATAACCATTTTCGCTTGAAGACATTGTTTCCGCAGGTTTATAGTATCAATGATCTACAAGATTACGTAGAAAGTGACATTTATAAGTATCTGTAAGTAAAAAAATATTAACAGTTCGAAATTTACTTAGAATTATATTTCACAATAATTATAATTAAAGTTCAGTGAGAATAGGTTATCAAAGATGGTTGCGTTTGAAGTACAATATATTATAAGAAGGTTTCTGTTTGGCATATTATGTTTATCACATGTTCGGCATCTTTGTTTTACATGAAATGTAAACATTTATTATTTTTATCTTAACTAAAAAAAGTTATTCCCAGGCCTGTATTTAAGGGGGAGACATAGGTAGGGACATGCCCAGGAGCGTCAAGTCTCAGGGGCGGAAAAATATTTTAGCAGAATTAATTTTAAAAATGATGTACCTAATGAAAAAAAATAAAGCAATAAAAAAAAAGAAAGTAGTATGTTTTATTATGTTATAATTTGTTTAATTTGTTAACTAAAAAAAAATACTAAACGATTTTCATTTATAAGTTATATTTTAATATTAAAGAATCTCAATTATGGACGAAATAATTAGTATTAAATTATTATTATTTTTTTTTTTTTTAGGGGGGGAGGGTATAAATTATATCCAGGGGGGCAAATTTTGAAATACGGACCTGGTTATTCCACAATAGCTTACTACATTATAGTTTAATTTTGCGTTGAAATTTATCAGCAAATGTACAGCCGTGCAGGCGTTCAAATCGTAGCTCTAAAAAAACCATATATACAATAAAATTATGGTTGAAACCAGTCTTACGATTAAATAATCTTACATTCGTCTTACTGTTAGTTTTCTATCATCTGAACTCGTGTGATCGTTATGCGATACTATAATAATATGGTCGTACAACAATCGAGACATTTTTAAAATGTATTTTGATTATTGAATATGTTCCACAGGACAATGGTAATGTTACCCAAACACACACCTGACGGTCTGAAAGTTATGTACTTCGGCTTTGACTCGCAAAACACCCATTTGTTCCGGCCGATTGAGATTTACAAGCGAATGCGATTGATGTTGGATATTTACCAGAGGAAAGGTATCGATTTCTCTGGTATCCATGTTGTGATCGATGCCAAGAACATAACGTTGACACATATAAGTCAGTTTGACTTGTTTCAGTTGAAGAATCTCATTAAACATGCACAGGTTTGTGTAGACACCTATATATCAATTATATATTATTAAAATTTGTTTAAACCGTTTTGAATTCTTGTATACTCTTCGGTATAAAGCATAATTTATGAATAGTTTACGTTATAAGGTGATTTACATAAAAATCAGTCTATATCCATCTTGTGAAACTCACTAATATTAGTATTCTGCCCCTCCCCCCCATTATGGAATCCGGATCATTTGACTGAAATAATCTATATATTTCTTTTTTTAAAAAAAACTTTTCCCCCCCCCCCCCCCGTAGTTTTGTTAGCTATAAATTGAAAATTAGTTTGAAATATATTTCCGTCAGTAATCTAATATTAACTGAGAAGTAACAAATCGTTCTTGTTTAAGTGAAAATTTACGTTGTAGTTAGCTCAATTATTATGTACTCAAATATTAGAACATAGATAATATAGGTCACATTTTATATCAAATACAATTTTCACATTCAGTAGATATTTTTATAATTTTTAAAAGTATCCCTACACAAATAAGAATTGTATTGATTATTATTATTTTACAGAAAGCATATCCTCTACGTTTGAAACATACTCATATTATGTTTCCGCCGAGTTTTATCGATTTAGCTAAAAATATTATGAAGCCGTTCGTATCGAAAAAAATGTTTACCAGGGTAATTATTGAACTAATCACATATAAGCGTACATTTTATGTAGTATAATATTTGTTGTTATTAACAAAGCTAGGAATTATTTTTTTGTAGTTAACTTTCCACAAGAACCTCGAATCCCTCTGGGAACACATACCTAGAGATGTCCTTCCTGAAGAATATGGAGGATATAATGGAAATTTAGATATGGTCAGAGGTAATATTAACTTACAAAATTAAATTTACAAAATACAGTATTTAAGAATTTGTTACCAAAAAAATTGTTTTTAGTTATTTATAAGATTAAAAGTTGTACATCACGGTTAGAGAAATCGTGTATTGATTTATTATTTTTTTAAAATATTGTACCTACTGTTATCAAGTTAGTACAGAGAACATATTTTTTGTTACAGCGGAATGGAAAATGTTGATATTGGAGAACCAAGAATGGTTTTTGTCAAATGTAAACTATAAATCTGATGAGTTGAAACGACTGAAAAATAAGAAAAAATCTATTGCCTATGAAAAATCATTTTTTAAAAATTTGAATTTTGACTGAACGATTTTAAGAATTATACTGTACAACCAACATTATTTTAAGGACCTTCTTTATAATATATGATACTTTGTTATTATTGTACATTATTATATGTGAACAAGTTTATCTTATTTGGTAATACTATTTATATTTGTATAAATATAAAAATAGAAACAAATGCATTTTACTTGTTATATATATAAAACAGCAAACATAATTTATCATACTATAATTTACTACCTATTTAATATAATTCATTTTTATTTAAAAAATAAATATCTTTAAAATTTATTGTTCCATGATTAGTTTTATTCCAAGGTATTTGAATCATAAATAACAAAAATAGATGAAAAAATTATTTTTAAATGTAACGAAATTTGTATACTGCTATAAAGGTGGGTTTACACGTTCAGTTAAATTGCGCAAACCAATTTGAGGTATTGTTGTGCAATCTGTGCAAATAAACTGAGTAAATTATTAAGATTTGGATGTTCAATTATTGATATAAATTGTTGTCAGTTCTAATTAGACACGGCAGCGAAAATGTCCATTTCGGAACAGGATCTCTCCATTCTCGTAATGTGTGCAATTGAAAAAAAAAACAATGAATACTTCAAAAGTTAAATAAAAATAAATAAATAGAAGTGGTCGAAAAATTGGTCCTTGAAAAAACATAATTTTTCGCTCATAAATTGAATTGTGACCAACGATTTTTAATTTTTTTTTTGATGGCGATACGTACCTACAACTAATGAGAATTCTTCTATTAAATTCTACTATTACTGTTCCAAATTTTTTATATACGTGTCCCAACATGCTGCAGTATGCAGTAGGTATGCACTATATCGTATCATATGTTTATTCGAATTTAAGTAATACATTTTAAAACTGTCTAAAAATCCACAGTTATTTGTTTACATACAAAAGAAAACTGTACAATTACTCTAACTCCACAGTTTTTTCTGACATCGCATGAACTCGCACAGGTTAAAATTTTGAACAGAGTAGTCGTACGATTTCCATTTACACTTGCAGTTAGTTTGTGCAAACTTGAGTTCGTGTAGCCTGTTTGAACGTTTTAATCTTAACATTTATCTTAAGTAATCTTTTATTTTCTGTGAAATAAATCTTTTAAATGTATATATAAACATAAAAAAAAATTTAACAAATAAATTTTAAAGACATACGATTTTTAAATTGTACAACACTTATTTTAGTTTATTTATAATTCATCTGTAATTATTATTGTTACGTGGGTGGGTCGAAATAAATAAAACATCTTAATTTAATGGTAATAGATCTACACAGACATATGCTTGAGGTTGATGATTCCCCTTCTACGCGATGTGATTTCCCATACTTTTATTTCTAATGAATCCATAATTCTTAAATTTTAATTGGTAAAAAAATAAATAATAATAATTAATCATATTTGGATACAAATTTTCTTTTTACCTTTTTTTTTTAAAAAAAAATTTAAAAAAATTTACAAAAAAAGAAAAAAGAAAACTAAGAAAACATGAACATTTTTATATAAATATCTATTCTCTTTAATAAATAATAAAAAATATACATCACAAAATCATAAAACTGTTATGGTATTATATAAGTAATAACATAATTTTAAAAATGTTCAAATAATAATAGCAAAATAAAATATATTTAATTAATTTTTTTAATGCATAGGCTATATTTATATAAGAGGAAAAAATTATTATTTTGGTGAGAATATATACTCTTTGATGTGAAGCTGTGAACTGTGCTGTTTAATCTCTGTTGGAATTAAATCATGAATAAATAGTTTTTATTGTAATTACTTTTCTTATATTTTAGATTTTGTTGAATTTATATTATTACATCATGTTATTCATATTATTATATTAAATGTGTACAATTTTATTTTTAATAGCGCAATACATAATAGATACATAATGCATCATAAAAACCAAAAAAAAATCTTTTAAACCTAGTCAGAACTATTTTTTGATAGATTTTCCAATTCCTGGTTGGGTCCTTTAAAATGTTAACTGAAGGTTCTTTAAAGGTTAATGTTTCATAGTTTGGCCAAGAATCCGGTTCCAGAATCGATTATTTTCGGTTTGATTCAGTCCCTGACATTAATCGAAACTTTATTAAATTTTTAATTAACTCAAAAACTTAATTTTAAAGAAATAATTTAAGATTTTGTAATTCAAAAATCTTTAGAGAAATATTTAATAGCTATGTTAGCTAGTTCATAGAAAAACTTAAATGCCTCATTCCCTGCAGCGTATCGTATTGCCGCGTTCGTCATGCTGCATTGGTGTGTGCATTAATATATCAAAATCAATAATTTTATTATTTAGCCTTTATAAGATATAATAGTTAGAATAATAGTTTATAATACTCCTATAATAAGAGTGGCGAATTATGAGGAATTATAATACCGATCGTGATCATGAAGTAGGCAAATCGACCATTATAAATTAAACTTAAACTCAAATAAAATATTAACTAATATGAACAAATATAAATAAAGTACTTTATAGGGAATTATTAATCCAGTCAGTTTTGACAATTAAAAATGTGTACTTTTTGAAATCTGTTATATATTTTTGCGTGAAACAAAAACTAAAAATTATTTACCATATCACTAGTTTTATGAGTAATGAACGAAATAGAATTAAAACAGCTAAAATTGTTTATTTCATCATAAGTTTATTTCCAAATAACGAAATTAAATGACACGAGTAAAGCATTTATCTTAATAATTTAATGGAATTCAATTATTTAGTAATAATTTATTATATTCCAATAAATGCGGGTCATATTCAATGTTTTGATATTAAACGAAGTATCAAATAATAACAATAAGTTGTACATAATAACTGGTGGCACCATAATTGATGGTAGTATTGAATAATAAATCTAATAATTTAATAACAAATACGATTTTAACTGAAAAACGATAATCATTAACGCATCAGCAACAACACGTTCCGCGCCATTTATTTAATATCAATTATATATATGTATAAAAAAAAAGATAATATATAATAAAAATTTGATGATTAGTAAAACGAAGTAAATTTTATACATTATTATAGGATTGTTATCGATTAAGTGTTTGTATTCACTAAGTTTTTTACTAAAATACGTTTTTGAGCTTCGTATGGTTGTAGTATCTCATAAAATGGCTTGCAATTTCTTTTTAGCAATTTTGGAGTAAATTATGTCGATGGGCTTCGTCTTGTCGTACAGAGCTGGTGCTTGGAAAATGATGAGGGCAGTGCCAATGAGACAAGCCAACGTGAATATCCACAGGAACAATCTATCTAGGACCATCGCTACGTACTGCCAGTCCTCAATGATCTGTGGGGTAAAAGCACAATTATAATGTGATAGAACAATAACTTTGATAAATCATATTTTATTCCAATATATGAGTCTACGTTTGATTAGTTCTGACATAATTAGTAAGTATATAATATGGTTGGAAATTATCCGAATAAAATACGTAATTACATAATAAGGGACTTATTTTATTCGATAGTACTTTATTATATATATATATATGTATGTATAAACGAGTAAAAAGATGATGTATATAATAAAGTTTATAGGAGTGAAATGAAAATTTTAACAGTGGAAAAATGTTGAGTTCATGATATCTGGATATTCAAATTCGGTTTTAAATCAAATTCTTATCCGAATTTGCCAAAGTATTCGGACTATCCGAAATTATGAATTTGCTTTTTATATAACTATTTTTAATTTCTTTTAAAATAAATTATTTGATTTTATTATAACAATAAATTCATATTATATTTTATGAATTTCAATTTACTTATAATTTCAACAGTTTTTATAATGTATTATTAGTTATCAAAATTACAATTTATTAAATTGTTGGGTTTACTTTGTACGTCTATGACTTACAGTGATATCATGACTGAACATCCAATTACTTTATCTTAACTGCATAAACTTTGAATGGTTATTGAATACAATTTTCTGAAGATAAGTTAAATGTATACTATAATACAATATAAAAATGATACAATAATAATTATTATCGATATAATTATTTACAAGGACAAGTTTTCTTAAAATTATCAAATAAAAATTATCTTTAAGTATTAAAAAGCACCATGTGAAGATATATTGTAGGAATAGTATTTGTAATTGAATAATCCATGAAATTTGGATTTAGGAATTCCGGATTTGTTAAATCTGGATATGCCCATTACTAGTTCATGCATTCAAATTTGAAATAATTAGTTCTGAAGGACTTTGCCGTAGGCCCTTTTATAGTTGAAGGTTGTCAACTTTCACCAAAATGTTGGATTGAAGAATCTCCCAAAATATATTGTTAATAGTTAAATTATTACATATATATATTTATTTATTTTTTATGTTTTTTTGATCTTTCTCTATGTTGCTAAGCAAAACGAATTTTTGATATAAATTAATTTACGAATAGGTATATTTTTTTGTGGCGTTCTCTATATCTTCCATGCTCACAAAAATAAAACATTACATGTACATTAGAAAAATAAAATATCTATATCGGAAAAACGGTCATGTAAATGTAGGATAGTTTGGAAGACAAATTATCATTATAGTTGGTTTGCTAAAAGTCACCTAATATTTTTCTCGTTATACAGTCTGTAATAAAGAATTTTCTCTTTTTTATAATGGCTTATCTGATGTTAAACAACACAAAAAATCAAACCACACAAAACCAGCAGTTAGTCTGTCTGTAGTAGTTTTATCTGTTTTTTATCTAGATAAATGTAATTATTTTTTATCTTATTTAGATGAAATTTTAATGTATTATCCGTTATCTTATCTAGATAATATTTTGGTTATCTATGTACAATACTGTACATATTTAACTTGTGATTCAAGTTTTTTGGCAAACAAGTATATTGTTACATAATACAGACAATTCTGCTATAGAATTATACGAAATAATTGATTATTCAAATACTTATCTCACAGAAAAATTACAGCAACAATAATTTGATGCATATTTTACTTCACGCAGTCAAGACTTAAAAGCAAACAAAAATGAAAAATATAATGGAAAATTTTACATAAATATTAATGTATATTCATCCAAGTGGTTTGATTTATCAGATGATAATATTTATAAAGAAAATGTTTACAATTAAACCATACAATTTCCCACAGTGATTTAGTGAATGTTGTTAAAATATTACTGTTAGGAAATATTTCTTTAGATGACCTTATTAATGAGTATTGCACTATAACACGTATTTTTGATTATGTTTATATTAAAAAGCAAAACTTACACTGTAAGTGGATGAAAATATTTTCAAGATATACAAAAAAAACTATAAAATTATAGTTTTTATATAGTTTATATATTTCATATATAGTTTCTTATGTGTTAATTATTTCACTATCAAATATATATATATATATATATATATATATATATATATATTGAAAGAGTTTTTTCTATTACGAATCAAAAGTAGTAAAAATAAACAAACTGACACAAAGTAGAACTTATCAAGTCGAAACTTCAAATAAGTCTAAATTTAGAAAAAAACTGAATCGATTTCATTAAAAAATTAAAACTAGGAGAATTCTTGCTCTCATGTGTACCAATGACGGGTTAAAGAAATAATAAGTTATCAAAAACTTTCTTTTAAAATTAAAAAACGTCACTAGTTGTTTATACAACTATTATACAATTGAGAACCTTATACCTGTATTTATTTTATTTCTAATGTACATCCGTTAGAATATTTTCAGGCCTTCTTTATCATACTTATATAATTAATTTGAATTTAAAGGAGCTATAACAATTGATAATTATTTTATTTCATTGGCATGGTAATAAATCAAAATTTATATTATCAAAAAAAAAAAAAAATATATGTACCGTATTTTTAACACTGAAAGGTGGTAACTCTGTTATAAGAATTTTCGGATTATTATAAAATTACATATTACTAAAATCAAATATAATTATTAATTACATATACTTTATCATTATTTATTCTTACAATCAAGTAAGTTGTGACAGCGTGAGTTGCATATTACATTTTTTTTTACATATTTGATTACCGTTATCCACAACCTGTGGACCCGATCTAGTCGCGCGCGTGTCTGGGTCAGCCCAAAACTAAGCGCGGCTAGGTATGGTGACCAGACAGTGGTCTCATATTACAAAGCTTTACCAGTCATATAGCTTATATGGAAACGAGAATTAAGGGAAAGCTCAAACATGATGCCAAAGTCTTGGACTGATAGTCTATCAAGTTCGTAGTCGAAAATAATCACTGATCGAATTCGATAGAAAGACATAATTTTACATTTGCAAATATTAAGGGATAAATTTAAAGTATAAAGTAATGAATTTATTAAGGGTATTTTGGAGAATTAGGCAATCATTATATATAGATAATGTATGAAAAATTGCCAAAATTGCCGACAGTCCATGATACGTTTGGCATGTTGAAATCACCACAAATCAAAATCAAAATCGTTAGATCGCCAAGCTTGATCAATAGAGTTAACATATTAGAGAGATTAGAATTCGGGGATAAATTGACTCCAGTTAAAAAAAACGGAGGAACCAGAGGGATGAGTAAAGCGAGCAAAAACTTGCTCGCAGGTATCAATCGGTGACCTAACTAAGACAGGTCTTAGCTCCTTAATTGCAATAATGAGCTGCCACCGTGTTTTATCACGTTACTGGATGATATATTATTCTATACATGGATATAATAATTTCTAGATAAAGGTGACTGCACCGAATGGATTTGTGAAACTTTATTTGTTATGAATTTTACTACTGTCTCTGGTTTGGGCAAATAAATCCCGGGAGGTTGTACTCGAAGCGTACGTTTATATAATATACTATAAAATTTGTTATTCTGGTGTTGTTGGTATACATTATTATTGTATGTACGCATACGTGCCTGAAATTCAGTAAAATATTCCAGGATTTATTTCTCCTGTATATCAAATATTTCGACCCATCCCTTTGGATAATTATTTTTCGTCTACACTATGACGTAAGTACATAAGTAGTAGACTAGTATGCCATTTTTGTTTTATTCTAAATACATTTGAAATTAAACTGACGTGCTCAAAAGTGAGTAATACTGTTATGATTATCGTTTGAACTTGAGTAAAACATTCGGCGTGGAAACAAATAATCCCCGAATGATGATAAAAAGAAAAAAAATCAAAAAAAAAAAAGGCTAGCATCAGGTACCTAAACTGTTCAAGTTTTCACACTCACTTCGTCGAATTTATCTTGGTTCTTTACGTGTTGAGCAATAAATTTGGCGTCCTGAATGGTTTGCATGGCCGGATCGTGCCTGGGACGCTGCTGGTCGACCGGACACCCTTGCTGGTGATGTTGGTGATGGCTTTCGAATGTCGGACTGGCAAGCCCGTCGTCCGTCGTCGTCGTAGGGCTGAACATGTCGTCGTATTCGTCCTCGGCGTCCAGCTCGATCGCATCATCTTCGTCGTCCGAAGCCATGTTCACCACGGTATCGTTGGACCCGGCCACCGTACCTGCCCCGGTGCTAACGCCAGCCCCGCCACCTGCACATATGGCCCTGGTGCCGCAGTACCTGGTCGGAAGAACAATATATATATATATATACTAAGTTACCTCGATAAGATAGTCAAATTTTTGAAAGACAACAATTTGCGAGTTAGGTTATGATGACGATGTGGGATCGTCTTTAATTTCTCTTGTTTGAGTATTAGATAGTCTACGCTCTGCAAAGTACTACACATATGTATTCAAGAACAACCAGGAATACCGGACATTGCCAGTGGCGTAATTTGGAATTGGTTTTGGGGTGGGATTGGGATATAAATTTATACTATCATTCTAGTGGGGCTATGCCCCCCACACCCCTTTTAACCATTAAATCTCATATATCTCAATATTATATTAATTTATTATTATAAATTAAATGGTATTATGATGATTGTAAAAAATGTTAATTATTAATTACTAACTTTTTCTAACTTTGTACTTACAGGTTGTTCTACAGAAATCATTGATCTAATTCTTTGTTTTTCCTAAGAAAATATTCTTGTGTTATTGATTTTTAAATTTATAGATATGGGTATGCCATAATAATTACATAGAAATAAGAAATATATAAATGTATGAAGATTTAGATTATTTCAAAAAATAGGTCAACTTTATTACGACAAGTTTTTTGCTAGGTTGGTCTTAATCTGAATTACATTTTAACAAGCTGTTTTCTTGATCAGTTTCTTTAAATTTTTTTGAAAAAAAGAAATAAAAGCATTCGACTGCCTTTTCATTTTTAATTTAATAATTGAATATGTAATTTAGTAATATATTAAATTTACATTATCGCACAATAGACACACATCCACAGTTAAAGAAAAAATAATATTATTTTATTACTCGTTTTATTATATATAATATAAATAATAATAGACATTGGTGTTGTACTATTGCTGATCGTTTACAATTTTATAATATTTCAAAATAGTTAATAACAGTATTGCCAGTTATAATTTTTTTAAAAAGCTATGAGTACTATCACAAAAGGCCGGAAATCAGCTAAAAAAAAAAAAATCCATTAATAACAAACATATTAATGCAAAAATAAAAATATTAATATTATTAAAATTGTTGGCAATTTCCATTTTTTTATTTAGTAAAGCTATTAATCTTTTTATCATATTTTACAAGTAAATAATATTATTAGAACATTAAATAAAATAAATAAAGATATTAAATAATCATAATTCATAGTTTATTAAATTTTAATGTTCTGAGCAGTCCAACATTAAAATAACAAACAAGGAAATAAAATAATAAGTAATAAAAATAACAAAACAAAATTAATAGATAATACTTAAAAAATGTTAAAATAGTGTATTAAAGTCTTTTGAATCACGAATCTACAATTGTGAAACGAACTAAGATATACTAGTCCGAGGTGTAAAGTGATAACTAGATATGATAGATATTAACTAAATATGAATATAAATCCGATTCGTAGTTAACAACCACCACAGATAAATATAATTTGTTATAACAGCCAAAATATGGTTTATCATATGGAATGATAACGAAAACGAAGGGAAAAACTCATGATATCAATGACGTTGTGTAATATTATACTTATATACACAAACAATTAATTAAAATATATTATATATAACTTAAATCAGAATTAAGCTAATTAAAAACAATTAATGGCTAGAAAAAATGCTAAGAGCAAGATTGTGTATTTTTTCAGTCAGATTGAAATGAAAAAGGCCAGATTTAGCCTTAAAAAGGACAGATTTGGACTGGTTAATACCTTATACTACTGAATAAAATAATATAATGATACATTGTTTTTCGACGTCGTCGAAAGCAATTTCCTAGGAAAATAAACCAAGTAATGCTATAATGCTATAAATAGTCGAAAATAAGACCCAATATATATAGTTATTATAGTAATATGTCAACCACTGTACTCATTCCATTAATACTAATGGTTATAATAAGAACTTTTAGATTATATAATAAATAATTGATAAATAACTAACAATAATATTTGTTTTAGAAAAAATTTCAATGTTTCACGTTTTTGTGAAATATTGCATGCTTTAAGCACTAAACAATAGTGGTAAATTATAGATTTATCAGTGTTATATTTTAACTCTGAGCTATACAATTTTCTTGTCATATATTATAATTGTTGAACTATCGTAGTTTTATATTAGTAAAATAAAAAAAATATCAAATATGATAATATCCATGTATTCTTATGTCTTATCTTAAAATCTTTTAAAGCTTAATGCTTGCGGAAATTTAATTATAATTATTCTAAATAAAAAGCGTCTGGGGGGGGATATATCCCCATATCCCCCCCAAAAAAATTACGCTACTAGACATTGCGCGCCCAATTTGAATATAAACTATAAAAATAACTATATATAGAACACTGATTTTAAAGTTCTAACCTATTAATATAATATTTATTTAAGTTTGTCCAAGATAATATACGAAATAATAAATAAAAACTTAACTATTGCATTATAAATAAAAAATTTTTTATTACTCGAACTTTATTTTTATTTTAATCCGACTTATTCGAGTTGTGATATTTTCCAATGGCGTATATAGGGGAGCCTAGTGGGCTACAGCTCCCCCCTTGAAATGTTTAAAAAAACTTAAAAATAATTTTAAACGTTTGTTATACTTTAATGGTGCTTTATGCTTATTTAGAATTTGCATCCAACGTGAAATCGTTTTGAGACATTCTGCAAATAAAATGTAGATAAGTACCTACTGTCTTGTTAGTAATTCTTAGATAGCAGGGTTAATATAACTCTGTCCATAGTAGCCCCTCTCGAAAATATTTTCTGTATACGTCACTGATATGTTCTATATCAGAGATTCCCAAACTGTGGACCGCGACCTAAAAGTGGGTCGCAATTATATTTTTAGTGGGTCACGTTATATTTTTCATATGTTTCTATTACTTGTGGTTGATGTAAAATTATTTAGTTAGTTTTATTATTAACTGTTATCTGCGTTTGTGACAATTACAAATTTACTGCGACCAATAGACATAATAATATTTCTTTAAATGCTTATGCTCGACTGTGTTAACATAACGCAATCGGATTAATGATTATTGAAAATATAGCAATATATTTGAAACAATTTAGTACCAGTATGACGTTAAAATAAATTGATTATTTTCAATAATAAGCGGTACATTAAATACGATACATGCACGCAGTTTAAATCTTACTATTTTTCAAATAACCCATAAATTCGTTTTTTTTTTGTGCTTTTATACAGTTACTATGGACAAATGGTTAAAAAAAAGTCTGTGACTCAAAGTTCTGCAAAAACTGAAGAAACAGAGATAACATTTGAGTCAGCGGTTATGAAAAATAGGAAACAATTACATCCTTCACATTAAATTTATATAATTACTAATTAAATTACATATGTTAGTACAAAGTTTTTTTTATAAATATAAAAATTTTATTCGATTTAAAATGATGAATACAGCAAACAGCAAAAAAAAAAAAAAAGGTTAATGATATTATTTTGGGTTGTCACAAAATTGAAATAATTTCCAAAATGGGTCGTACTATAAGAAGTTTGGGAACTTCTGTTTTATGTAGCTGTTTGGCTTGGGTGTAAAAAATAAACACAGTAATTATCTATAAAACTGTTATATTAAACGGACAACACAATGTGACTAACATTACACACGAAAATGATAATAAAGACAGGTTGTATTCACAATCGGTGAGGCACTTAAACAGGCCGTAGAATTTTCTAGAGGCAGCAATGGACGGTGTGTCAGAATATTCGAGAACATTCTGGGCAACGCGGCAACATGATTGTCCGAGAATGTTTACGAATAATCACACACGTTCACCATGAACCATTACATCAGTGCACCCAAAATATTGTTACGAGCTATCTTATGTTTTTAGTTGTTCAGTACCATCATGTAACTTTACGGATATTGAGAAGAGATGATTTTAGGAAAAATGTTCATAGCGAAAAGTTCGGTGGAAATTTTGATTTCCCTGACTGAACGGTAAATACAAACGATTTTAATTATAAGTAGTAAATTATTTTTTTCAACTCTCAAACACGAGCAAAAAAATTACAATTGATTCGTGTTATCTTGTTCTTTCCGTTAGAAATATATTTGACACTGTTTTTGAGTCAAGTGTTTGGTTACAGTTTCGAATATTTTTAATCGATAAATCACATATATGGCACAGACAGAATAACTGATATTTTCTCGGTTCACCTACGGCTATCTCAACAGGTTTTTAGTACTTTGTCTCACTAGTACTGACCAATGGCGATGCAACTAAAGCATGATAACGATGACACAAGAATGGTATCTTTCGTACTACTGTGTGGTGTTAGATTATTTTTACTCCACCGATATGGTTGATGTTTGAAAAACAGTATCAAAATCATTTAATAAGCAACGGAATTTCATTACCTGGAAGCCGGCAACGGCGGTGGTACGTCGTAATCAAAACTGTAACCGCGGTTGTATCCCAGGTACTTATCGATCTCAGACGGCACGTCGAACACGCCCGACAGTATGTCACCGTGTTTCTCATCGTCGTCGTCCTCGTCGATCGAATCTCCTTTCTTGGGTCGCTCTATGAACAGCACTTTGGGCAGGATTTGGATGAACAGTTTCACCACCCACGGTCTCATCTTGTGCGTCACCGGCGACCTGCGACAGTGAAATATGATGTTATGACGACAGAATGATAATTACTTAATTGCGTATCAAATGCAAAAAGTTAACAAAAAGTTTTTTTTGGTTTTCCAAAATATGACCACCAGTGTCTGTTTTCACATCAACATATTGACCCTTCAAAGTTATAATCAGAAATCTGCACCAATCAACACTCTCATATCTGATATATCCGATACCCTAAATTATATGAAGTCACTTCCCCAAAAGGGTTAATAACGTCATTACATTTGGCCATCCGCTTCCACTGTTTTTACGTGAATTAAAATACAAATAATAAAGAAATTCTCAATGTATTATCAATGTTTTATACTATAATTAATGTTGAGTTATCCTATAGGACCAATAGTGGTCCCCTCAGTGTCAAAACTGTCAGATACAGCACTAACTATTGTTATTACCATAGGCAGATTTTTTTTTTCGGCTATAGGTACCAACAATTTGCCGTCCCTATAATAGATGAAGAAGTTATATTATCCCTTTCAAAATACTTAACCTAAATATTAAATATATAGACATGTGTTCCTACATCCATTTTAATTGTAGACAATTTTTTCGTTTTTATTAATTAGTCTACTTTGAAAAAATGTCAATAGATGTCTACTAAATGTTTGTAAGATATTTTCATAACAACAACATAGGATTATTTATATATACCTAGTCGAATTAGTAATATAGTGTGACGGTGTGGGTATTTATTTTTCTTCGAAATTCCTACAACGATATCCGATAAAAATAATATTAATAACCAAATAACCAAGACTAATAAGTTCATGCATTTGCATATCAATCTTGCAAATTTGTATTTAATACTAGATGGCATAGAAATTCATTTCAAGGTACCATGGTTAAATATCTGAAATCTTATTTTGCATGTTTTTGCATATTTGGCATATTAATGCATATTTCTATTTTATCGCGCATATCATTCAACAATTTATTAGAATCTATCAAAAATCTTTATGGAAGATATATATAAAATTATAAATAGAAATTGTACTATCTTTTATTTTCTTATTTTCTTATTTTCTCGATACTTCATACATTTAATGAATATATTTGTTTCAAAAGTTTCAGATTTAAAATTAATTACTGAGAAAGACGTAAATTATACGCAATTATGAAGGCCCAAGAATAGTATTAATTAGTATTTAAAATCTATTTTTAATTGTGATAAAAAAATAAAATATAGCTATGAAAAAAATGAATGGATAATTCAAGTTATTTCAAAAAATATTTATGATTTTTTTAAGTAAGCATTTTTTAAGTGCATTTTTTATGCGCATAGTTTTAGATATTTCGTGCATATAAATGTATATTTTTTAACTTTTTAAGGCATATTTAAAGTATATTTTGCTAATTTTAAGTGCATAGATAACTTACAAACCCTGTTAATAACCATTGTTTCTTGATATAATATGAGTATCTGACTCATAGTCGACCGTACGTATTTTTAACAGGTAACGCGGGCTCTTTGCGGACTATACCAACGTGTTAAATATAGTATTGTCAAAAACTGTTTTCTGTTCAGTTGTTTTTATTTATAATGAGTCATTATTAATGACTATAAATTATAATGAACCAAAATAGATATAACAATAATATAAAAATATGAACGAAATGTACACATTATTATACAATTATTTTTCATAAATATAAAATAATTAATTATTTTCGCATTTTTTTTTCATACGTTTGATGTTTTTTTTAAAACCCTACAGAATATGTCACCCCCAAATTTTACCGCCCTAAGCAGCTGCCTATAGTGCCTAATGGGAAATCCGACTCTTGCGTTCTCTATGTTGTGTTAAAAGTTATCTCTTATGTTATTATTTTTATCTGTTATCTCTTAAGATAGTTGTAGCAATAAAAAAAAAGTTCAGCCCAGTGCGCTTTTTACACAAGTGATCATACATCCAAATACAAAGTTTGTTTCAAGCATAAATTACTTCTTGAAAGTCGCAAATCACCACGGTTCCTCTTATAAAATTTCTATCTCATTTTTCCAATTTTTTTTACGTTTCCATCACTGATTCTAATAATATTCAACTACCCAATAGTTTTGTCGACGATAAGCCGTTTTCCCAAATTTATTTCAGATCTTTCGGCATTAATAAATCCCCTCATTTATTTTTTTTAGAGCTGTCCTACACAAACAGCTTATTCCACAGTACAAATTCTTTTCAAATCCTATTCATTATATCATTATGTTTAATTAATAATCCATCACTTATTGTTATTCTATATTTGAATAGTTTTAATTTAATATTTGTATTGTTGAACTGTAATAGATTTTACCATTGATAATAAATAGTATAGATAGCTCACTGCAATACAAAATGCGCGGCTCGTTAAAAGGCGGGTTTCGCTACGAGGCGCTCCGCGCAGTTATTAGTTTTGGCGGGTGTCGTTATAATCGCTAGTAGTTTACAAAAGTGGGGACTGCCATTTGGGTTGCTCCCATTTTAATAATAGATAGGCCTATTTTATGTTTAATACCTAAATATAATAAAAATTGTCTATAATATACCTATACAGATCATACTATTAAGTTTTCATTGGAAAAAGGTTATGACTGTTATAAGCATGTTACATTTTAAAATACAAATAAGCGATGTAATATTATATAAATAGCCATATAGTAATCACATATTCACATTAACATATTAATTATTTTAAATACAATATAAATAGGTACTCACATAGATTGTAAATAGTATTTAAATAAATACTATTTATAATCAATGGTACAAACTATATTGAAAAATAAAGGGAATATGGATTTACCAATTTATTTTATTGTTTGGCTAATGTGTGTAGTTTTCTCAATGCCCCTCTCGACCACCAAGACCATTGTCGTAATTTATTTTTGAACAAATTTAAATATTTTGTTACTATTTTTAAGGTATTTAATGTTTGTCTTGGTACAAAATAAATGATTAATACAGCCAACACTCAACAGGCATCGGCTAATGGTTGAATTTGTGTATATTTAATTCGATAACCGTTTACTGCCTTGTGTTTTTTCAAATTGTTTGATTTAAAATAAATTATATTTAAAAAAAAAAAAAATGTCAGGAGATAAATGTGTGTATTTTGAATGTAATTTAACAAGAAGATCATCGAAAAATGTGTACAAAAAACTTGTAAATCTACAAAACAACAGCCTAAATTGAGAATACTACAAAACAAATAATTAATTGTAATATATTGTAATACTAAAAAAAAAAAATGTTTTAAATGTTTTAATATTTATTTAATTATGTTTTCATGATAATATAAGAATATTTCGAAATAGTAAGCAGTTATGACTAGTTTGAGTATGGAGAATATTAATATTTAAATTCAATTTAATATCAAAACTATCAACACACCTTTAATTAAAACTGGTTACAACGTGCTATTACGTGTGTACAGTGTGTTACGACAGTGACAAAACAATGCAGGTCTTCACTATTTATAACCAATGTCAATACCATTGATTATAAATAGTACTATTTACGTCTCACCGAGGACCGACCGCTGACGTTTAGCAACGATTAAAAATAATATTATTTTATTCCATTATAATTGACAAAATTCCTTATCGCCCTCTATCGGCAAAAGTTTCTTACGCAGCATATTTTGTATTGCAGTGAGCTATCTATACTATTTATAATCAATGATGTTACTAAAAGTTCTAGATAAAAGAAAAAAAAAACTTTCTCTTACGACTAAATTTAATGATTTCAATACTGACACAAATATATTACGGATGTGTTGTTTGTTCTACAACTTCTGTTGGTATAGCAATTTGTAAAGAAAATAAGAGCTATCGACCTGCAATCTCAAAACTCAAAACACCGAAACTTTGATTTGTGACACTCCTGCACCAACAAATAAAAATGCGATTTATTAAACATGTAGTTAAAATTGCAATATATATAAATTGATATAACACTTTTTTTCAATAATGTTGTGATTTGAGAATTTTAAATTTTTATGAGTAAACCGTTTTAAATATATTTTGAATTATATATTGAGTACTAAAGCAATTTTATTTAACATATTTATGAATAAATTCATCTTCTGGTGTAATACATCAGATTCATATATAAATAATTATGTTGTTTTTATTTTATATTAACAGAATTACCACAAGGTCATTTACATACCAAGATAGTATGTTAACAAGGTTGACGTTACAAGATCCATTGAAAACCACACCCATTTCTGAATGAACATAGAATAAATATGAAAGTGGAAACCAATAAAATGTATGTATGTAATTTTTACTGCAGGTATACGGGTGTGAAATTATTCTTTTTACTAAAAACTTATTGGGCAAACAGTTAATGTTTTTGTCTCTGTAAGTAAATTTAAAACTTTTTATTTTATTGAGCGGTTTATTATTTTAATCTAGTGAACATCATTTTGAAGTGTGTTTAAACGACAAATGCGAACTTCTTCATTAAATTGTGCTGATTTTAAATTGTTCAAGTCCAGCTCACCACAGCGATTTTTAATTACTGTATTCAATTATAAGGTAACTGCAATAAAAGTTATGTTGACAAAATTTAACAACTTAAATATCCCAAACTCATTGAAACTATTTGAAGGGATATGGGAAAAACAATAATAGTCAATATTCCTAAATTGTTTAGTATTATAGTTGTATAATTTCAGAACTCAAAACACTGAAAGATAAAGTACAAAATAATTTAAAAAATGTTTTATGGTAATACAACTATTTTTGATAAAGTTAATAAAAAAAATTAAATTAACTTTTTAAAAAAATTAATAAATAAATAAAATAAATGACAAGATGATATAATTATCAGATTTTTTTCTTTTTTTTTTGATTGTTATCATTTTTCCTCGTAAGTCTACATTTATTGTTTACTTAAGATTTTAATCTTCTTGACTCATAACTATTTTTTACCTACCTTTTATAATGTAACTATAGAAATAATTTATTTAATTATTATATTAATGTTTGTCATTTCTCAAATAACCAAATAATACTTTAATTGGAAATTATTTATGCCGAAATCATAATCATCATATAGTTAACGTCACCAGAGAGGGTTATAATGGATTTTTACTATTATCTTTTTATATTACAGAATATAACTAATCGTCTGTTGTTTTTATGGCTTATATATCTTACTTTTTACAATAAAAGTTGCATACAATCGTTGTCAGTACACTAGTTACGGGTTTTGACCGGAGCCTTACGCCCGCGAGCATAAGGACCATGTTAGGATCCGCGGCCTCTATTGAGTAATGTGTTTGTTTAATTATCTAGTGTTTGTCATGAATGCTGCTGAAGTAGATACTTCAAACTTGGGGGGATTATAATTTCCGGAGTGGTAAGACGGTTCGACGTACAACCTCCTCCTTTTCGTGATACCAGTGGTACTAACATGGTTATATGTTGACGTTGATGAGTTAACCCTGGAAGTTATACCCTTTTCGCTATTTTGGATACCCAAGCCAACTAGTGACGGGTCGTAATCGTTATTAATACAATAGCAGATTCTATTTTCTTCTTCTTCATTTTTTAAAGGCCATTGCAGCCAATTACCGCAACACAAACCTTTTTCCACTTGACTCTATCCTGCGCTACTGTTTCTCCATATGGGTGGTTCCTTATATTACTGTTGTAATTCTGTATTGTTTTTTATTTTATATTGTTGTGTAGTATGAGTAGTCTTTTTTGCCCATAAATTCTTTTTAATATTCTTCTTTCAGAGATTGTTATTTTGTCTTCATCGCCTTAGGTTATTGGTCATGTATACATGTATATAAAATAACTGATAATTCCCTTGTATAGTGTAATTTTTTGATTTTATTGATCCTGTTTTGATTTAAAGACAATCGTTAATTCATAATAGCATTTATTCATTGCAGTGGTACTAATTTTAATTTTTTCATGACTTATTTTTGCTATTATATTGTAAATTTATTCCTATCTATACGACCAGGTATTTAAAACAATGTACTCTTTCTTATTTATAATTCTCAAATTTTGAATATTTCTATGATTTTTCTCGACTACCGTTTATAATACTATATTAAAGAGTATTGGGAATAAAGCATTCCTCTGTCGAAGTCCGGTCTTAACTCAAAATTTATCTGAAATATGCTGGTTGAACCTAACTTTACATCTCATTTTGTCCATTTGAACATTTTCACTGTTTTGGTTTGTATCCTAAAGGTTATATTTGCATTTCATAGCACTTCTCCACTGAATGAATCATATTTATTTTTTAAACATGATGTTTATAATTAATAAATATGTCATTTCGAATTCATAATGTTTCTCAACTAATTGTCTAATAGTGAAAATATAATCTATAGTGGATTTACTATTTATAAAATCATATTGGTAGTCTCCAACGATTTCTTAAATATAAGGTGTTTTTTTTTTTTAATGTGATTTTCTTTAAGGCGTAATTCTATTTATTTATTTCAGACTCTATTTGAAAATTAGTTAATGAAAAATATTGAATGTATGAAAAAAATATTTCAAGATAGTAATCCATTTAGTCAAGATTACCTTGTCTACACCACACAATTTAGAAAAAAAGGAATGAGTATAAGAACATTGAATGAAAATCAAAATTTTAAACATTCTTCAAACTGAAAATATTTATAATTTTTCTAAGGTAGATCGTGAAATTATCACAAATTTTTGATTGTGTATACGAAAATGTCGTTAATTTTCTCATTGATTGCAACCATCCAACATTTAATAATTACTGTTGCACTTGGATTAATTTTTGCGTTGTTATTATATATATATTTTACTTGGACTTTCGACAAATGGAAAAATCTCAACGTACCTTACGTTCGTCCTATTCCATTATTTGGCAACTACTTGAACAACGTACTATGCATCAATCATCCAGCAGACACGTATAAACTAATTTATCGTAAATTAGCTGGTCACAAATATGGAGGTTTTTTTCAAATGAGAACACCGTACTTGATGATACGTGATCCAGAAATGATTACCAACATACTTAATAAAGACTTTTCGTATTTCCCTAATCGTGGTATTTACACGGACTATTCAGCTGATCCCATGAGCGAAAACTTGTTTTTTTTGTATTATCCGAGATGGAAAATAATTAGAAACAAAATAAGTCCAGCATTTTCGCCTGGAAAATTAAAACAAATGTTAGATCAAATAAAAGAATGCAGTGATACGATGATGGAGAATATTTACAAAAAGTTGGACGATATTTCAAACGAAATTGAAGTCCGGAGTATTCTGGCTAGATTTTCATTAGACGTTATTGCAACTTGTGCTTTTGGACTGATATTAAATAAAAATTATGAAGATCAATCTGAATTCCATATGTATGGAAAAACCTTATTTCAACCATCTCCTAGGATTCTGATAAGAGAATTGTGTTTGATGATTTCACCAAAACTTTTAAAAATCTTGAGATTTCCGAATTTTCCGCCGAAGGCTTCTGCATTTTTTCACAGAATTTTTCACGAGACCATTTCACATAGAGAGAAAAATAATTTAATCAGACATGATATCGTGCAAAATCTAATACAAGCGAGAAAAGAATTGGTTTTGAACCCAAATTTATCACAAGATGGTAAGTTTATTTTTCAAAATTGTATGAGAATACAATTTACTTGCAATTATATTATGTATTTATCATTTTTAGAAAAGTTTACTGAAACACAAATTGTAGCAAATGCATTTGTTATGTTTGCTGCTGGATTTGAGACTGTATCTACAGCTCTTTCTTTTTGCTTGCATGAACTATCATTAAAAAAACACATTCAAGATAAGGTTCGTATGGAAATCAAAACAAAACAATCTAAACACAATGGAGTGCTGGACAGTGAATTTTTGAAAGAACTCCATTATTTAGATATGGTGATAGCTGGTAATTAAATACATATTGAAATTAAGTATTTTGATTAAAAGTTGTGTTTAAAATTATTGACTTGTATATTAAATTATACGTATTCTTTGTCTTCTTTATTACAAATAATTATAGCATTAATAAGAGCATAAATAATTTTAATCATTCATTTTTACATTTCTAAGATAGATTTTAACATAATTGATTTTAAAAAGTTATATCTAATTATGAATGGGTACATAACTGTTTACATTTTTAATTAATTAATGAATCAGTAACATTGAATTAGGTTTTAAAATAAATAATTTATAATTTTCAGAAACACTTCGAAAATATCCTGCAACATTTGCTTTGTTTAGAGAGGCTGTTAAAACATATCACGTTCCAAACGATTCACTAGTGATTAAAAAGGGACAGAAATTAATAATTCCCATCATGTCTCTTCATAATGATCCAAAGTACTTTAATGATCCCGAAGTATTTGACCCGGATCGTTTTTTACCTGAAGAAAAGGCTAAACGACCAAATGGGGTCTACCTTCCATTTGGGGATGGACTTCGAGTATGCATCGGTATGTAAATATTTGAAGAAAAAAAATACAGTACATTTTTGATTTCGTACTATGTTTGTTTTTTTTTTTTTTAGGAAAACGTTTCGCTCAAATGGAAATGAAATTATCGTTGGTAAAAATTTTATCTAAATTTGAAGTGGAGCCATGTGAAAAGACAGAAATTCCCATTCAATTTAGTAATTTATCTATAATAGTTCTTCCGAATAGCGAAGAAGTTTGGTTAAAATTTAATAAGCTCTCAGACTGAGTACATAATCTATTTACTATGTCACACAGTAGGAAAATTGATTACCTAAGTTAGCAAAAAATAAAAAGCTTTGTTAATCTTGGTTATTAAAAGTTTTGTAAGCTTTATATATTTTTTATACTTGCCCTTAATAATTCGACACTTATTGCCTAATAATTTCACTTATCTAATTTATTTATTTATTTATTATTTACAAAGTATTGAATTTTATTTATGTATATTTATTTTCGTAGTAATACATAATATATATATTGTTGGGCCAAAGGATCAATTATTATTATTAAACCATTTAACCATTTATATAACTCTTTTCACATTATTTAGTTATCTATTGAGCAAATTATAACTTAACAGATTTGCCTGGAGATGTCGACTACTTATGTTAAAGTGTATACATTTTTATACGATCGGTCAGGTATCAAGTAAAAACAATAGGGCAATGTCATATTCAATTATTTATCTAATGTATACAGTGCACAAAAGTCACCTTCAATTTTAGTCAGTAGCCACTAGTTTGTTACACTTAGCTCTTACAATTAGTTTTAATGTTCATATAACTTGTGTTTTTACAAAAAGTTATCGACACAACAAGATCAGATTTAGATGTAATTAACCGCAGACGTTTTCGAATTTCTCTTCGTTATATCAACTCTCCATTTTTATTTCATTAGTATTTATTTCGGGCGCTTCATGCCACTTATAGGTTAGTAAGACTAAGCAATTTGTTAGAAATATAATAAAAGATGTGTGTTCATGCGAGGAATGCATTGCAGTTTCATTGAGTTAGTATAATATATTTGGGACATTTGGAAACAAGAACATCTGTCAGTCGATCGAAGACCCTGCGAAAAGTGTGCGCGCGCAGTAGTGTTGGTGAACCTACCTGAAATTGACGTTCAACACAGCCACGGTAACGAATACGGACAACGTAACCAGGACCATCGTGAAGAGGAGATACTTTCCGAGCAAGGGCACGGTGAGTGACGTGGGTGGGATGATCTCGACCAGGAGCAGGAAGAACACGGTCAGCGATAGCAGTATGGATATGCACAGGGATACCTTCTCACCGGACTCGGATGGCAGGTAAAACACCAGCACGGACAGAAACGATATACCCACGCACGGTATAATCAGGTTCACCGTGTAAAACAGCGTCTTTCGCCTGAGCGTGATGTTGAAGAATATGTCCAGGTACGGTTCCTCGCAGCATACATAGAACTTCTCGTGTCTGACTGCCGGTACGCCCATGATGTCCCATTCCACCGACAGGTAATAGTCCTGTAGATCGATGCCCACTTCGATGACGTCCGAGTCAGGCGCCTGGGATATGTGCCGTAAGTCCATCTGCAAAATGGAGGATAGTGCAAAATAAAAAATTCTGTTAATAATTACTGTGTCCATGATAAAATAGTGGTTATGTGATTATAGGACTCGCTCATATTAGCTGCGAAATAAAGGAAAGTTAGGAACACTACATTTCCGATTATTGTTCTCATTCCAAGAAAGGGATTATTAGCATATTATTATAAGGCTCCATATAACATTTGTAACCTCAAATTTTCTAAACGTTCTTTATTCCATTGTAATTAACTCTCATGTCAACCTCCCCCCTTTCTTCCATGAGTTTCGATTGATAATAATAATAATGATAATTATTACTGTGGCGGTACAACTATATGACATCTCGAGGAATTCGACCGAAATTAACACTGCACGTGACTCGAAATTTACTTTATTTTAGAGCAACTACTCCCGGTAACCGATTTATGTATAATAGTTTCTCTAGATCCGTCGGATGAATTAGATCGAAAAAAGTACAATAACGCCGTCAAGCATGATTGCTAACCATGTATCCATCGTACGTCCACGATCCAAACTTCATAGAACAAGTTTGCTCGTCGAACGGGAAATATTCGACGTTTATCTCGCAAAACGATTTGTAAATGGCCGGTGGTTTCCATACGACTTTTCCCGTATAGTGCAGTATAGCCTTCGTCATTATTGTCACTTCATAATTACCATCAGCACTGTAAACACACAAGCGATTGTTGTTATTCTAAATTTATCGGTTGTATATGAATAATTCTTCGGACGGAGTAAAGAACGGAAAATTGTATGAAATAATTTTTTAGGATAAAGGAAAATTATGATGTTCAAAGAAAATGTTGAATTTGAGGATAATTTATGTAATATTATAATTTTTCTATATTTGTGTCTAGGATTTGTTACTTGAAAAATAATGATAAATCTATTTTATTCTAATTGATATTTTTTATTTGTTAAAATTAAATATAAACGGGCCTATAAAATACAGTGATAAGTGAAAAAATTTATAATTTTATTATGTCATTAAACCATTATGCAGTACATCAGTGAACTTTTGATTGAAGCACTTATCGGGTAACGAAATTGGTTTAACTAATAATAAAAGTGGTACTGTTTACAGTGTAATTTGTATACCACGTTCCCCTCGTTGGTTTCAAATTACATGTTGATTTTATTGTTTACTATATTAGATAATGTGATAAACAAAAATTAAATCAATTTACCATTATATTTCTAGGTCAGCGATTTCCAAACTATGAGGCACGCCTCCCTTGGGATGCGCAAGTAATTATTGAGGGAAACGCAAGGCAAATATTTATATTGTATATTATATTATCATACATTTATTTTTTATCCACAATAATTTGATTATATTTAAATAATAAAAAATGTTTTATGAATTCATAGGAGGCGTGATTAAATTTTTTTATTTCGGAGATGCGTGACCAAAAAAAGTTTAGCAATCGCTGTTCTAGGTGAATATTGTGTAATTTTTAATAGACTATATAGTTATGATTTTATGACTTAAAACTATCAAGAAAAAAAGACAGAAACAGACAACATGGTTTATACACAACGGTGGTAAAAAAATATTTAAAGATAATAATATTGTATGGTGTAAGAACATGGTAAAAGTGACAAAATATCCACAACTAAATTTAGCTTCAACTATTAAATTTGATCTATACCTTTTATAGCGGTTGGAACAACAGAATTTGTTGAATGTTTATTCAATACGAGCAACGGAGTTGTTTTGTGTAAACTCATGTTTTGGTTTCTGGCATTTGAAGTTTTTTACTATAATATTATTACAATATTGCACAATCTCAATATTAAACATTAAATAATAATTATTGTTATTATTTTTAACTAATAAAAATATGATTTCAACTTAGGTAATTCTTTAGTTTTTGGATTCAGAGTAAAGCTGTATTGAATTTGCAACGAATGCACTTTTTCTATGGAATTATTTTTAGTGGTAGTCTTAAAAATATCTCATGAACCCAGAAATTTGATTCTGAAAGAATTGAAAAGTTATCTTGTTATCGAAGAGCGAAATTATTTGGTATCAAAATGTTATCAATATTTCTTAAACTTATTTTTAATTAATTTATTTTTTCATTGCATTAGTGAAGTATGCATTTATATTTTGTATTAATCTTCAGTTTTGTAAAATATTATTTTTAAAAATATTCAAATACAGATATATATATATATATATATATATACTTGTTTTCAAAAGTATTTAAAATACATATTTGAATATTTCATAAAAATATTTATATGTATTTTTAAATACTTAAAAAATTTTATAATATCGTTTTCCTTATAATTATATATAAAAAATATATAAGATTATTTAAAAAATATATTTATGTCTTATATCTGTTATGAAGCACTTGAACTCGTGTCAAATCAAAAATAAAAACGCTGAACTTTATTTTAATTCTATATAAATAATAATTATTAACCGTGCCATGGAGGGGGGGGGCTAGGGGCATATGCCCCGGACGCATGGTTTAAAGAGTTGCCAAGAATTTTAAAATTATGATTTACGATTAACGATAAATACATTAGGGTCGAATATTTATAATTTGGCCTTGGGTGCCAAATTTTAATGGCACGGCTCTGCTTCGAGTACATAACACAAAATTACTAATTTTATCTTGATAAAAACGAACATATATTTTGGATAAACACGTATTTATCGAGACAGATGTATTAAGAGTTTTACTTTTAAATAAAATCTTATCACATATCAAAAATTAATTTTTTTTATTAGTTAATTTCTTTATCAATCAACATGTTGGCTGTTGATAACTGCTAGCTCGTAATCAGTAACTATATTCTGAAATATAAAAATGAGGTAATCTAAATTATTTTCACTACTGTGTTTATTTAAAGTTATTAAATATTAAATAGAAATAACTAATGAGGAATGTTCTTAGTACAAAATAAACCATTAAAATTAATAATTCATTACACTTAAATAATATAAAATTTTCAAAATCATCATTGGTAGTACGACCTCTTTTTTAGATTTTAATGTGATAAAATTAATATAAAATTATTTTAAAATATTTTTTGATTTTAAAAACAGATACTCTGGTAAAGTATTTAAAATATTACGATCATGATTTTTTTTCAAATCTAATTGAAGTATTTAAGTACTTGAAAAGTATTCGAATTCTTATATTCAAATACTTATATTCAAGTACTTTATAAGACTGTTAATCTTTAAATCAGAGCTTACTATGTATTATTTAATGTTTATAAGTTTATAAACTTGTCTATTTAAGTCATAACGTCTTTTAAAGTTTTAAGAGACTAGATACTCAATATTACTGTTGTATACGTACGATACCGAAATAAAAATAATTTAATATTTTTTTTATGGACTATCGAAGTATTGAACATACATACAATATACTTACATATCTTATATAAACATAAAATATATTTTTTCATATTTCTTACTGTTTTAGGAAAAACAATTCACTATTAAAATTAACTAAAATATTTTAATGAATACTAGTGTACCCAATAGTATTAACTTATAAAACCTACTTATTATATAGTACTATGTCTGGCAACCAAATATGCTCAGATGGTACATGTAAGGTATCTACCCCTCCGTAATCTTCGGGATTCCATTTTAGTTTATAGTCATTCCATTCCTAAAATGAAAAATAATATTTTTAATAATTATTTTTATGAATAGAGCCGTCTGGTAAACAGTTATTACTTGTTCAACCCACACATTTGTCGTCATTATTTGATTTCTTAAGTTCTACAAACAAATATAAAATCAATTTAGTTGAATGACAATATATGATCTAGTCAAATAATAAATATCATCTAACACTCAAGTGATACTCAAAACGACTTAAATATTTTACTGTACAGTAGTATAAAATAAAGTAATTAAAATTTCATAATGATAAATGACAAGTTCTTTAAGAAACAGTACATTATTAATTTTAGCTGTCTTCTGGAAATCGCAGCAGTATAAATCCTCTGTCCGGCTGTCATCCGTTCAAGATAATTGAACGCTGTCATTAGATATAGTTCTGACAAGATAATAACATAATCTTCTAATTTCATAGCAAAAATTTGTCACGAAAAATATCAGATAAATCGGAAAACGCCCATTGGTCAATATAATAATAATATATGTTGTCCAAATAAAGAGGTTTTAAAAGATAACTCTCTCGATAACTAATATTTTCGATGTGTTTTTTGAAAATATAATAAAAGAGTCATAAAATAAATTAAATTACTACGAGTTACGTGTGAAAAAAATAAAACTATAATGTAACACGATACTATATTTTGAAACCGGGAAATCACTTAAGGCGACTTTTTTCTTTATTTTGTTCGATTATTTATACATATCTTATTTACTATTCGCACCATAGACGGCATATTCATCCCGTGAATATTTCACCCCGTGACTATATTCACTAATGATAGGCAGAAACTTCTACGTATAACGCCACGACTTTAACGGCGGGCAATCGTCATGACTTCGGAACAGATATGAGTATACAATCGATGTTTATATGTGATTGGGGTGATCGTTATTATCACTACAGTGCATTGTGATTGTGCTCGTTAAACCATCGACGACTTACTACTTCGATGATCTGCGATAGTTTCAGACCCATTTTGACTGTCAACCGATCGGAGTTATTGCCGACAGGTCTGATGAGTCGATTGTAGTTGCTCAGCAGGTCGTCGTACAACCGTTTGGCATCAGCGCTCCCGTACACGGATGCGTACCGCATAGCCAGTTGTCCGATGATGACCGAGGCGAATACTGCGCAAATGATTTTCATGGCTAAAACGAAATTATGTACTAAAGTTTTAATATTTTCAACCTATTTTAAGTACTCAAATCCTAAATATTAGTAGGTATACAAGTGTAGTACATACACACAAACCACACAAACACGACACATGAGGGGGAGGGTTATAGACCCCTTAGCCCCTTCCTGGCTACATAGCTGTGTATATGGTAATGTATATGTGTATTTTACTCGGGCGATTGATTAAAATGTATTAAATGACTATAGCTTTTAAGTAAATACTTACTGCGATGATATTAATTCTAGTCTTCAAATGTCGCGAGTAAATTATATATACCATGGTTAATCATGTTCCCAAGCCATCTAATTAGATTCTTGTTCATTATTTCGTCACTCGTAAGCGCTAGCGCTCGATTTATCTGAAATCAAATGGAAATAATATTTTGTTATTAAACTTATTGCAATGTTTAAATGGGGGGGGGGATGTACGAAGGATTAATTAAAGAAAAAATTACTTTATGTCGATGCACGACGGACTTTATATTTGTTATAATTGATGGTTTGTGTTGAATCGTTATTCAATTGCGATGAAAAATCTGTCAACGTAAAATTTCAAGCACAAAGCTGGATGTTGCACCTAATGTTTGACAGAAGTTTATTACATTATAAATAATAGCCAACGAATGCGAAACGGAACGAAAAAATATCGATAAAGTTAAATATAGCTTGCTAAAAATGTATTTTAGTCGTTCATCTATAGATAAATGTTGTTATAGAGTATCACAATCGAAGGTTCCTGAGTTATGATTCCATCAGTTTCAGTTGTGGCGGTGGAATATTTGATGGTTTACCGACCGCCAGATGAGTTTAGTCACTTATACCACAACTAGTTTTTAGAGTGGTAAACATATTAAAGAATTTAGTGATTTAGCTGTCAAAACTATAATGGAGTATTTGTTAAATAATCATTGAGATGTAAAAGTAGTGAATCAGTACAGTGAAATCTCTTTACAAATATAATATATAATATATATTATATATTATATGTACTTGTTGCCATAATGTTTATCAGAAAAGATAATTTACATTGTATCAATGCGCGTACTATATATTTTATTTTCAATTGAACTTAATAACATTAAAGATTTGAAATACGAGTACAGCTTAGTGGATTGAATTGAAATACATTTTAACTTACGTGAAAACCACTCAAATTAATTACCGTTAAAAGTACCACTAAACGAGTAGAACATAATTAATTTAATCAGTTTGGTCAATATTTTTTCGTCAGAGAAACGTTAACAATAATTAATGATATTTTATTTAAAACTATGACGTTTTATCGAGTTATCGTCACTACGCGCTATACGAAATATGACACGCGGTGAGCGCTTTCCGTCGAGTTGAGACGATAGAGCGTATCCATAAAGGGATAAACAGCGAAGTGGTCGCGCACAAGATGCGATTCGGGATAAGAATATAATTCGCGGCCGATCTCGATGGTAGACGAGACAATGGAAAACAGGGTCGATAAAATCGTAAACACGCATAAGTATCTTACACGATTGGACGAAATCAGGACTTTCGACGGCGAACGCGAACGTCTACCACAGTTATCGCATAGGGGTTGGGGCGGAGTGGTCGGGAAAACGTTACGATTTATTCGTGGTGCACTATTAACAGCCTCGATACCCGGATGCCGTACGAAGCCGCGAACCCGTCGAACCCGTTCCGCTGTTGGTCCCGCCCGACCGCGTGAACCTATCGTACGAACGTCGCGCGCGCCAAAAGCGACGCTCAGGGTCGTACGTGCGGCACACGGGTATACGAGGTGCCGATAAAATAGCTGGGACAGTACTCGGGTACGGCGCGAGCCGGCGGTAGTTTACCGTCGAAGAAATCGTTGCAACGGTACATTAATTGATTGTTTTATGCACGCGAACGGCGTACGGCGAAAACGAGTAGTTTCCCGCGCCCCCGTTCCGCTCGTCCTGCTTACAGTCTGCGACGCAACGCAATCGCGTAGTACGGCACGCGCGTCTACCCCCCGGTCACGGCGGCGGCGGTACGGATCGCGTTGAGTGGCAAAACGGTCCACGTTGCGGGGGAGGAAACCGTCATCGCGCGGCGCGTATATCGATCGACCTTGTTCTCAACGGCTTAACCGTTCGCGCGGGTCCTGCACACGCGCGCGCGGTCCTCGACGCGAACATATCTTCGGTTCTCCTCACTCGAAAAAACCGTTTCCCGCACCGGCACCGAGATCGTTGTCGCACGAGTAACCGTTCGATCCGTTTTCGATCCCGAAGCGGCCCCCGGGAACCCGGACCGCCGTTTTCGTTTTCATCATCGCCGCGATTCGCGCACCGGCGGACGGAAGGGGGGGGGGTGTCGTTCTTCCCGGACCGTAAGGGTCTTTCGACTTTTTCAGCTCACACTTACTTCGTTCGAGACGGTGCGGACCCACGACGACGACGACGACGACGACGGTGTCCTAGCCCCGGACACGAGTTCGTAGCGACGACGAGAACAGCACCCGTACATGTGTACCGAACGAGTATCGCGCCCCGGAATCGCGCGACGGTCTCGTACCCGACGGTTGGACTAATGCGTGCGCTCGGTTAGGTCCGCGTTTCGGGCGTGCACGCGGGGCGCGAACGGATGCGTGCGGCGTACGGCACTACGGGGCGCGTACGCGTGTCGGTGTGCGGGTGCGCGGGGCGTACACATCGCACTGATCTCTCGGCTGCGTGGCCCGTGCGCCGCGCATAATTCATCCGATGCCGGTCGTCGGGTCGGCGGCGGCCACTCCGGGGAGGGTTGTGCGGGTCTCGAACGTCCACGAACGGTACCGACGGCGCTGGATTGGTGGAGGGGGTGGTGATGCGGCCGGTGGACCGCGCGTGCGAGTCGATAAAGACGGTTTACGGAACGATCACGGCACTAACGGCATTCTATCCGTATGCGCGCGCCCATCGCTAGTACCTTTATGATAATATTGTTGTGCAGCGAAAACGCTGCGAGACTGAATCCTCTATTCGCGTAGGATATTTTGTGCGCGATTCAAATCTCGAACAGAAGTGAAAATATTGTATCGTAATAGAACAAATGTCTGAATCACGCGAAATCGTGTGTCGTACCGTCGTTGCGAATATAGGGAAAAGTAGAAATTAATAAGAAAAACACGTTTGTTCGTTAACAGCCGTCCAACAAACAATATAAACCTTATAACGCCGTCACCGGTTACAGTATTGCGTGCTACCGTTAGGCGTACAGATGTTTAATAATAATTATGAATAATTAAGCGAAGTATCGAGTCGGAGTCGGTCTGTTGTTTCTTAACGGTTTTGTTAAACCCAGTAACGACTAATCAAAAATAAATCGAACGTACATCATTGTTCATAACAAATGATAGATTTACCTTAATGTTTATGTTGGTTGTCAGCGATAGATTTGTAAACACGTAATTTGTTTTAATTTAATTCGTTATCTTTTGCGGTTCTGTGAAATCGGATAAAAAAATATTATCAGTTGGCTCTTAAATAGTTACGGAAGTTACGTTACAAAATCGGTGAACCACTCTTGATGAATTACTATTTTAAACATCAACGAAATAAATTCGAAACTTGTTAATTTGTGAATTCTAATAGAAATAAAATGTAGTATCTATCTGTCATAATATTTTATCCTCATTTAAGACGATAACTATGGTATGATTACGAATTAGTCTTAGTTTGGAGAATTTATCCCTTGAAATTTTCGTATCATAAAGGTCGTTTGTGTGTATAAACATCCTTATTGGCTAGGTATTACCATTTTTACATTGTTCACAAATATTTAACACTATAATAATTTTTATTATTATTAAAGCACTAATTTAATTATATGAAATATCTGTGTATAAGTAATTTAAAATATTAAAGTAAGTTGACGAAATACCTAGTTGGAATTCTCACATTTTATTTACATTTATTCCTCTTCATTATACCTACATAATCTCACATTCTTCATCAATAATTAACAGTTATAAATAGGGTTCGGATTTGAAAGTAAAAGCTTTTTTGTATTATTAATAATTGAAAATTAATTTTTATATTAAAATGTGTTTCATTTAATATCCAAGATGATGGATGTATTTTTTTGCCTTTTTTTGACTTTATTTTTTTATAAATACCGTTTTGCTTTTTGTTGTTGCCTTTTTACTTATAAATACCTTTTTTGTATTTGATTTTCAACTAATTTTATAATTTTTTACACAGCTTAGGTATTATCGGTATAAATCGATAAGAGCTTGAGAAGACGGTGCATTGTCGATGTGATGTTTAAAATTATTAGTAATCTTAATTTAGATAGTTATTTATGTATGGAGTACTCCCCAATAACTTTGGTGGATGTCGAAAGATCATTTTATATGTACAAAAATATTTTGAGCCCAAACCGTCAAAGTTTTAACGAAGATAGCAACTTATTTAAGTACATAATAGTGATTTTTTTTTATCATTATTTAGTTGCTTATTTAATTATGAAGTTATTTTTTAAATTGCTTTTTATATAAATTAAATGTCTTTTTTTGCCTTTTTTCACATTTTAAATATTTTTTTTATTGATTATACAGCCTTCAAATCCAAACCCTAGTTATAAATTATATTTATATTTAATACTAAGGTACTATTTAGTATTATGGTATTGACTAGACCCTAATATATTTTAACTTTTTATAATGTTGGATAATTCAATATCAATATCTATTTTTTTTTTTTAGTCCATTATATAAAATCCTTTATAGTTCGAAGCACAGGCGTAAACTGGGGGGGGGCAATTGCCCTCCTAAAATAAATTAGTAGGGGCAGTGCCCTTTCTGATATTTAACATACCTTGTTTTAAAATAAGTACAAAACAGATGGTTATAGCTTTACTATAACATTTTTTTTTTTTTTAAATCTTAATTTGAAATTTTCGCTTATCTAACATAATGCTAGAAAATGAATAATTTTATATAATAATATGTAGGTAGTAAGACGGTGTTTAGCCTACGATACCCTTTTCATTAGATATGTTATTATATTTTGCCCCTCCTAATAAATTTGTAAGTTACGCCTGTAAGTTCGAACGATAAAGCATCAAAATTGGTTCCGTCAAAGAAATATTTTTATAAATTTTAAATTTTGCACAAATATTCGTTTTAGGATACATATGTTGACATATGTTATATAATAATAATTGTAATTCGACATAACGGAAATATAAAGCAGCTATAAACCTAATTATATAAGTACGGATATAATAAATTCTTTAAAACGTTACACTAAACTACACTAAAACACTAAAAAAATAAAAAAATTCTCAAGTAAAATATAAGCTGAATAATTTTGAAATTTTTTTATTATATAGTATGATTTAAAGTTTAAAGTTATTATATAGTATAAAACTTCAAATTATACTTATAATAACTAAATGTCAATATTTTACAACTTATATTTTATTTGAGATTTTTTTTATTTGTTTATTTTTGAAGCGAATGAATTTGGCAATAAGAAACCGAACGCTGTGTTTCATGGCATTCACAAGAAAGGTGAGACAATACATTATTATTGCTTGGTAGTAAATTACACCTACTCGTATAGAATATAAAAACATATTATATATGTTTAACCATATAATATTGTACATAATTTTCTTAACCTAAGACGCACTTGAGCATAAAATATATTAAACAGCTTAGTCGAATTACGCAGTTATAACAGTAAAAATAACAATTTTTGCATAATAATAATAAAAATAATATATAATCCTTGTGGTTCATAGGAAACTCGTTTAAAAACAAAGTAAAAAAAAAAAGTGTTTAATTACTGTGGACTTTGACCCGAAAGCAGTGCACGTTATTATGTGTTTAACGTTTAAATTAGATACGCTGAGATAGGCTTCGGGATAGAAATATGACGTAGTGACGGCGGTAAAAGACATTATTTTTAATCGAAAACGAAACGTTACCGACAGACCGTATAGTAATACGAGCAAACACACCCCGTGCACGTACTCATAATAATTTATTAGTGTTCGCTTCAAAGTATATGTTTATTCTTCTTTTTGACACACTTTTGAAAAATAATATTCTTTCACAAAGGTCAATTTCAATCCCGGTAATAAATATTTTTCCATTTTTTTCCCCTGTAAATACTATTATTTATGTTCTATTTTTTTGATGTTATATTATTTTTACGTGCTGCTGACAAATAATACATTATTAATTAATGTCATCTATACGCAATGTTAATTTTATAGGTTTCTATTAGTACAACCAATGGGTATTAAATCGTACGATGAAGTTCCGTTGCGAAGTGCATTAGATAAGTATACGTATCGCGTTAATGTTTGTATTACAAAACATCGCAAAGGCAATAATGGTTGTGAGGTGTTTCATGATAATATTTGCACGAATTATTTTTTCGAATCAAATGTAATTAATTTCGTCAGTAGAAAGAAAGGGAAAAAACCAAAATAAAAACCGAAACCTGCGAAACCCGGATGTACGGTAAAGGGCGGTCGCCCTTCGGTTTAAGAAAATGCACAATATTCCTCGGGTCCGGGTGAAGGATCGATAAGATCCGTTTATCCAACACGATACCTAACAAAACCGTTTTCGGTAATGGTGTATCGGTGAATCGGAAAGAATGGAAAAAGTGATTTTCGAAAAAGAATTTCACCCAAAACTGTTCGCCCGACAACGTTTGGGTCCGTTCGGTCGGCGACGACGGCTGTACGTCTAACGTTGCCGCCGCCGCCACCGCGCGACAGTTCGAGGGGGCGTGCGCGCGCGGTGGCGTATAGATCGGTGGCGGCGGGCTGGCACACGCACCCACCGCCGTCGTCGTCCCTGTCGGCCGTTCAGTGTGCGCGCAGCATCCGCGACCCGGCGAACGGCTGACACGTCTCTCGGACTCGGACCCGGCACGACGGCCGCCATATTGATTGGGCGCATCGTAACACGCCTCGCGCGCGCGGAATGTCGTCGACCGCCGCCGCAAGCGTCAGCGACCACGACAACGACTCGGTCGGCGGCGACCGCGACACCGAGATCGGCGGCCGTCGCAACCATCGGCAACGCCGTCGTCGCCGGTGCCGCTTGCCCTTGTCCCTGCCGCTGATCCTGCTGTCGTCCGCGGTCGGGTCCCTGTGCAACCCGGACGCCAAGCGTTTGTACGACGACCTGCTCAGCAACTACAACCGACTGATCCGGCCCGTCAGCAACAACACCGACACCGTGCTGGTCAAGCTCGGTCTCAGGCTGTCTCAGCTCATCGAATTGGTACGTATTCTACAGTAACACGTCTCCGTTCACCCCTTGTCGCTCTTACCCTCTCCACCAACGTTTTTGCACACAAATTCTACGGAGAAAAAACGCATTCTATCGTGGTGCAACATTAGACTTTCTCGAAATTTTGTTACATAATAGGTAAAACACCGCACCGATCGGTGAAACAATTGTATCGGTCATTGTATTTCGACTGTGCAGCTCAAAGGGATATCCATGTGCTCCCAAAACGTCCGTTTTGGTTGCGATTGGTCTTCTTATTTATTTTAGGAATACACCTTCGTCCCAGTGTATGTCATTCGCGACATGGTTTTCAAAGACTTATCTAGTGATTCTATAAAATATTTGAATACCAAAAACGTTACCGTCTAAAATGCTGGATTCCATAAAACGATAAATTTGAGTGTTGTAATCCGTATTGATTGCGTTCCCCGTACCTTCGGAAGTCCAGTATCTGGTCCTCATCCGATCAGCTGTCGTTCGTGAACGTAGCACTGCATCACAAACGAGAAATCGAACTTGGCGATGTCCTGGGGACGTGGGTATGTCGTGGATTTAACTAGAGTACGGGAAAAGTCCCACGATCCACTGGTTTCGGACGATAAGCGTACGATTTATTTTACTCGTCGTGATCCACTCTACTCGACTCTGGGATCTCAAACTCCGGGTCCCCTTAACCGTTGGGTTGGGCCAGGTGTTCGGGAGTTTGGACGTCCGTATTGTCGTACCGCGTTTGGATCAGATGCAGTGCAGGCCTTAAGAACGTATACGTTTGGACAGGGACGCGTATAAAATGTTAAAACTGTCACGTTATCATCGTTACCGCGCGAAAGTACACGAGAAGTAATCGATCGTAATGATTTCCGCGTTAGACAAACGGGTTGCGCGTATTGTAACAGAATACTATGATACCGACGTGTTACGAGTGGGCACTTACGCGGTATGAATTAGATATGTGCGTGTATGGGCATGGGCTTGGTTAGCCGAACGACCTGGTTAGGATAGCAACCAAATCCTGCGAACACGAGCGAGGGGGTGTATGTTGTACGGCTTCGTCTACTGCACAATGCACGCCCACCACCGGTACATGTCATCGCTTGCACGTGTAACCGGACACTGGAATTCCACGTTTCACTGCGATTTCAGACACAAACTGCACTGATTTAATGCACGTGCATTACCTTGAGGGTGCGTACACGGTTAGGTTAGACATCACGGCGTGATGTTGCCCGTTTCGCCCCCGGACACGCGCGTACTCGGTAATCCTAACGGTTGCACTCCTGATTTCGCGTGCACTTGGAATCCGTACGAATTTATTACACGCCAACATATCGTTACTAAAATTATTATCGTTGTTGTGTTGTCGTTGTGCGCGGTGCAAAATCGTTGTAAAACGTATCGATGATAACTACGCATTTTTGGGCACACGGGTGGATCTTGCATTATAACACACACACACATTACGTAGTCTCCACTACAACATACGAGATGAGTATACTCACACTCATATCCGTCGTTGTAGGACACGTACGGGGTCAAATCGATAACAAATCGAATCGTTTTGTCCCCATGCGGTTATACCGCATCGGTTCAGTTGTAGGAGTAACATTAATCTAAATGAACCGTCCAAGTTTTGATTTAAACGCAAACTGGGTGCATACGCAAGCGTGGGTTTTAGGGGCTTAAACTAACTTCGACATTTTAAGAGAACTTAAAAAAAAAAAATAAAGAAATACGAGTAAATAAAGAAATTTTTGTTTTTGAACATGCACCTTAAATCGGTAGTTTTTATCCATGTCAAAAATGTTTGATTGGTTAACGTATATAAATCCCATTTTCTGTCCGCATTTTTTAATAGTTGTTTTAATCGTAGCTTCTAAACCTTCCGTCAAAATATTATTCAGAGTAAGCACAAGGAACTAATATTTGATAATTCGATTGGGTTCTTTGCATTATTCGCTAATTTCACAGACCAACAATGTAACACATGTAACGCATTCACGACTTGCTTTTAAGTCCACTTTATGAAATTTGATTACACACATTATTTATTTTTTACCTTTTTAAATTTAGCCAACTGTTAGAAGAATATAATGTATATGCACAGGATATAAGTACATTGTTGTAATAATTATTTTATTTATGGTCGATCGAATAAAGAGTTGCATGCGCAAAGATGTTAATTATCGATAAAATTGATAGTTAATAAATTATTATTACTATTTATAACCATTTAGGATACCAATAAACTGCGCAAAAATCAGTAAATTGAAAATAATCAAACGATACACAAATAATGATAATAATCGCATGACAATCGCTTCGTGTGCTCATCTGTAATTACACAGATCACTTGTATCGCATAAATCGCAAAAATATTGCGTCGCATGTTAATGGCTCGTATGCGGAAGGCCTTAATATAGACTACAGTAGCATGATTATAATGTTAAATAATTATGTTTGATTGATTTTAGAATCTCAAGGATCAAATTTTAACGACAAACGTTTGGTTGGAACATGTAAGTAAAACTCCTATAAATTGCTAAAAAAGTGAAAAACATCTTAAATAATTAGGATGTATGTATTAGGAATGGGAAGATCACAAATTCCAGTGGGAGCCACTGGAGTATGGTGGTGTCCAGGAACTATATGTACCGTCGGAACATATTTGGCTACCAGACATCGTCCTCTATAACAAGTTAGTTAGACATTGCAGTAAATTACATAATAGCTAAAATTTACCTCGGATCAATTTCTTTGGATAAATGTTAATATTTGTGTAACAGCGCTGACGGAGAGTACGTGGTCACCACGATGACAAAAGCTGTGCTCCATTATTCCGGTAAAGTAATGTGGACACCACCAGCTATCTTCAAATCATCATGTGAAATCGACGTTCGTTATTTTCCATTTGATCAGCAAACATGTTTTATGAAATTTGGTTCATGGTCGTATGACGGGAATCAGGTGAATGATAATTTAATAATTTAAATTCCATACATTTATGTGTTTAATTAGGATGGAAATCTATTAGTTTAATAGGTTAAGTTAATTTAAGTTTAATTACTTATTTAGTAAAGTAATTATTGCTTTTTGAATGTTAAACAATCGTAAGTATAAAGTTATAAGGAGATCAATCAGTTTTTGATGATGACATTTTAAATATAAAATTTGTTTGTACTTAATTGTTTGCTAAATACGTTGATAATGGTTTAAAAAAAATGCACAGAATCGATGAAAATTTAAAGTTTTTGAAAATATTAAATATTATGAACAAAAACGATTTATTAATTTATATTTAACTTCATATAAAATGTGTAAAGTATAATAATATATTCGTTAAACGCATAAAAACTAATAACTCCAAATTAATACTAAAAAAAAAAAAACAAGCCATAATCATTGAATATTTCATAGTTAATTTAATGGTTTCACTTTTAATTATATAGTTATGCGTTTATTATTTTTTTAAATGTCGCTAGATCATTAATTAATTTAGCAGATAATAATAGGTGTCCTATTATTGATATGTATATATATGAAATTTTGTTACCACGATTCACACAGCCCATTCACAAGATCACGAATTGGCGGTTTTGACGTATCGGTGAATTAAATGTAGAAGCTAGTCAGCATAATTTAAATGAGTATATTCAGATGATAGGTACGGTATTGTACGAACAGGACACGTTTCCACCAAAAGTGTACCTTTTCCTTTTCCACCAAATTATATTTTGGCTAATACCCATTTCCACAAAAACAATTTCTATAACAAAATTTATTAGTTAAACGTATCTAGTATAATATTACATGTGTTTGGTTTTAATATAGTCTTAATTGCACTCTGTAACGAATTTAATTTTGCGGAATTGAAAACACGATTATTTAATTACTCCCATTTAGTATCGAAAAGGTGAAGCATTATTAAATCTATATAACATAATATAATATATCTATATGTTTAAATATCATAAACTTAAGCATAGTACTAAAAAAAGAGTTTTCTCGTGTACTTAACTTAATAAGATAGATCAATGATAATCTATTAACTTGATATCATACGATTCTACGAGTAATTCATTCTGTAGATGGTGTATTTTTCATATTTATAAAAAAATAATTCATGTACTTGTAGGTGATATAGAAATGAATTCATTGAAAACATGTATCAGTCAAAATATAATTTGGTGGAAATAGATATCGGTTAAAATATAACTCAGAATCGAGTTTTAGTGGAAAAGAGATAGGTACATTTTTTGTGGAAACTTCTTTAGAAAACGAATTGAAATAAAAGTTAAATTAAAAAAACAAAATATAAGTTATTTAAAAAATAAATGTATTTATTTAACGAGTTCTTTAAACAAGTTATTTGCACATTATTAAGTCTTTAATGTAACTACGTTAATAATCACCGGAAAAAGTTAAAATTTAAACGTATTCTAAAAATAACCAATTATACTTACATTTTGAACACCACTTTGTTAAAGATGGATATTTATTTTTAACCTTATATGTCATTAAGTTAGAGTACTTAGGCCCTAAACATTCAACAAATGATTAGCTAAGCGATATTTTAGATCATTTAATCATAAACATACTTACACTTTTTTTTATAGATTGATTTAACAGGTAAAACACTTACATTTTTATTGTTTTTGACCTTTTATATTACACCTATTCAAACAGATTGTTACTATAGTCTTTTGGTTAATTTGAAGCTATTTCAAAATGTTATAACCTAGTCCATCCCTTATTAAAAACCCATAATGTTAAATCGACTGATAAAAAGCAAAACATATTGTACGTATTTTCAGTGTAAATATCATGCATATGTAAATTGCATTTTAAATGGTTATTAAAACCCCGATCTATAAACGAAAATAAAAATCCGATTCTTGAAACTTTGGTCAAATGTAAACTTCTCCACAAATAACCTTTTTACTTGAATCATCATTAAATGTAAACTCCTACACTAATAACCTTCTAAAATTTTTACCTGAAAATCAAAGATACCTATTATAATCTTCTACATAAAACTTTTCCTTTTACAAAATTGGGTATTTATACTGTCAATTTTGAAGTTTTCATTATTTCCTCCAAAATTGTGGTTTTATAATAATACTACTAATGCATGTGAATTATTTCATTTAAGATTTAATAGTAGTTTTTATCATCATCATCCAAATCTCCATTTATTCGTGAAAGTTTTGAAAGATATACAGACCGAAACATACATTAAAATTGGAAGCAGTCATACAACATAATGCAGATAGACAAAAACTATTTCTAAACATCAATTTATACTTAATCAAAAAGATAAATATACTCGAAGAGAAATTTCACATTTAGAGTTTATCTCCAAAATATGTTATAAAAATATACGCAAATGATTATGACTTAGTATTGCTTAATTGAATTTTTTATCATTTTTTTCAAAAAATTTTGTTTTAAACGTATGTGATTTTGGCTATTGTTTTATTATATTTTTCAATAAATTTTTATTTTATTTGCTAATATATTGCAAGACTGATATTTTTTACAGCAATACGAGCGGTATTAATTTTTGTAGGAGTTAAAACTATCTTTTGTAGAAGTTAATACTATCTTTTGTAGGATTTTACATTACATTTGTAGGAGTTTACCATTCCCCGAAACCTTATCTATAAGCTTACACGTGTGTACGTGATTATGAACAATGGTAATGGTCGTGAAATTATCCCGTGGTCGTAGATAAACCTCAAGCACATCGGCCAGATGGTCGGGACCAACAAAGTGGACGTGGGCATCGACCTATCGGCGTACTACCCCAGCGTGGAATGGGACATACTCGGCGTGCCGGCCGAGCGACACGAAAAGTATTATTCGTGCTGCGTCGAGCCATACATCGACATATTCTTCAACATCACGTTGCGCCGGCGGACGCTGTTTTACACGGTGAACCTGATCGTGCCGTGCGTGGGCATATCCTACTTGTCGGTGCTCGTGTTCTACCTGCCGGCCGACTCCAAGGAGAAGATCTCGCTGTGCATCACCATACTGCTGTCCCAGACCATGTTCTTCCTGCTCATATCCGAGATCATACCGTCCACGTCGCTGTCGCTGCCGCTGCTCGGCAAGTATTTGCTGTTCACCATGTTGCTGGTCGCGCTCTGCGTGGTCGTCACCATAATCATCATTAACATACATTACCGGTGAGTACGGTACTGAACGAGTGAACACCACCCGTCGTCAGAGCTTTGCGTGGTTCGTTTTTTTTTTCACCGGACTACCGGATAGAAAACATCCATAATTGTTATACTTTTTTTTTTTTATTTGACCACACGCCATGCGCGAATCATACTCATCGGATCGGACGGTCCAGGCCATGATCGGACTTATACTGTCGGATCGATTTCGTATTGCGAATAACCCGGACCAGGAGTGACTCCCCAGAGGAGACTTTGAGACTGCATATCCTCTTAAAAAAAAAAAAAAACAGCTACTTGTTAATAATAACTATTTAAAAATGTATAGAAATATTTTTATTTTTATCGAAAATACGTTATAGAGTTTTCTATATTTATTATTATAAACATAAGGCCACAAAATATAAAACCTATAGTTAGTTATTTCGATGGAAGCACTATTTTGGTAAGTTCGACGACGGTCGTACGTATTAGTGAAACTGACGTACGACCGCTTTAATCGTAAAATTTAATTGTTTATCTTGTTGGGCGGAGGGAAAGGGACGGGGAGAATAATCCGCGTATTATAGTTGTCGTGAAACTGGGTTAACGACAATAATTTCACGCCGTCGATAGTCGCTGTACCTAACCTAACTTAACCTAACCGAATTCGCAGACAAAGAAAATTGCAGAATTGAATTAATTTATAAAAGAATTTACAATTAAATAAAGTTAAATTAAATTAACTAAATATTAAATTAATTATTAAGTATAATTGATTTTCCAATAAAAAGGTTTTTTTTGATCGTTGTTGTATGGAGTTTATGTTAAATACAATAAGTCTCCACAAAATATTTACTACGAGCCGCTACTGGGCCGGACCGCTTTTAGTTATGTAGCCGACGGTCAAAAATTAAAAACCATGATTAACCATACAGCGATCGTTAAGAATTTTATCGTAAAAATATACTCAAAAACACCAAACCGCGTGGAGTTCTATCAGAATGTAAATCACTAATCCGATTGCGCACGCGATTATCGTGAATTGCAGGCAACCGAGCACGCACAAGATACCGTCATGGATGCGGACAGTGTTCATTAGAGCGCTGCCGAAAATGCTGCTGATGAGGGTGCCGGAACAGCTGTTGGCAGACTCGGCGCTGAAACAGAAACAGATGAAGACGTGTAAAAAATTAAACCTTAACTTGGCCAGGTACGCTTGAAAAAAAAATACACATTGCATTATTTACATACTCGTACTTATCATTTATTGAATTAGTTTTGAATCAAGCCGTTTATTCGCAATCCAATGAGAATAATTCGATTAAATAGGACTAATTGTGCCTCTAACTAATATCTTATCCATACGAACCCGAAGGAGAATGAAAGATTTTAAACTCTTGACTAGCTAAGATATTTTATTTTTTGCTTACGGACCTGATTTAAAAGAGATAAAGTTTAGCAACTACTAATTCACAGCAACTGCTAATGACTGTGTTTACCAGGGCTATTTTCAAACTTTTTCACTCTGGAATCACATAAAATAATATCAAAAGCTCTTAGTGGTCCAAAACGTATACACTTATGTAACTTTTTATTTACGTACACACATATTTTTAGATTATTCGCCGTTTTTTTTTGGGTGCCACACAGTGGGCCATGGATTTAAAAAATAGAACGAAATAAAAAAATAAAAACGGTATATCCTAAATTTCATTTTTGAAATTTGATAGTAAACATGTTTATCTATTAATTATTGCTATCCAACATGTAATACCGTTATTATGGTACCAACGACAATTATCTTCATTATGCGCTTAATTGAATGCGATTGTATAAATTTATTGTGTGCTTGTATTCATTGTTTGATCAATGTCGGTTAGTTTCATGTTCTGAGTGTACGTTTCAATATTTCATAAATTTAGAAAGTTTATCAGGTAAGCTTTAAGAACATATTATTATGATTCATTTAAATTTAATATTTACTATACACCAATGGTTCTTAATATGCTCAAATATTTTAAATTAAAAATCAAATATTTAAAATGTAAAATTAATTTAAAAAAAGAGTAGCACAACCAAATCTATCAGACACTATAATAAAAGTAGTCATTAATGTTATTTTGTAATTTATAGCTGCAACTACTCGCAACTTTTTTTTAAAATAAAGTTTTCTTTAATATCAATTGTAATAACTACACTATTTTTTCTGTACTTTTATTTTTTTTATTAGTAGTATACTAATAAACTTTAATTAGTATTTATTTATTAATATTTTTTTTTAGCTTTTAAAATGGACGTAAAAAACTATTTGAGCTTAAAAAATTTGAGCTTCTTATATATAAAAAACATTACTTTTCTGGTTGAAATATACTCAGAAGAAGTTTTGACCTTAATGATTGATGCGAGACTTACTAAATCGCAATACATGTTAATTAGATTAAATGTTTAACATAAGAATGATAATATTTATACCCCTTATTATAAAATTATTGAAACTAAGGTTCAATGTTATCCTGAAATTAAAAGTATGTTAATTACCGAAAAAAGTGCTTAAGTTAAACTTCAAGCCTTACCAAAACATATCGTATAATTAATTTTTTATGTAATAAAATATCTGTAAAACTAATTCAAAATATTAATCTAATTTTTTAAAATTATATTTTATAAATAATTAGGCATAGTTTTACTTTTCTACAATTTCGTTTCTTTATTTAAATTTCTGGACCTTTGTGGGCCGATTAGAACTGGTTCGGGAGCTGTAGTTTGGAGATCCTTGGTGTATACAATTGGTGCTCGGAACATTTCGGGATTTCGAGTCGTTATCAACTTCGCTCTGTTTCACCTTTAGCTAATTATTTTATGTATATTAATTGAACAATCGGAGAACTGTGTTGCAGGTGCGCACCAGCGACTTACGATAAAATTGAAATAATTTGATTTTTCCTGTTGTGCGTACACAGGCTGAACGCGGCTAGCGTGGGCGCGACGTTGAACGTGCCACCAGCGCCAGTCGCGTCGCCTCCGGCCGGTCGCCATTCGCCCACCGACTCACTGCGCCGGATCGTGGCTGCCACCGGCCGAACAGGGTGCAACGGGACAGCGGCCGCGGGTGCGGCCAGCCGAATGGTAAACGCGGCAGTGTCGTCCATCGATGACGCGCTTAACGAGGTGCCGGCTGCGGTCAGGAAAAAGTATCCGTTCGAGCTGGAAAAAGCCATACACAACGTTAAGTTCATACAGCATCACTTGCAGCGTCAGGACGAGTACAACACGGTAATGTTTATCGATATCCTGTACTGATATCCCGGTGGTGTGCTTTCGGTTTTGTTTTTTCGATATATTTTTTCCCTTTTTTTTTCTGTAACCCGTCTTCTTATTCACTCACGTTTGACGAAAACCCACAAAACATCACCACAAAAATCGCTGGGCCAATAACCTATTAGAAAATAAAGCCATCCGTAAGAAAAACATGTATATTATATGTCTCAAGAATCACAGCTTTCTGCTTCCGTGTTCGATGTAATAGCCAAATTATTGTACATAGTTCAGAACTATCGAGCTTTAAAATATATGAGTTGCAGTAATCACTACATGCCCTAACCGATTTACTGTAGACGATCAATGTTATGTACAACGTGATGAAAATTAATTGATTGTTCAAACACTAAGAAAATATTTTCTTACCGCGTTTTTAAAAAGATTTATCATTTTCGGATTTTTCGTAACATAACTGCTCTATAGGACTAGTCATATAAATGATCATAAAATAGATTAAATTTAAAAACTCAACTAGTTGTATAATTTTGTTGAACTCTGGATTAATAAAATAACCCAATAGGTATGGAAATATAATTAAATACCAGTTACAGTTATCATTTTTAATTCATGATATACTTAAAACAGTTAAAATTACATGAAATGGTCACATAGACCAATCCGATCCAATTTAAATGGAGCCAAGATAGCTTGGTATCTAGTAAGTTATAACAAACATTTTTAATAGGTTATCGAAAATGTTGAATTTGTTTGACTTTCTGAAGTGCTGGTGATTAAATGGATTTTTAAAATTCAAGGTAATCTGCTAAAAACAAAGATATCAAATTATTATTATTTATTTTTTAAATTGCTTTCAAAATGTTCAGATGTTTGTCCTTCGTTATTTTCTTTAACTTGGAAGTATTTAAGGATCAAATTATCTCTTTAATCAAACAATTTTAAATGAAGGTCGTAGTAATACACTGATATTTTATTATTAATAATTATTTAGTTCCTGTGTATTACGTAATATATTAACTATTGAATTTAGTTAATTTAAGTTCAAGCCATTGAATTAAAAATTATTTACTAAAATACATATTCAATCGAAAATCACTTCAAGAAAGTCAATATTCATCGAAGTTATAAGAGGAAATATAAAATAACTCATTTGAAGTACCTTCCATATTCGATTTTTCGTTTTAATGAGATGTTGCGAATAATACTTTACGAAGTATTGAAACAGTTATTTACAGAAAAAAAATAAAATGAAAATCCAGTAAATTTTTCTTGTATATTCTAAAAGTGAGAATTTCTCTATCAATACGAATTGTGGTAAAATTTAGTGCATCAAAGTTTTATGATTAATCCTGAAATGATGCACTTAAAAAAAGCCAAGTTAAGAAAAAAAAAAATTATTATTCAAATGTTCAGTATATTAATAATAACATTATCAGGTCCAATAGGTATATTGATACATATTTAATAGCCCATTAGTTATGTAAGATTTTATGTATTAATGATAGGTTATGAAATTAAGTATTAATATATATTTTAACATATATTTAAAATAAACACTGTTACTAGCTTTCTTCAACAAATAAAAACGCTGAAATATAATTAGTATTTCATTATTCGGTAACCTTGATCTTGTAGTAAGTTATTAATAATAACTTATTATAATTATATATTTTTTATTATTAATTACATCGCTAATTGTTATATCTCAAGTTTAAATGTTAATGAAGTTTTTTTTTTTTTTATTTTAAATATTTTTTAACATTTCCATGGTTGTATTATTTAAATGAATATATTAGTTTAATTTATTATTTATATAATTGCCAAATGGCTAGAATAAAACACGTATAAAATATTTTCTCAGGAATATAATTTTCATATTTTCTTTCGAAACAAATGGACAACACCTAATTTTTGAACATTATGATCCCGGGACAGTCGAATTGCACTTATTACCTACAAATAAATGGTCGAATTGCACTTGGATTGAAAAAAGTTGAACTGCACTCCAGTAAAAAACAGGTAGTGGTCGAACTGCACTCGTTCAAAAAAAGAATTATATTGGAAAACTCTCTAAAAGTATTACAAATCTTTCTGTTGAAAAACGCTACAGCGTACTTATTTAATAGCATTATGTATTAGTTCGTGCCATTTAGATAACGCAGATAATATTATATAATAATCACATACACACAGAAGCGTATTACCATGTTAGAATTTTTGAATACAGTTAGTCATTACTACAAAATATGATCGAAATGACAAAAAAAAATATAATAATGACAATAATTAAATTTGACGATTAAAATAAATATATACCTAATAATAATAATAATAATATGTTTAATATAATATAACATAATGTATAATCTAACGATTATAATGTAAATATATATAATTAATATATTATAATGTGATGTATAAAACAATAATTTTTAACCACGGTAATGATTACTAAATGGTAATAACCCTTCAAATGCATGATAATTTTATTGAAATCCTTTTTTGAGCCAAAGTGCAGTTCGATCACTATTTGCTTTTTACCCGAGTGCAGTCCGACCATTACCTTTTTTAAACCCAAGTGCAATTCGACTATAATAAGTGCAATTCGACTATATCCAATGATTTGAATGCAAATTACCCATTTCCCAGGACCATAAAAACAGTGATGACTTTCCCATCGTACCTGTGTGTAATAATATATATTTTTATTATGTGTCTTATGATTATAACATATATTGAAATACTGTAATCCGATTCGCGCTCGTCGAGCGTTTGTTTAAAATCTGTAATATTTTTGACGATTTAACTAATCCGCGTGTACTTTTTATAGGAAGATCAAGACTGGGGCTTCGTGGCTATGGTACTGGACAGACTATTTCTATGGATATTCACGGTTGCTTCCATCATGGGTACTATTTTGATTCTGTGCGAGGCTCCGGCACTTTATGACGACACAAAGCCAATCGATCGGGACCTGTCGTTCATTGCTAGAAAACAGTTTTTCCCGTCATCCGATTATGACTAAACAGCGTGTATTTAGATTAGGTTTTTTTTTAGGTAAAATCATGCTATTAATAAAATAAAACATAACAAATCATCGTTAAATAATTTATTATTATTTTGACGAGTATAATAAGATAAATTATTGTTATTTTCTATGTTTAAAAATTGAGATTAATTATGTTCTTTGATATAATAATTATACTACGTCTATGCACTAATCACACTTATCGAAAAAAAATTTGCTAACAGCTAATTTAAGTTTAAAAATATTTAAATTTTTACAATCGTAATTTATAAGTAATAACGCAGAACTAAAATTTAATACACTTGTAATGTTTAATTAAATTAACTATTTCTTTTATAAATACTTTTTTTTTTCTTTTTCTTTTCGAGGGGGGTAGGAGCAACATATTCCTATTGATTTTGTTATGTTATTAATTTTTAGAAACGTTTGTAGACATAGAAAACATTTTTTAATTTAATTATGTCTTATTGATACATTTTTTAATGTTATTTCTATGTTTATTGTACATATATTTAACAAAATAATATACTATTATTGTTGTACCTTTTATGTTACACAAAAAAAAAAAAACAAATTGTAATTAAGAACTCAATCAGAAGAAAATTGTTATTTCTAAATAATCATATTTTGCATAACACTATAATAATAGTTTCTATGGATATTTTATATAATTGTATTATTTATGTAAATTGTGCACCAAAAAGTTATAATTAATAATTAATTGAACGGCTCAAATATTTTTAGCGTTCTATTTATTTTGATTTATTAAAAAAAATCAAGCTATATAAATTCCATATATGTAGAAATGAATAAATAAATAAGTGTAGTCTGGAGTATTACGTATGTATTACGACCGGTTTCGAATTAAAAATTCATCGTCAGGTAATTCACAAAATCAAAAGAGTCGTGATTTTTTTACTTTATGTATTACCTGACAATGCATTATTAATTTGAAACTGGTCGTTAAATTCACATATAATACTTTGGGATATGCATTTATTTATTGATTTATTTGTTTAAATTATTTATTTCTACGCATATACTATTTATTTATGCATATCAATTCCGTTTGAACTACGATTTAAAACTGAACACAGTTCACAATACTATTTTGAGAATGAACCAGCCGCCAGATTTTTATAAAAATTAATAATTACATAATTGTGGAGTAGGGTAATTTTTTTTTTTTAACATAACTCATACTTTATCGTTAGATCGTTTTAACACTGTGGTGCAAAAAGAAACGACGCAAGAGTAAATGTAATGAATCCGATAATTACCGATAATCATAACTTTATGGTTGTGAATACACTATTTAATTCTCACGCAAAAAAATCAATGCGCGCATGGGATAGGTATCATGAGCGAATAGTGGTATGCAGTATAATTTTCCGAACACTATAAATAACATGCTTAATGTTATTTAAAGAGAAAATAGTGCGTTAGAGTAAAAAAATAGTATGTGAACGGAAAAAAAATAATAAAATCTCGCAAGGCCGTAGTAGGACATGATGCTCAAGTTACATAATCCGAAGTCGTAGAACATATTATTGTAATTGCAACAGTGTTTTCGTACCGCGGGCTAGGTTAAATAATCGTGGTACCGAACATCAGCTACATTATAATAATGGTTATCATTGGTCTCGGATTATTCGAATCCCAGTCCACGCACTCGCCTTCATCTTATCTATTAGCGAGCAACAGATGCTATAACAGTTTACCAGACACGTTTGGCCGTGAAATGCGGTCATCGCGTTCCTACGCGCATTAATTATTCGGAAATGGGTTCCTTTAACAACTGATGGGCCGAAAAGATGGTATATTTATTATAATTTTTACATTATTAATTATGTCCCAAAACACATGCTAGGCTAATAATAATTATGTATATAATTATTATCAATAAACATAAAACTTATTTTGAATTATAAATATTTTACATTTTTTTTAAAGTTCACACATCGGATATTCAATATTTATGTTCAACATTTTTAATTAAGAGACCAAATAAGTTTTTGATTATAATTTATAGTTATGTTGAATTTTTTATTTTTTTTTTATTTTAATAAACTTTCATTTATTCAACTTATCCGTGTTTTCTGTCTGCCCGATATATTATTCGACCACTCTCTATTGGCTCTACGGTTATCAGCCCGATGTCCTGATCCCATATAAATACTCACATAATTATTCCGCATATGTACATAAAATTATTTTTTTTTCATCATGTCTAGCTGATATAAACGTATAGTGTTTTGGGTGTACGCGAAAACCTACTACAAAACTCGCTTTATATAACGCGTCTCTATTATCATATTAAAACTGCGGTGAATGTGTATATTATAGGTATTGTGTTTTATTTTTTCTTTCTTTTTTTTTTTTATTAAAATAAATATTATATTGTGTAACATTTTATTTGTATCACTATACATGTACAGCTACGGTTGAATTTTTTTTAACGGATCGTATTCTTGTTTTATTTTTATTTTAACTTCCGCCTGGTGAATGTTAAAAATGTAGGTATAGGTATAAAACGTTCAAAACATTGAGCACGTTTGAATTACTTACCGTTGTCGAGATTCTACACTGGTTTGATGACAGCGCGGTTAGGTCAACAAGTTTTAGATTATTTTTAACAATATTCGGTTATCTAGAAAGGTTATTGCCTCCGCTAACAAATACCAATCTCACCTTATAATTCGATCCAGACGTATATCCAGACATATCTAAATATCTGAATAATTTATTTTTTTTTTTTGTTAAAATTCTGTCCTTTTAACCTTTAAAAGAACAGATTGTTAAACATTCAAGTGGCTGACCGTATGTTAGATTTTATACAGAGTGATTCACCAAGTGTAAAACACTCATTATCTCAAAAACTATTTATTTTTTTCAAATTTTTTTTTCTTCAAAATGTTAGATCTATGCTGTTCTTGATTTATATATTTATTTAATATTTTTCACACTTATATTTATTAGTTAAATCACCATCAACTTTTGATTTTCAAATGGCAACTTAATTTAGTAAACTAATTTAGTAAGGCTTTTTTTCTTATGAATTATCATGTTTAAATTTTCATTTTCTGTCTATCCATCGATGAGATATAATTCCTCAAAGTTAGGTGGTTTTAGGTGATGTTTGTGTGTTGATGTGTGATATCTAGTCGGTAAATACCAGAAGCTCTAAGTAATAAATTCGATATTGTTCCACTTCAAGATATATCGGTGATAATCGTTGTACCAACTCGCTACAATAACTTATTGTCGTAATATCACATTATAAGTAATTGAACCATTACTGTCACTTGTTACATAATGCATACCTACATGCGTGTAATTCCCTTGTCGTTACTACAAAATACCTGGGGGTGCAGAACAATACGGTGATGCCTGATTGGACTGATTCATGATTAGGTAAAAATCATAGATTACTCTTTGGGTAAAATAAACTCATTTCGATCAACTGTTATTTATAATATTCTGTGAACGATTACAGATATCGTTTTTCATGGTTACATGGTATGTAAGTATACCTTATACCTATTTCTCCATATATTGGATTTAAATATGACTACAAAATAAATAAAGTAAGTATACATTTTTTTAACTGTTTTATTATTTAACTAATATATTGACAAAAATATTTTTAGGTTATCAAGTTAATTGCAAGGAAGTGAAAAAAAATCTATTTAGACTAATTGTACATCACCAATGATATTTATTGAAAACTAAAAATTATGCTCGTGTTAATATTTTGTAATTTATATATTTTATAATTAATTTAAATGGGGTAACAACATCAATCATTACAACTTAAAAGATAAATTTATGTTGCGTTTGATACACATACCTACTCATGCTTAAATTGTGTAAATCAAATAAAAAATTTTAATTAGGTTTATGTAATATTTTTCTGTTTAAATTATTATTTATATGTGTTGATATAGTTTATTCAGAGTTGTAAATTGAGTGGAGAAAGATTAATTAAATATGAATTAACTAGTAATTTTATATTATTAGTATTTCATTTAAAATTATAAAAGCTTTGAAGATCAACTATCAAATGTATGAATATTATTAACGTATAAGATGAGAAAAAGAAGCAGTTGCAGTGTAAATTAAATATTAATAAATTCTTTTAAAACAGTTTGTTTACAAAATATTGTAATTATTATTTATTATTTGATATGTATACACTGCAATTACCTACTTTATTATATTGTCATCCGTATGCATAATCATTTAAGTGTAACTTAAAATCAATTTAAGTGTCACATAAGCACAGTTTTCTATATAATTTATAAAAAAAATCAGTTTCATTATAAAGCATTTATAAGTATCAAACTGTAAACACCAATTATTTTTTTACTAAAATTTTAATAAATAATTATCTTTGATAATGTCACTGTGACAAAGGTTTATCTTAAACTTTAATTTTAATACCTAACTAAATATGTATCTGCTAATTTGTCTCTTATTGTATTTCTTATCAACTTTCTTTCATATCATTCACTTGTAACTACAACAAAGTTAAAAAAATTTTAACTAGAAATTACATACATAAATATGTACACTAATATTTAAAAAACTGATATGTTACACTTTTTTATTGAATTCAAGAATAATAAAAAAAAAAAAAAATCAGCGATGTTAAAATCAAATATTACAACACAAATAACTAATCTAATTAACAAGTATATATAAAGACAACTCAATTATAGACATACATATATTTTTGTGAACATATACTACTTATAAAATTGAATGATAAAAAATGTTTAGGTTATATCAACAACGTTTTCCTATTCGTCAGTGTCCAAGTCATACAATGTTTTACCGAATATACAAATAATTAAGTATGAATGGTTTACTAAAACCAAAAAAATTGAAAACACAAATATAAACAATGATAATTCACTAGAAGTCTTATGTAAATTGATTGAGAATCCACATAACTCCTTGCGAGACATATGAAGTAATGGTCTGCATATTCTTAAGTTTAAGTTAACTATTTTTAACAAGGAACTAGGAATTATTATCGATTTGGTATCATGGTAACCATCAAAAAATTAAAAAAAAAATTATGAAATTCTGACACGGTCGTGTTGCACGAAACCACGATCTCACCCGTTATATCCCTTTGCCTTAATATCACCATTTGTTCGATTATCAATCGGGACGCCCGATATATTAATCGAACCCGTTTTCGAGGTCGGCGATGAGCCCCGAAGCGTTCGCGGATGGAGCGACGTCTGCTTTCTGCCGTCTCCGTGGCCTTTTATTATTTTTTGTTATTAATATTATTGTCATTTGACTTTTATTTTTTTTTTCTTTAAAAATCTGTTTTGTAAAATAACATTTCATTTTGTTTAATATTATTATTATTATTATTATTTAATTATCACATTAGTATTATCAATAATAATATATATTATTACCATTAATTGTGCTGTTAAATTGATTTTTTTTATTCTTTTCTTTATTAACAGATCGTTATATATTTGTATACATTAGATAGGTTATTGTGTGTGTGTGTGTTATGCATCGTGACAATCCGTAGTCCGGTCTAACGGTAATAAGACCCTACTTAGTAACACCTGATTTCCTCACAAGGTTGTTATCATCACAACCAACATTTTGCCGAAGATTTGGCACGATGTTGGCAACGAAAGCTCGGCATCATCATAGAACATATTTTAATATGGATTTAAAGTTACGTTACTGTTACAACATCATGTTGAGACTCTGGCGCCTATATTCCGAACATACAGCAAAATTTCAAGGTTAACTCAAATATTTATCAGTGAATATGATGAGGGCATCTAGTGGGGATTAAATGCAACAAGACGTGACAGTCCATTAAAATAATAAATTATAATATCTATAACAATAAAAGTCATTGTCGGAAGTAGGTACACTGATAATCATTTATAACCATTATATCTTGGGATCGAACGGTATTAAGCTTATTACTTATAAATTCTGGTTTTTATAAGCAATAAGTATTGCTGCGGCCTGAGTTACTAAGTATAACATATTTAAATACAAATACCTTCCAAAACCACACAATTTTGAGAAGCTCTATCTCGTCAACGAATTAATAAAAAATGTAAATTTAAACGTAATAATATATATAATAATATATAAGAAAAAAAGACTTACTAAATTATGAAATTTTTAGTATAGGTGGCCATTTGAAAAACAAAAGTTGATGGTGGTTTACCTAATAAATATAAGGGTGAAAAATATTAAACAAATATATAATTCAAGAACAGCATAGATCTAAGATGTTGAAAAAAAAAAATTTGAAAAAAGTGAATTATTTTTGAAATAATAAGTGTTTTACGCTTGGTGAATCACCCTGTAAGTTAGTCTTATATTATTTGAAGGCAAAACAAATTAATTGGACAACCGAATAATGGTGTATGATATTATTATTATTGAAAAATGTTCGAAATAAATTTAAAATATTTACAATGTGATTAAAATGTAAATTTCAGACTTTCGAAATAACTCTTAAATTATGTAGTATATCTTTAATATATCTTATCATTAATTATTTTTACAATATTTCAAACACACTCGCGTAATAAAAAAATATTATATATTTATGTATTTATTTATGTACAAAGTTAACTATTTAACATTATAAATAAATAAAACAGATCATGTTGAATACATTTAGTAAATATACTATTTCAATTAAAGCTATAAACCTTAAAAGTGTTTCTTATCTTTAGGATCATGACTATTCAATATCGCAAAACATTTTAATTTTGTCTAATTAATTTTTAAGATACTTTTGGATTTATTTATTTTACAATTACAAGTACACAAAAAATAGGATATAATACATATTATGCAATCAATTTTTATTATGAGTTTTATTTTAGAAAAATACTTTGATTTTGATGTTCAGTAGTTATAAAACAATTATTTTCTTGTAATAAAAATTCTAAAGTATTTTAATATAGTGAAAAAAAAAATCTAAATTATTATTTAAATTAATTAGTTTGTGTTTTTAATGAAAAATGTATGTGTACTATTTTTAGTGGAATTGATTTTTAAAACATTTAAGTTGACACTATTGAATCCTAATAATTAATTTTGTCTAGTATCAAATTATTTTTAATAAGATATTTAAGAAAATATAGTTGAATATAATTCAATGTGTTTACGAAATGTTAAAAATAGGCATCAATGTTTTAATACATTTAAATATTTAGATTAACTTCTCTAAAATTAAAATAAATAATTAAAATGTTTAACCTCTAAAAATTTTCACTAAAAGGGCTTAAAGCTTCAATGACTACTGGTACTAGTTGTACTCTAATATGACCAACAGCAATATTGGTATCTAGAACTATGCTCTCTATTATTAATATAAAGTCTAAATAAAAACTATAATAATAATTACTAATTCGTGGTCGACTTCTCAAAACATTTTTAAAATCATTCATATAACACATAGGTCCTTTAGTTTGTCGAATAAAATTGTACTAATTATTTTTTTTAATGGTATTTATCCATGTGGACTTGATTAAATCAGCTCCTTTTTCTCCTATCATATAAGCTGGTGCTACAGTATGTCCACCAGTAATGGTAGGCATTATCGAACAATCAATAACTCTAAGTTTGGATACTCCATACACCATGAGTTCTGGGCTGACCACTGCATTTCTATCATAATTTGGTCCCATTTTGCATGTTCCACACTGATGATGCATTTGCATTGTCAATCTTTGCACACAACAAGCCCAGTACAAGTCTGTTCCATACTGAAGATGCCGACAACCTGGTACGGATCGCATACTTAAGGTAGAACCTAATTTTTGAAATGGAGGTGTTTTATTTAGGTCTATGACCATTTTTATCCCTTCTACAATACGATATAAATCGACGGATTTATCGAAGAAATTGGCTCGAATCATGGGTTTGGAATAAGGGTTGGAATTTCTTAATCGAACCTGTAATTGGAACGAAAAATAAAAATAAAAAACACATTTTAACGATTTAAGTATTCAAATTAGTGAAAAAATAATATAAATACTATAGACACAAAGATATCATGTAACTTGCGCCAATGTATTATAAACATACTTGGCCTCTACTTTCCGGGTACATAAGCATTGGCCATATTGACCATCCATCTTTGTTGAGTATACCTTTGTGCAAATCATAATGAACGCTATCTGGTACTGACATGCTTCTTCTCAATATGCTGTGCCCTAAGCCTTCTTCGCCTCCCAAGTGCATAGGGACGAAAATGTATTCGATATCCGGTATGTCACCAGGATCCGTGTTATATTTTGTTTTCACATACCCCAGTCCTTCGCAACCCATGGTCGTGAGCCAGCCTGTGCCGTCGTAAAAATTAAGTGCCTCACGTATTCCTGATTTATAAATTCTGTCGGGTATTAATCCTATAGTTTGATTGATGGTAAACGCCAAGTTTGCGTACGAAGGGTGTTCTTGCAAGTTGTCCCCGACGCGCAAATCGCTTATGGTACTTATGCCTAGTGGTTCCAGATGTTCTTTGGGCCCTACACCCGAAAGCATTAAAAGCTTAGCAGAATTGAAAGCACCCGCTGATACGATAACTTCTTTTCTCGCCATCACTCGTCGCTTACTGTGTCCCTTGTCGAATTCCACGCCGAACGCGACCTTAGTACTCGGGTCTATCAGTATTTTCGTGACGAAAGCTCCTTCGACAATGTGTAGGTTCGTCATGTTCCCACGCAGATAAGCTTTAGCTGATGTCACTCGTCTGCCGTAGTTAATGGTGCCTTGGATTCGCGAAAAACCAACGTGGCTATTCGGGTCGTTATAGTCCACCACACGTAGCCCGACATCGGGAGCGGACTCCAGGAACGTTTCAACCAGTTTGGATTTGTATGGGGAATAACTAATCGGCATCGGACCACCGACTCCGTGGTAGGGCGAACGTTTCAGCTCCGGGATGGTGACGTCTTCATTTTTCAAGAAATACGGCAACACGTCATTGTAAGACCAACCCGGGTTGCCTGCTTCAGCCCAACGGTCGAAGTCTCTGACGTTGCCTCGGGTGTATATGTTGTTGTTGATGATCGTACTCCCGCCGAGCCCTTTGCCTTGCGGCCACACGCATCTTTTGTTCACCACGCCTTTGCAAGCGTTCGGTTCTTCTTCAGTCTTAAACGCCCAGTTGTAGTCCGTGAACTGAAAATAGTGAGCAATGGCTGGAATCGAGGTCGCCAGCGATTCCTGTTTACCCGCTTCGAGCAGTAAGATTTTCCATTCCGGGATCTCGGCCAGCCTACTGGCCACCGTGGCACCTGCCGCTCCGGCCCCGATGACGATGAAGTCATATTCATCTAGAATCGGTTTGCTGCCGAATAACGGGTCTTCTCGGAGTTTTATAAGGTTCGCGCGGTAACGATTGCCGAGATATGATAATACTTGGAAATTTAAGGCTAGACACTGTTGAACGGATACCAACCACCAGGAAACCGCTAAGAACGCCGAAACGTTAATGTCCATTGTACTACTGCAACTGCTTGCGTATCCGATTTGTTTTGTACATTCAGGATATCAGATCACCTTGAAAACATACGAGAATTCTATATATATATAAATAAAAAAATTAATTTACAACTAACATTTAGCTCTAAATGTAGTTATTAATTATCATTTACAACAGTATTAAAAATGCATATGAATCGCGGGGTAATCTGAAACAAGAAAAAATGTTAGTTTTGAACATTAATTTAGGAAAATTGGACGGTTGTTTTACTTCTTTGAGACCGTAAGATGTAAGTAGTTTATTTGCCCTAAGTTTATAACGGTGTGTAAATAGCGGTGTGACATTTTTGTGATGGAAATGAATCCTGAGAATATTATAATGTATTAATTTATTCAATCATTTCTATTGAAATTTGAGACGATACACGATATCGATAAACGTGGAAATCAATTGAACAATTAATATTTAAAAATATAAACCAAATATTGCACTATTTATGACTATAAACGTCCGTTCATCATTAAAATTTTAAATAAATAAATTGGATATGCTCACAGTGCGGTTATATTATAATATACCATAATAGTTGCATGTCCTGAAAAGTTTAAGTGAAACTATTATGAAAGCTGTAACAATACTTTATTAAAGTGTCACAGTGAACTATTAAAATACTAAACTACTAGTCTAAATAGATTTATATATTACTTTTAACTTGTTAATTAATGAATGTTGTACCACTTTAATTTGTTGATAAATTATTAAAATACAGGCTTATAAATATGAAATGTTCAACACATTTATTCTCAATATGAGCTTAAACAAAATGTAGAGTGATTAAAACTGATTATTAGTTTTATTTTAAAATCAGATAATTGCAACGAATTTCAATTATTATTCTTTGTTAAGAATGCTTTATATTGATTATTTTAATAAAAAAAAATTGAACAAAACAATAGCTTATGCACCTACCTATTTATTGTAATATCCATTAATGTATATTTTAAATAAAAAAAATTGATTAAACATTAGATTAATATCAGTATTAAAAAATTAAATGTAAATTAACCGTTTACCTGGGAAATATATGATTAAACATAAATGCGTAGTACCATTGGCACTAACTGAATAAAATCACAACTGTCACTACATACTATAATATTGTATACGCTTAAATCAACTCTTCTGCGCTTTCAGATATCAGGTTTCAGACTGTTTCTTTTATTCGTTATCGTATTGTTGTTTATTTATTTTCTACGGCAATTGTAATTAGTATATTTAAGTACATTTTTATAAATATTATTATAATAACAGTGAAAAATGTAATATTAATGTCATAATCATTGCGTTATTGCAACGTATTGTTTTAACAATTAAAAAAAGTAATAATTTTACTTAATCGTTAAAAAATATAACAATATGTTAAAATAACATTTATTATTTAGGTTAACGTTTATTATGGATATAAGCTCCATAGTATAATTTATCATATTTATAAACATATGTTATCCAAGTGATATGTTATGCATATATTTTGGTCTAAATATGTAATATTTTCAACTTTAAAGTCTTCAGTTAAAAATATCGAAAGTAAAGCGCATCAATAACTAAAAAAAATGTCCATCAAATGGAATTGCTATGAATTACGTATGTAACATTATACGCGTTGAAATGTTATACTCAAAATAATTGATAGTTATTATTATAATATTCGTATTATTTTTAATAAGCACACAAATGGCTAAAAAATTGCCAAGTACGTTTGTGCGGATGAATGAACGAAAATATGACCTACATATGATACAAGTTGAAGTATACAAGACAACGAGTGGTATTAATTATAATATATAAAACCTGCGGTTTTGGCGAATATTATACTCGACGATCGTTTTTCATTCATCGTGTTGTTCGATGGTGGATAGTAATATTTATTAATTAATTATTTTCGATAATAATATAATAAATAATTTACAAATATACTATCAAAATTGTACAATAAGATTATACTACGTACCTACGGTTTCCCGCGGTGCGTTGGGAGTGCCTACGAACGCATGCAGGTAACCTCGGTAACCACCCGGAACACGTGTGCAGTCGTCGGCGATCGCTCGGCTTTGAGATGCACACAAAATGTCAAGCTTAGGGCGACCATATTAAAAAATTAAAAAACGGGACAGCTGCTACTCCCCCCCAAAAAAAACCCTCATCCATATTCATTCACACACATTCGCACAAATCTCGAAAGTTAAAGTCCAAATCTCTGTCATATCATAAACAATTATTTTATTTTTACTTTACCCTTTTTTAGTAAAATAACCTAAATAATAAAATGTTTTTTTTTTAATTATTATTAAATAATATTTTCTCTTAATTATTCATCAAACAATACAATGTAGCATTTCAAAACTATAATAACTTTTTAAACAGTTATATATTTTATTTACAGGCATTAATTTAATAATTAATATTAAATTAATATTTTACATGGTTATCTTGGATCACTTAAAAATAAAATATCGTTAAAAAAAACCACGGAAAGTCATTGCTTACGTTCTTTCCTTTAAGTTTAACAGTTGGACCACACAAAACTGGTACTGCTAAACGTGGATTTGCTGTACGTTTGTAAGACGGATATAACGCACGCGGGTGTGGTATCCTCAGAACGGAGTAAATACGAAGTAATGTAGAGTACTTCCGGTAAAAAGAGTACTGTGCACAGTGCAAAAAAGTCTTATGGAGTTCGACGTGTGTACAAACGCATCACACGTTCCGCAATATTCACACTAATGTAATTCCGACCGGCGATTTGCAACCGTCGAATACGCTGAAGGAAAAATATTGTCGAAAACCATTATTGTAGTGGCGGACACGTGGCTACGGTTGGAAACTAATCTCATTTTTTACAGCCAAACATATTTTGCTGTTACATAACAATATATTGTAGTATGTGGAATATAATTCGGAGGAAATATGATCATTTTGCAGAAAAAAAAAATCATGGGTAAAAATGAAATGTATTTGTATTGATTTCCCCAAAAAAAAAAAAAATTGTCTCGTCGCTATATATATTATTTACTGTTATACGGTTAAGTTGATTCCGAAATTACTTCCGGAAAACGTTGAAGGCATGTTAAACTCATTATTAGTTATTATTTGAGATCACATAGATGATAAAACTCTATGATAAAAAAAAATATATATATATATATATATATATATATATATATCGGTCCGACTGAACGATCGGTTATTAATGTTAATATATTATATAATTTCAATCGTAATCTATGAGATTACTCGCATAAATTATGTAATAATTTATTATTTATAATACAAATTCAAACAAATCATCAGTCACGATTTTGTTTGATAACAAACTGTGATTTTGAAGTATGACACTTTTCAAGAATGTCAACGAATTGTTTAGATTACAATTATTAAAGTCTTAACAATATTACGCAGAAAATAATGTGTCATTTAAAATGTTACATACAAATTGAAAATTTGTATTCAATTTTATTAGCATATAAACATTTTATACATTTAAAATACTGTGAATTGTTTTTATTTGTCGGAATTGTTTTCGAATCCATTACTAATTGTAAATATTTAATAGTTATGTTACTAATTTTTATAGGTATTTACTTCGAAAATTAATGTTTTATTCTTATAGCCTCCATATAGCCTTGTCAGTATTTAAAATTACTTAATTTATGGCCTTAAAATTTATATCATACATTTTAATATTAATGCTGTAGAACAAAACCAAAATTAAAGTAAATTATTTAAACTTAAATCAGTTAGCAATCTATATTAAGATTACTGACCTGATGAAATTAAATTATTCGGTCATTATATCTTATTAGTGAAAAATAATTTATGTATATCATAACAGTATAAACTATGAATTCAAAAAAAAAAAAAAACGTTAACTCTAATTTAAAAATATTAGAGATATTCTATTTCCTTAATTATATTTACACCATCTGAAATCATTACAATATAATATTTATTGCAAAATGTAATGTAGGTAACTAAACAATCCGTTTAGTATCCTCGTTTTTTTTTTTTATTGTATAATATTTTGATGCTGTCATAATGTTCATTATCTATCTTTATAGAGTGGAATTTATTAAGTACAACAAAATAGAAATATTTTTTTAAGAGATTTCAGAAATGTTTATTATAAAATAATAAAGAATTTTATTTTATATTTTATTTATTTTTATTTTATTTTAATATGTTCCGATCAAAAATAACATCTTGTAAATTAACGTTGCTTATTACTTTTAAGTGTGAAAATCTATCAAAAATTATCAAAAAATATCAAATTTATATTTGTATGCATTTAGATTTTTTTATGATTTTACAAGCAGTAAAAAAAAAAAAAAAAATAAAAAAAAACTATGAATATTACTATGAATCAAAGTTTGTTTTTTTATTCCATAATATTGGTAATAAACGTAGTAAAAATATTTATGACTTTTTATAAAATAGACAAATCTCTGTATATTATTCATTTTTTTTTTTTATAAAAATAATTTATTTCGTGTTAACCAAGAACGTTTTTTACAGTACTTATAAAACTATTAGACAATTCACAATTTATTATTATAAATCTTAGAAATAAAATAATGTCTTCACTGTAATGACGATTTGTTCGTAATTTACATAAAACTGAATTAGTTATAATTATTTAGTCCATGTACTGAAATATACCCATAGTAACTTACAATACACATACAAGATAAATTAAACTTATTTAAAATCAATTAATAAATTTTTAGTGTAGGTAAGGCATAACATTTTTTAAATTATTAAAATACATTAAAATTTACCTGTTTTGATTTTTGCTATCGAGGATCTGAGGATTTTAGTTTAAATTAGATTACATTACACTGCAAGTAAAAACTAAAATTAAAACGTACGCGTAATCATAGTAATAACTGTTGATCATTGCAGGAACAATAATAAACAGATGTTTTAAAACTCATAAAATTGTACCATATTCAGTACACTAGTACAAACGTATTTTTCTCGACGTAACTACGATTAATCGTGTTTACTGTACAGCGCTTCTGCGAAACTAATAGGTTACTGAATACGACTGATCAAACTAAACGTGGTTGTTGGAAACACTATAGTTCTTTCTCTACGATATGTTATAACTGGGTGGGTAAAACATCGCACGTTAGATCACCTTAGTTAATTCGCCATTCCGCTCTTCATTTATTCCTACCTAAAAAAAATCGTGGAGCAACTCGCTAACGGATATTTATTCGTGTTCTTTTTATATATGTATTGTGTACCTTGATATCTTACCGATATAAAATATCATTAGGTATACTGTGTTCGACACGTTTTGATTGTACACATTTTATTAATATTTCTGTCGATGTGCAGGTTCCATTTGTTGCAAAATGAAAAAAAAATTGCATTGATTAGTTCACTTATCATCTTAATCATTAAATGTTTCCTCGAAATGATAATCAAATATTTTCATTTGAGCTATATTGATTTTTTCTATATTTTTTCTTCGCAATACCCATCTAGGTATGCAAAAACTAGGTTTATATCCAGCGTCAAAATAATAATTATTTTTATTTTTATATTACAAATCCATCATTCTACTAAATTATTATAATATTAACTTTATTATTTTCATAATATTTGCTGCTTTTTTTCCGGTCCGCCCTTAAACTGTTTTAAGTATAATAATTTTTGTACTATAGTTCATTGATATGATTTATCATTAACTAATAGTTAATGACCATATATTGAGTTAACTTTTAAGAAACAATATCTTTACAAAAACATATAATTATTTTCAAATTGGCAGTGTACGGAACTGCGGACTACGCATTATCTATAAATCCTTGTATATTATTATGTTGTACATTATTTCATATTCAATATGTATTTATGAATATAAATCAAAATCATTTTTTATCATACGGTACGGAAATAAATAAAATAATTTTGTTATTCATCGGTGTTATTTTAAAAACAATGTTGTGGTTTTGTAAAATTTGGTACATAAATCATATTTTATAGACCAGAATGATTAGAAATACCAATGTGTACATTGAAATGTACATAATCAAAGACAAATGATTAACAAATGTGATTGATATGGATTCACGTTTTATAATATTGAAACATTTTATTGTTTTAAATCGGTTAGTTTTTAAAAAGTCACAGTTGCACGGAAATATGTAGGTTTATTCAAATATGGTAACAAAAACGTGAGCCTTTAAAAAATATTTTTACACAATATGTCCGATAAAAACTATTTTTTTTTTTAAATGCATATTTTGATGTAGTCTGACCAATTATCCTGAAGAATCTGGATCGAATTCAAGGTCATCTATTGAAAATATTTTTTGTTATAAAATTGAACACATTGTAGACGGACAAAAATATTAACAAAATCGTTGTTTTGTTTTTACAATCAATAATTAATATTATTATTGATGCATATTATTATTATTATAATCTACTGAGGTATAAATGATAAAAAATTTTTAGTAATTTACCGTAAATAACTTAGTACCAATGGAATGTTTTAAGATTGTTTAGGATTGTATAGGTATTCATTAAAATGTCTAATAATGTATGACAATATTTTTTTTTAAATTAATTAAATTAAATAATTTTAAAACGAATTATTTTCATTGTATAAAACATGAAAATATGAAATTTGAATTAAAAAAAAAAAAAAAATGCTTTGAAAATTTCTTAATGCACATATATATTATATAGTTTTGAAAACTAAAACTTAAAAACATCTTACAGAAACTAAATATTTTGTACAGTGCCTTGTGGAAAAATAAAATCCTGGCACATTTTAATAGGAAAATGTTATAAAAACAATTTTTTTGCTATTATTAATATACAAATGAACAAGATATTATTAAACATAAACCATAGTAGGTATAATTTAAAATCAAGAAATGTGTAGTACAATACAAGTACATGCGTTAAAATATTAAATACGCATAAATGTTATTTTGCTGTTTAAGACAAATAAATTTGTTATGTCTGGCGAATTGTATTTGATTTATATTTTTATATATGTTTTAGAGAGCCTAAACGTTCTTGGAAATATACAGACTATAATGAGTACCAATTAGAGAATTTTAAGTATCTGTAATCTTTTAGTTACTCATGAATTATGATGTTCAAACTTTAATTCAAAAACATAATTTGCTACATACTTCTCTAATCATTTAAAATATTATTAAATTTAGTTGGCTTATTTTTTTTACAAATTAAAATGAAGTTAATTTTATAAAATCTTTAGATTTATAGTTTCATCACTTGAAAATTTTATTTGTAACTATTGCAAAATAAAATAATATAATGATGAACCATTTATATTTATGAACATTTTTTTTTTTTTTAATATTATTTGAGTCTTAACTAAGTGTTTTTAGTTTGAAAACTCTATGAAAACCCAATAACCAGTTTACTATAATAGTAATACCATAGTAGTATAGGAGTATATGTACGAGTGATAGTTAATCCTTTTTTGTCACTTAAAATAAAAGTAACCAATTCGATTTGCTTCAGTACTAATTTAATTAATTTGTATTGAGGCAATCTATTCAATATATTTATAAATTGTGAGTATGAATTTCAAATTAATTTTATTATTTCATAAACTAAATTTTTGTTCTATATTTGTTTATTATGTGTTATATCTTTACTTCGAAGAATTAATAAATAATTACTTTTACAATATATTTTTAACAGAATATTTTTCATACAGATTAATTATATTTCACTAATTGTCTTTGTTTTGATTTTATTATTTTATAATTAATTATACTTCCGCATTAAGTAATTTCACTAAACATTTAAGAAATAAAAATTGTTTTGACGGTCTTCGTTTCATTAATTTAAATCTTTTAATTATGTTATAGCTATTTTACAAAATACCTGTATAATATACAAATATAAAAGGTTAATTCAATAATAACTTGCACTCATTATGATTATCTAAATTCATCTTTACGAGTATATACATGTAACTATTCATATATATGTACAGATTGCAGATGTTTTATATTATTTAATTTTGCAATAATCTTGAGGAATAAACCACATCATTATTTCGCCTTGAATACACATATATAATAAAATTATTTTGTACTTGAAGACATATTGGTTCAAATTCATATAAGTTTCAAAACATAATATTTGATAAATACGATATTGAATTCTGAAATTAAGACTTATAAATTTAATTAGTAAAGAAATTCGATTATAATCATACGTCTCGTGTCTGTTATGAAACTAAAAAGCTGTGTTATCACATTGTTTTAATTTAATTTGTTAAACTAGTAACTCATTTTGTGTGTTTAGGAAACATTCCGATGAAAGCATATTTAATTGCGTTGTTATATGATGCATTTGATTTATAACTCTTATATAAAATCCTCGCTGAGGATCGATTATAAACACGATGATTTATTACTACTTCCAAAGGAATATCATTATTACTACGACTAATACGACCGTCATAGAGACACCAAAGAAGTGTCCACTGTATTTCTACCTATATATGTCCATTGCCAGAATCCTGTCCGAGGAACGAAATAACGAAGAATGAGTACAAACGTTGTCTATGTTCAGTGCCGGATTACCCACTAGGCGGAATGGCGCCCGCCTTAGGGCCTCACTTATTTAAGGGGCCATGTAAAAACGGAAAACTTTTTTTTTTTATGTAATAGTACCTGTATTTTATTTACGAATTTACGGGACAAAAGTCATTATGAAATATTTTATACATCAAGTTGTAGGTATTATATGCAGTAATAATAAGACAATTTTTTTGAAAAGAATAGAAATAATGTAATAATTAGTTAATTTTTTTTGTAAATAAAAAAACATTTAATAAGCATGATTTTATTTATTAATAATAGTTCGTTATTATAAAGGCTGTATATTTTAATTATTGGATAGTAATGTTAAAGATGTATGTAAAAAATAATTTTGTAGGGCCTAACCTAGGGTCTACAAATGTTTAATCCGTCACTGTCCATGTTTCTCTGTTTTCTTGATGATCGTTGTTTTTAATTGTTTTTATCAGTTATTTTTGTTAAAATTTATATATATTAATATATTGTAATTATACTTCTTATTTGGTAATTTTTAAAAAAATTGGAACTGTATTTGAATTAAAAAAGTGTAAATATAGATAAAGAAAATTACCTAATAAAAAAAAATGCTTTAAATAGTCATTGATTGTGTAATTTGTCTATTTAAATGGCATAATCGAAAATAATTTACTCACTTAATAATATATTCAAATACAATTTAATTGACCATTTACATTTTTATACTCCTCGATTAGTTGAATATTAATTGAAATTTTGTTATTGTTTTATTTGATTGTTCCGATAGTCGAGATGATTCAAAGAATTAAACGATTATTTAAAACATTTTAAGAATCGGTCTCTATACATTGTAAAAAATACGATGCACGTGTTCTCGTGAAGTTGTTCTCAATGACGTTCTCGCGAGTTTCCTGCGGATATTTAACATTATTATGCTAATTTTTTCGACCCATGATTTTTCATTAACAATTTCCTTTCGTCGAAGACAATTAATATTTAATCTTTTATAAAACATGTTTGTTGTTTTTTTTTTTTATACTTTTCGTCGTAAGTATGTCAAATCGTAATTCGAATTCTGTTCAGTTATTTTGTTCGTGTACAACGGTTATTACCAACGATAACCGGTAAACCATTTTTATATAAAATTATATATATATATATATATAATAAATATTTAAAAGTTATTTTATTTGGATTGTTTGACGACAGCAACGTCGAACGGAATGAGTTTCGTTTGGATTGCGCGCATCGTACGATTAAAATATAAATACGTGCCGTTAAAAACATCCGAGGCTTGTCACTGTTACGACGAGAATAATAATAATTAGCGTTTTTTTAATTTTTGTTTTTTTTTTTACGTCTTCCAGGGAACTCAGACGAATAACATAGTACCGTGCGCGCAGGTGAACACAATAAGCGTATTTTTACGACGAAACGTAAAACGGTATTGCGGTAACCCGATTTTCACGTAGCGCGCTGAAACGATATTGTTTCCGCGTGTCAGGTACCCGGGCCCGTCGCGAACACGTTTCCGCGTGGCGCGTGACGTCGGGTACGCGAGTCGTGTCTGGGGCGCACGCGCGCTAAACGTCGGAGCGGTAATCGGCGCAACGTAAAGCCGCGATCGATAGGCCGTGCGCACGTGTGCATTACGTAACGTAGTGATTGTATCGCTCCGAGCGATCTCGACGACAATCGGTACACAATGCGAGTCCGGTGGACAATACGGGCGTATTGTTGCGGCGGCGCGGGGCTCTTTGCTTTCGTTCCGGGACGCGATAATCGCGCGCGTTTCCGTTACGTTCGACCGTTCGTCGTGTCCGACGCCGCGGCGTTACGTGACGCGTCGCCTCGGATTTTCGATAAACCGCCGGTTAGGTTACGAGCGGTTACGCGGTAACGAGCGCGAGCCACGCTTTCGGGGTCGCGCGGGTTTCGCGACGTTACGACCGCGCGGAGAACCCTGCGCGGGCCCGATGCGGATCCCGTCGTCGTGCCACGGGACCGATGCGCAAGGCCGGATCAAGCACCTATTGGGCCCCGGGACTGACATTTTATATGGTCCCTTCTGACAAAATATACATTACAATGCTGCATATCGCAGAACGATACTTCTTTTTAACTATTTCACAAATTATCAATTGCATTAAAAAATTATAAAATTAATAGCTGTATACGATTTATGTCTATAGAACTACTAATTTTAGTATGATAAAAAATGTGTATCGGCTTAAAATTGTATGGGCCCCTTTCACTTGGGTACTCGAGAGGGCCCCTGGGCTACCGCCCCGGCTAGACCCTCCTTTAATCCGGCCTTGTCGATGCGTACGGTTCGCGTGTCTCGTCTTGGCCGCGAACGCAATAGTGGCGCGTGTACATAACGCGTGGATCTTGCGATTTCAAACTTAAACTTTGAACTACCGCACATCATATCTAGCGGAAACTACAGTTGAACGGGTCTCAAAAACATGTATAATATATTAGTACACAAACAAACGGTTTGTGTACAGAAATAAGTAAACGAACGCTTAGCCCGGAGTATGTTTTACAAATATAATGATACTACGTTTATTTATTTATTTGTGTACATAAACTATTTGTTTGTTTATTTTTTATATTAACTGTTTTTTACTAAATTTATTATTTTTATTTAATTTTTTATCATTTTACTATACATATCTATATATATATATATATTTTGTATTTGTATGTAATTACAATAAACTATGTCTAACTTCTTTTCCCACTTGTCTCGTACAATACTTTTTTTTTGTACTTCTTAAATCAATAATTCCGTGGCAACAATATATTATCAAAAGTAAGTATAGCGCGATAGTTAAAATATTTTAAATATTCATTTTTAATTTTAGTAATATGAAATCGACCATTTTTTTGTGTTTCAATTGTAAACACGGTTATAAACAAACTATTTTAATTTCGTATGACTGAACGCATTCGAAAAATCGTACTTATCGTGTCACGTAAGCTGTTTTCATTTGTTTTGGGTGTTTTTTCCATTTTCAAAACCGATTTTCCTATTTGTCGTGTCTACGACTGCGTTAGAATCCGTCTCACCGCACCAGTGGATACATTTGACCGAGGAATCGGGCAACGTCGTTTATGCGATAACCCGCGGTCGCCTAACGGTGTATTTTCATTGAATGGGCGACAACGGTTGTTTGGCAAAAATGTTGTTACTCGCGAGATTATTTTATAATTTTATTCAGCGGCGATCGGTGGTTAAGTTTTGTTTTGTTTGTTGTTTATTAATATTTATGACATTTTTAACTGGGTAGTACAAGTTATTGCGATATAACATGTACTAATTAAAGAAGTCATCGGTTATATTTAGCATGTTCTGCGGAAAACGGTTCAACATTCCACAAAATCCATTAATAAAAGTCTTTACATCCCTATTAGTAGCGTATCAACGGTTGTGTGTGTTCAACACAGACATTTTCCTTTTTTTTTTTATTTTTCACGCTTTCATAATAAGCGTTATGACAATGTTGATGTTGATTTTATTGATTTCATGTGCATGGACATTTATTATTATGATATCACCCCGCGACCATTTCTTAAGATATTCACTGGATCTCATCATAACGTGTATTTTACCTTACCTTGTATTTTTGGTTAGATGAAATCAGCGGTAGCGAATAGGTCTACTTCGGTCACATGTAATAAATTTTATATCACAATATGGTACGTCTAAACGTGTATCCTTGTGGTTCAGACATCTGTTTCATACTAACCTATAGTGCGAAACCTAATCGAACGTTTACATCATTGATTAAACATGGTTTTGACTTGGTCGTGACCCGAATGTTAATATCACTATGTTAATGCACAACTATCGGTTATAGTCGTTTTCTCTATTTGTGTATGTGTGTTTGTTGATTACGGCAACTACTTTGTGTATCGCAAAAATTTCAGTTATCAATTTACACGGTCGAATTGGTCGAAATCAAACTAATAAAAATGTGTCCACGTACACGGTCCGTATACGTTATCAGATCGTGGGTGTCACGTCCAATGTAAAATAGAAACAATCTTCAGCAGTGCGAATGGACGTCATATTATTTCGACCGTGAATTTATCGCTTGTTCAAATGGACTTTAAAAAAAAATATGCTCGGACCTCGAATCGACCCGATATTTCAATATTTCGATTGGATTACACACCATTGCAACTCATTGATTATTCTTCCAGTTACCGTGGCTTGCGAATAAAAAACACAACAACCTAACGGTTGTGTCAAAAGGATAGGTACCTACTCATTTTTGAAGGGCCAAAATTTAAATATTTTTTCATAAAACACGCCGAAGTTTTGTCACTGGATAGCTTATTCTTTTCAGGTACTCGTAATATATTTTAATTTTAGTATCATCAATTTAAATACGCGTATGTTAATGCTTATCAATGATGTTATTTGTACTTGACTCTCTTCGTCCCCGTTGTACACTTACACTTGTATGGATTGTGTGATTATTTCTCTCAAAAATGAAAAAAAAAAATGCTGAGCTACCGCATAGTGAGTTGTTCCCAACCGAAATTCGTTATTGTTCCGTGCCCGGTGCAACAGCTGGATCGTAGTGCAACGAAAGCAAAAATCGACCGACCTTGTACGGTAACATAGCGCCCGACCACATCATCTGTTGGCCGACGAAATTTCGTAAACACGTTTGCGCTAAAACTATCAAAACGAGTTTTTTTTCCTACTGTTCGGGATGATAGATAATATAATGTCATAATTGGCACCTACTCAAACGGTCAGATGATTTCGGGTTAATTATAAACTAAGCGCGTACCGGTAAAAAATCTCATAGGTATACGGAAAGATCATTACGTTAGGCATACCATGTTGTTGTGTTTGTTGTTTGTGTCCCGACAAGATTTTCATAGTTTTTAGCTATTTCATATACTTAACAAATCTGGTTAGTGGGCACAGTGCAGTAGTAAAACGATATCGTGAAACAAGCACAACGATTCCGACTGAACAGATGTTTGTTTCTAGATTGGTACCGTAACAATATTATGTTGCATAGTAAGGATCCTAGGAAATCATTGGCTCGATAAAACACACGAAATATCACGTACGCATAATACAAGTATAACAATGCGTGTACAAGCACGTGTATATTATACATGAGTCGACGTAAGATTAAGTATTAGCCGTGAATGCAGCGTATCGTTTTGGTACTTAATCGTTTACATAACTCACGGTTGCCCGTCGGTCATTCGTTCCCGAGGAATACAATATTTTCGTGATACGTATTATAGTCACATGCTTACAGGTAATTGTCAGTGTTACTACGTACATTTTTACGTGAAATAGGATATTAAAATTAACCCGTGGTTTTCGGTCGGTGTGTTGCAAAACAAAATGTTACAACTATCCGCATTTCGTTTTATATTATATTTTATTGGACTTTGTCGGAACATAAGAAGATTTCCTTTAAGTATGGAAATGCGCATGAAGTAGCGTCAGAGAGAAATGGTAGTGTAATAGAAGTGTTAGAACGGTACCTACATTGGTTTAGAACAATTTCAGCAATACCGTCTAGACCAGGTGAGTTATTATATATACATTTTTCCAATGTAAAAAACACTCCTTGGATATTATTATCGATTTTTGGAAGATCAATACAATCGGCGATCGTAACCCTTGAATTTTCAGTTGATCAACTAAGGTATGAGTAAGCTGAAGAACAATGTTCTGCAAATAATTAACATTCTCTGAATATATTTATTGTTTAAAAAAAATGATTCTTAGAAAGGTGTTTAGTTGTTTGCGGTAATTCCCAAAATTTCTTTGGTTTACCATTCAATGTGTCTTATTTAAGGAATCAATATAACAGGATTGAGAAAGTGGTTTGCATTGTATCCGAAGATTGAAAAAGTAATGTAATCTGAATTATTTTAAGATTTTAAATTTAAAATCTGCTTTTTTTTCTTTTATTAACAGTATTAATTCTTTGTTAAACCAAATTAGAAATCAATTACAATTATAAGAAACAATAGGAACGTGTCAAAGATCCCGTGATAAATGTTATTCAATTTACTAATAGTTGTGTTTTTTTATTTTAATATTTTATTTTATACCTTTTAGTAAAAACTATTATAGTTCAATATTTATAATATTAAATTTACACAGTTAATAAATTGAATAACAATAAGTGAAAGGTATGTAATTAAACATAATGATAAAATAGTAGATAAAGACGATAAATATTATCGGATAAGGAAATGAAACGCAGATACTGAAAATAATAAGCAAAAATAATTGAGGAGAGTTAACAATATGCAAAGATAACAATGAACAAAAACATAAGGTCAAAAATCACTCGTTTAGTGTCACTACCTGATAATAATTCATTTTGATATCTAATAATACTACATAATGAAATAATAACGTTAATGAAAGTTTTACAATTTGCGATAGAAAAAAATAAGTTTGATAACGCGTTCGATACAATAGTGACATATTTAAGGTATATTTAATTAAATTGATTACTGGAATAATTCCATATTATGAAATTAGTTGTTTTTGCAAAGTAGCAGTGAGGAGAGATATAAAGGGATTAATCACGGAATTGAAATCCGAAAGGAATTTAGATAGTGATTGCACATAATAAGAACTGGAAGTTTTATTAGTACGGGAGTTTGTGACAACAGATTCAAAACAAACAATAAATTGGTACTTGATTCTTCATTGCTAACTTCAGTCACTAGTATGGTAAACCAAATTTTGTCCACATGAGTTGAAATTGTTGGGGAGTTTGAAGAACATGACAACAACAAACATTTGGTGTCTTTTTTTTAGACGTAGAATAGTAACAAGTTTGTGACGCACATCGACTTTTATTAACACTCGGCAAAGCTTTCCTTTGTTATAGCCGTAGCGTGTAAGAACGATTTACGAAATTACATATCTAACAAAATTCGAAATAACAGAACGTGTACAGTGAACGTTCATGCGATTACTTAAGGAATGAAAAATAATAATATATAATATAATATTAATACAGACATCTCAGACCCGCCGCCATCACTATCCAACCGCATCCCACTATCGAGGTCCCAAGACCGAGAGCCAGTGGCCGGGACTAACGTGATAAGCGGCCAGGCTGTCCGAGCGACGTTTGGACGTATCGACCCCATCCCGTTGGGCGGTTACTTAAGAGACGACCAACTACCGCCTCGGGGACCATCGGGACCGATTTCGGAATACATTTTACGATTGTCGGCTACCAGGAAGTTGGGTGCTGCCTCCGAGCCCGGGGCCACCCTCTAGCTATGATTTCGCTAGATAATCAGATTGAGCAGTAGTAAGAGAGAATTCAACATCAGAATTCAGATTGAGATCGTACCGCACTGATGACGAGTTTAAAGTCGCCAACAATAATAAATTCGTTGTCGGTGTATTTCGTATAAAGTAATTCAATCGAACAAATATAATAATCGTAAATATCAAGACTGACAGATGGTGGGATACAGACTCCAACTATAATTAGTTTCTTATTATCAATAGAAATTAAAATGAAAAGTTCGATATTATTTATTGGCACAGATAACACTTTAGCGGCATACTTGTTATTTATCGCGATGAGAATACCTCTACGGCGTGGATTCGTATTTTCATTCCAATTGAAGCGAAACAGTTCATAACCATTTAAACCTAATTCAGTGCCACGGAAATGTGCAGTGAGCAGTTGATTCAGGTTAAATATTTCTTTTAAATTTTTTTTATTTATTTAAATAATTTATAATCTATATTACAGTTAGTACAATAAGTACATTTTATAGTTAATAACGGTTAGTGACAGAATATTTATGGGCAGGCACTCAGCAATACCACACGAACGGGTAAATTTTAAGTTTTATAGTTTTTTTTTTTAGTTTTTATTTTAGTAGGTTTCTGGGCCACTACCTTTTGAGTTTTCTACTTACATTACCAGGAAGTAAGGTGGAAGATAGTTGTTTTGTTAATGGGTTACTGTGAAAGTTTAAGTTGGTGTGAAATTTGAAGGAATATGATTTTTTTAATTCATTGGTTGTAGACATTTTTAAGTCTTTGTGAAGGTAATTGTCTAAGAAATACCAGAGAGAAGACGTTATTACTCGTTAGCAGATGGATTGAAACGCCTGATGCGTTTTAGTATTAGATGGATTTACAGTTCTCCATAACTGGATACCGTATGTTCAAACTGGTCGAATTGTTGTTTTACATATAATAAAATGTTGGATAGGGAAAGTTTGGATTTTAAGAGAGATCTAAGGAAATTAAGTCTAGAGTTAACAGTTTTGCGTTTAAGTTTTATGTGTGGGTTCCAGGTTAAGCATTTATCTACAATTATACCAAGATATTTAACTTAGTTTGCCTTTGGAATTGTTAGATTATTTAAAGAAATAGGTGGAAACTCGAGATTTCGTAGTAAGAAAGTTACTTAAACAGATTTGGTTTAGTATTTTTTGATTTTCCACATGTTTACCCACAAGCTGATCATATTTAAATGGTTTTTGATTACTTCACTGGCTATGACGTGTTTTCAGCGTATGTGACGAGATATATATATATATATATATATAGAAGGTCTTGGGAATATCATGCGTGAAAATTGAATAAAGGAATGGTGCGATGTTCCTTTTTTGTAGGATTCCAGTTCTGATATTGTGGCGGATTGAGTTAGTGTTGTTTAGGCAGACTGTAAAATAACGATTTGACAGATAAGATTTCATTAAAAAGAAATAAAGGGTGGGTTAGAAATTGTTTAGTTTGTACAATAGTCTATCGTGCCAAGCCCGATCAGAGGTTTGGGAGATATCAAGGAATAGTGATGTATAGAATTGTTTTTTTTACAGGGAGCTGGATATGATATCAATTGTTCTATGTAAGTGATGCATTGTCAAATGTTTTGGTTTGAATCCAAGGTTAGGTATTTAATAGTTAAAACCAAACAGAGTGAAATTACAGAGCACAATATCTAATTTTTTTCATAAACCAATAAAATAAATATTTTAGTAGTAATTAAAGAAATTTATAAAATTATAAGCCAACTAATTATTAAGGTTAGAATTAATGTTATAATTGTAGCTAATTACAATTGGAGTTGAATCTTCATTGGCATTGTACGGGTGTAACTGTTCAGTATATCAAAATTATTTTTGGTTTTTTTTTACATAATTTATTATTAGGGCCCGGATTTTTATGCAAATGCATATTCTTCTACATTTGACTTATAACAATTCTGATTAAATATCTTGACGTTTCGTAATACATAGATTCGGCTATTAATTTTTTTTATTGCATATTTTTGCATATTTGCATCAAAATACATAAAAGTTGCGTATTTCTGGATAATTACATAAAATGTGCATATTTTATAAAAAACTTATAAAATATTTTAAATTTTACTCGAAAGTTTGTTATATATTTTATCCTAAACTTATTCGTATTACTTGTATGGCCCATGGGCTTCATAGATTATCAGAAACTATTAGGGATAAATTCTCAAATTTTGATTTGTTGATATCTAATACAAAAAAGTTTTTTTGAAAGCACCTACTCAGGTAGGTACTTTTAAAGAAGTATGTCCAAACTTAAGTTTACCACCACAACCTATTATTACTCGATGGGGAACGTGGCTAGATGCCGCTTTTTATTATGGTAAGAATTTCGACAAAGTCAAAGAAGTGGTCGACACATTTAATAACTCGATCAAAAATGAACTTTCGGTAATTTTATCAAATTTCCAATGTATAACAGACACTATCAAGTGTCTAGAAAAATCGGGTGTTAATCTTGGAAAAATTCTAGAATTGGTTCAAAATATTGAAAATAATTTGAGTGAAGGAAAACGTGGTATTGAATTTGCTAAAGTGAAACTATTATTATTATTATTATTATATTATTAAATATTATATTATATTAGTATTATCAAAAAAATCCCGGATTATCACAAATAAAAAAAATTTCTGGAATTATAAGCAGAGAAATAAGAAACAATGATGAAGATCTTGCAGAGTTGTCACCAGAAGATATTTCTTGTTTAAAATACGCACCCATTGTGTCAGCAGACGTGGAAAGAAGTTTTTCGAAATATAAGGCGATGTAACGTGACAATCGTAGAAGTTTTCTATTTGATAATTTAAAAGCACATTTTGTTACATCATGTTGCTACTCATTCAATAATTAATATACATTTTTATGCTAGACCTAAACACATTTTAAATACTTATAATTAAATTGTATTTTTTTTTCGCTTAATACAGTATTTTTTTTAAATATTTGGTTTTTTAATACACAATACATTTTTTTTTGCATATTTTTGAATTTTTGTGTGCATAAATATGTGCATATTTAACAATAATTTTTGCATACAAATTCGGGCCCTATTTATTATATTCCATCATATTTTTAATGATTTAATTATAAATTACGAATTTTACATTTCTTAAGCTATAAGCGATAACTTTAAAATATAAAAAATATGAAGTGATATTTAAACATATTGTTTTCGTTCCGTCAGTGAACTGTTCTTGTTTAATTTCTTTCAAATATTTCCATATATTTCTGCTCCTCCAATACATTTTTCATAAGATCGGATGATATATATCTTAAAAGTACCTTGAATTCACATAGTTTTTATATTTATTATTTTTATTACTGTAATTGATTGATATCTGATTTTGCCGGTATAACTGTTCAAGAAATATTATATTTAAAGTATTATTTATAGTACTTCCACAAACATTCGATATATTTTCTTTCGTTATAATTCAGCTTCGTTCAGTTCAGTCGATACTTTCAACATGTATACACGTGTAATGTAATTTTGATTCGTTTTCGTATTTGTGTTGACTACCGTTAGAATTACGTTCTTTGAAATCGAACATGACCTGATTCTGTGGCGCCTCCATTTTATATCAACAACATTTATAATTTCTATGCACCAAATTTTCTCTCTGTGTTGAACACCAATTACAGCCAATTCTGTAGGTTTTCTAGTTACCTAAATAGTGTTAAATTGTCTTCAAAACCACCTGCTCAAAAACGTACGTAAAATCCAAAAATGAACCAACTGGTCAAAATATATTTTCTAAATACCCCCCCCCCCCCCCTCCAACCCTGTTAAAACAGTCTTATTCCTTGATAAGCTCGAAGATATCAATATTCTGAATAATAACATTGTTGTAAATTTTATTTATGATTCTTTATCATTAAAGACCGGATTTTGCATATAATGCATGTTCATATTTTTATAAGCAATTATATGCAGTAAATGGGTTTTCATCAATCGTACTTAAATAAATAATATTACAAATTTTTTTTTTGCATATTTTGCAAGTGCATATTTTATATAAAAACGCATGTTTTTGCATATTATGTATACACTAGGTATAAATTTAATTTAATTTAATCTTATAATTGTATGTACAATTATAATGTATACATTTTTCCACAATACAACAGTTGAAAATATTTTTAAAAATATAATATTTCGTTAGGTAGGTATTCAATATTCATTGCATACTGGTTTTTCTATCGTATATTTTTATCTTATCGATTTTGTCTAACATTATCGACTTATCGTCAATATTACAGAACACGAACTGATAATCTGACGACTGTAGTTCGAAGCGTACATTCGGCAATAGTGTTGCTAATTTGCTAAATTACTAATTTTAAAAGAAATTTCTAAAATACACCAAGGTGAGACTGTTGACTTGAAGAGTGCCTCTATCAAGCATTTTTCTCCAGAAATGTTGTCGAGTTTTAGATATGCGCCCTTAACAAGTGTTGATGTGGAACGAAGTTTTTCTGCATACAAACATATTCTCACAAACCGACGTCATAATTTAACCGAGGTCAATATAGAATATATTATATTATTGTTTTTCTAATATTGAATGAATTGTATATTTTTTTCATTTTAATTCATTTTATCATCATTATATAATTTAATATTGTAGTTTATTTATATTTTCATAATTTATACTTTGATTTTGTAACTTTACAATAAATAAATAGTTGTATAATCAAAAATTATTTTGCATGTTTTGCATTTTTTTCATGCATATTTTGACTTTTTTAATGCATGTTTGCATGCATATTTTACAATTTAAAATGCATATAAATCCAGTCTTTATTTATCATTATCTGAATTTTCGTCCGAGCCATCTTCACTAATTAATTCCCTCCTCGCTCTTTTTACACCTGATTTACAAAAACTTGATACGCCATAAATTAGATCATGTTTTTAATTTTAACCTGTTCATAAATTATCATTTTTACTATCATATATAATATTCCATTATAATTGGCTTGTAGCTGGTATACGTGCTCTTCAATTTCGTGCAATATTATTAATATACATTTACATAATGTTAATTTTTTTTTTTTAATATTTTGTAATTTAACGTATATTTAAGGCATTACTCTCCAAAATTATTTTTGATTATTGTTTACAGTATTTGCATTTAATTTTCTTACCTGGCATTTATCGTCTTAATTATTATCCATCATTATGTCTAACTACTTATCTTTTGTTTATTGTGTTTATATAACCATTTTGTACATTTAATATTCTAATTGTTGAACTGTAAATGTGCGTTTACATTATAGTTCGACATGTGAACAAACACGAGCGAATGCCACCGAATACATTCATAGGCGAATTCGTTGATGATTCGGCCGTTTACTGCGTTCGGTACTATTCGCAGTCGTTCGGGCTTTGTTCTTTAGCATTCGCATTGAATTCGCTTTGAAAACCAATGTGGTTTGAAATATTCAGTTATGGCCACAAAGTCTCGAACACAACCAATTTAGAAACGACACCTGAATATCGTTCGAACTGAAAGAGCGTTTTCTTTGGATCGTACCGCTATCCGAGTGAACGTCACCGAATGCGAACGAACCGTTCGTCGTCCATTCGCTCGTGTTCGGCAAACTGTTTACACTACTGCATTCGGTACGATTCGCTCGCGTTCGTTCGTCTTCAGACTATAATGTA